TATCACAAAGCCAGGGCAAAGAATGTATTAATTAAATAAAACATAAAAATTTAATGGTAACGTAACGATAAATGTAGTTTACCGTAAAATTAAGGACCTTTTTATTTAGGCGAAAGACAGCAGCATTTTCTAAGAGGCTTACTATTTCTCTTTTCTAAATTAAGCTCCATAAGAAAAATATTATGTACTCACATGAAATAAAACTAATATTTAGCGGATTTTCTATGCATTTATAATTATTAACAACGTCTCATCCAACAACGGCTTCAAAGTAGCCGAAAAGGCTTTTTTATTTTTAAGGTGGAAAACGAAGAGATGGCCTACTTGGTGAGCAGTAGTCACCGTTGCCCATGGACATCCACAACATCTTTGTTGCGAAAGCATTGCCAGCCTGGTTATTTAGGAAAAGGGAGGGGTGACGTAAGGAATTGACAGGAAAGGATGGGAACATCGAATGGGCAACCGGCTCTCTCACTCATCGGACGAAACGCAGACATTTAAGGCTACTTCACACCGATTTTCTGTGAGAGGGTGGTACTTCCCCGGTCGAGCCAGCCCATGTTCGATCTGTGGTTAATTATGAACGTGTAGTAAATCCGAAAAATATTACATTTATTTCAATGGATACTCTTGAAAATCTCAGTTGTCATTATACTCTCATGAAGATATTTTTAAACCAAACGATTTACACATTTCTATTTTGTTTTTCTCAATGAGTCCTAACAAAAATTTGCCGATTACACTTACTTTTCCTATATATATAAGCAATATCGGCCTAAATATGAGTTTTTGTATATACTTTTTGTTATGGGCGAAATTTACTATATGATCAATTTAATACAGTAATTTTCAAATAAAGTAAAAGAGACCGTAACAAACTGTCATACTAAACACATATTCAGTCTCAGTTCCATCGCTGATAAAAAGTTTACAGCACCGAACATAAAATTATATTATTATATTTAAAGCTGAAAGCTTAGCATAATTTTAACTGTCCATCAAGACTGAAATATGGTGGTTTTATATCTTTGTTAAAATTTTCTCCAGTCATTTATTTAACTTTATGCTCGGAGTGGATTCTAAAGGCTCACTCGGGGTTATATAGAGCCTTTATATAGCTGAATTACATGGCTTTATTATATACTACTTTTAATACAATTAAGATATCTTAAAATGAAAATGTAATAATATTGGTATAACAGAGAGCTTTAATTAAGTTTCTGTTAATTTACCCTACGAATGGTTGGTATTATATGTTCCCGGGTATGGAAGACAGAACAATATTTACACGAGCCAAATTTATATCATAAAGGTCGTAATTTATATATCACGCCGCATACCTTTTATATACGTAATTAACAATTATGGATGGTTAAAAAAATCAGGTTTTCCTTGCATAATCACTTGCGTAGCTATCTGTAAAGTTCAGTCATGAAAATGAATGTTGGCTGGTATAAATAGTGGCAAGAGTACAGATTAAAAATATTCTCACTCTTGCCGTTGCAGGGATCAGTCTTCTTCGAAATAAAGTATCCATCAAACTGTATTACTAACAAGGTTACCTTGAATAACTTGAGAGACTGACGGCAATCAAAAACATAGGAATTTGTAAAATCAGTACCTAATTTATTGTCACAATATTAAAACTAAGAAGGGATTTTAGATCCGATATCTTATATATTTTTTGTATTCCAATTTCAAGTTATTTATTATAATTAACTAAGGATCATTTATGTAAGCTTGATAATAATAAATAGACAAACACTATGTGATAATTATACATTTTTATGTTTGTCTATTCAACACTCTAAAAAAATCAAAGAAATTTTGATGTCTTCATTACTTAGAAGATTACTTCGTAAGACTTACACTATTTTATATTAAAAAATGGTAGCTAATTTTCATAAAGCTGAACCTTATTAACGGGAGATAAATGAAATTAGAGTAGACTCAATATTTTTATGCAAAAATATAATTATGCCTTCGCAAAAATTATGACTTAAAACCATGAAATTCAAAGACAACTTAAATGATAAGCAAAAGATTTGAGAAGTTTCATTATACATACATAAATATTTTTCTTGTATCGGGATGTAAAGGACAGTGACAACAGAAACATCTGCTGCTTACAAGCTATGAGTAATGATGTTACTAAAGATAGATAGAAATCAATGTGACTTTCATTCAAGCAACTTCTACTTTCCTGACAATAAAAATACATTCTTACTTTAATAATTCTATTTTAATCTTGCATCTCATAATAAATGCAAATTATTCCTTACTTCGTATCAGATAAGTATTAAATGTTATAATTATCTAACTAAACTACTTACAAATATATTTTAAATGGATGTAAACAAATTCTATAATGAATTTTAAGTCTAATTTAAGGAAGGTTGCAATTTCCAAATCGTATCATAATATAGGGCATTTAATCTATACCTTTTATAGCCAATACAAGATATATAATTCCCTATTTGATAACTCACATGATTTAAATTCATATTAGTATAAATAATCATAGTATATTATTACTCCACGAATAGTAAGAGTACAACATTTTTTGTATATTCATTTACAAAAATTATATATCTACTATAGCATCGTACTTTTATAATATTGAACTATATTAAAGAGACAGGCCCCCTAGCTATAGAAGCGATCCCGTGGAAACTGAAATACTGTAAAAAATCTCTATAATCTGATTCTAAGAGCGGATGTTAAATTTTCCGGTCGAAAAATAGAATGATACATAAATAATTTTGAATATCCAGTTAAGTTAGTTTCCGGTCAAGTCGAGAAATCCGAGTATCGGATAAATCGGTTTATACATCAGCGAATTTATATATTAGATTAAATCTGAAAATTAAAATTATCGTGATTTAATATAAATTAAAACAAAATATATTTACTATTTTTAAAAGATAATATTAGAAGGCGATTTAAAAGATACAAAATTAAAAATTAAAAATCTTTTTCTGAATTCTCTTCATTACAACTATTATAAAATTTTCAAAACACTTTAATATGAAACATATGAGGTTTATTAAATATAAAATTTAACTAATAAAATCACATATGTAGCTTCACTTTCATTATTTTTTATGGCTGCCTGGGTCTGTTTACTACTTATAGTTGTTTATAGTTTGAAGAAGACACCCACGACCTCATAAACTAAAAGTCACTCTTAGAATATAAGTTATCATAACCCTAAATATATTCAATATAGTTATATTATATAGAAATATTTATCTATCATAGACAAAAAACAACTGAAATAAAACAATTATACCTATATTAAAAGACATTGTAAACAATCAATCAATTAAAAAACCACAAAGACAATTTTAATTTACTATATGAGACGAAACATCTTAGCATTCAATCAGGATCCATCGAGTTGCAGGGAGAGGAGCTTCACCAGTGCCTGGGACTTGCGACCCAGGTGTACATAGGTTTAAGGGGACCCTATGTAACGCGCGTTAAACGCTCACCTCCACCGTCCAAGCTCCTCTCTCTATCTAACCAAATTTGAAAAGAAAGATGTATTAATTTGACAAAAATCTTGTATGTTTAACTGACACAATAAAAAATATGTCCTTAATCTCTGAAACATATTTATTATCGTTCAGTTTTCTCAATAGAAATGCCTTTCTTTGTATGTTGATGTCTATTTTTTTTATCGACAGTAATAACAGATACCATTATTATTTTATGACGTAGAAAGCATTTTTACGTATAAGAAACAGATGCGACTTCATATATGGTAATTATGTTTTTTACATGTAAGAAATGTTCAGCTAAGTTACGAAAATGTAATAAAAGGCAGTTTCTTCTCAGCGCAACTACAGCTTAATTTGTAAAGCTTCTAATGCGCGATATTACGAAGAATGCAGTGACTACTACTGCTCTTTTCTTTGATTTTTTTATTTCATATTCTCTAATCAAGAAATTTAATTTACACTATTTAATCTTACAAAATACTTAAGAAAGCTTATCTATCTTCTTTTCCTTAAATAGAATAATATTTAGTTTTCTGTATTACTTTCCTTTTGTCTCGTAATAATGAGTCGCAAAGGTAACTAATTGTGTGACAAGTCCAGGCTCACAAAACTGGACAATGGGGGATGGCCCTTAATTTATTTCAACCCGTCTGTAGTGAAAATTGGCGCTTTTATATTTAGGAACGCGCTCTGTATAACCTCTTTTGCTATTCAAATACTTTACATTCGTCCTGTTTATGATATGCTAATTATATTATGCAGCTCGAAATTGAAAGCAGTCCAATAATCTAAATATATTCAAAGTGAGTTTATTGACACAAAGAAAATACAAAATAATTTTTATGAGTCAAATATAAGAAGTGTACGAAATGAAAAGCGAAAAAAAAAAAAAACATTATACAAAGAATATTTTTTTTCTGTTCCGTTTAAACTTTACATGCGTCCTCAGACGATTTTATAAAAATAAAAATCAAACAACGATGCAAATTGTCATAAAACAATTCATAAATGGAATGGCTATTTGCAACCATTGACGATGAAAAAGCGATGACTTGCTGTATTTAATTCTTCAGTTATTTTATGAATAATATTTTAATGTATCGAAATGTATGTATTGACTATTGATTTCAATTTCAGTCAGTAAACTCATACAAATATTTCACATTCAATACATACGAGTACTCCATAACCTACATCAAGCGAAAATTTAAGGTATTGCAACGTATTTATTAATAAATTAAAAGCCTCACATTAAAAACTCTCTTCAATACAACTTGAATAACCAATACAAAATAATGTTATTTGATGTCAAGCATTTCATTTCCTTTATTAACCCAGTGGCACACTAACTAACCAACATTTACATAATTCATCCGAGGCGTTACTCTTGCTCTATCTACATATAGGAGACATGTCTATAGCGAATAAGCCACCCGGCTATTAATGTCGTATAATAAAAAAAATAGCACAGATATAAGCGAGAGTATCGTAAATCAGTAGAAGAGGGAATTGAAACGTCGGTGCGGCGACGTGCGGGCGGCGGTGCTAGCTGGGCGCGCGTGCGTGGCCGGGCGAGGGGCTCCGTGTGGGGGCTGCGGGGTGTGCGGGGTCCGCGGGGGGAGGGGTGCCAGCGCAGCCTCCGGGTGCAGCACTCCGCCGCCGCCCGCCGCCCGCATCGATCCCGCCCGGGAGAGCTAAGCGAGGTTGAGCGACCGTCGCTCATCGCGCTCCGCACGCGGCCTCCCGCGTCCGCGCCCCCTATTACCGACCGCTGCCATCTTACGTAACGTAATCCGTGTTACAGGTTATGTGCTGAGTGAGTTTTTGGATAGCGGTTATCCCGCTTGTTCGATTTCAGTCGGTTACGGTTCCGTAAGTTAACTCGCACATAACCGAAATTATAACGTTCGCGCCATATTCACACTTTTTTTTTTATAGAAGTAGTTTTATTGTAAGGGAGAGTGAAAGTTTATGTTGGTATTGTATTCTGTTCTTATCTGCCACTAGACGTCATTTATATTCATTAAACTTTTCAAAACAACATTGTTTTACTTCATTTTCTGTCATACGTCATATTCTATGAATTAGATATATCATAAAACACTCATTAAATCATACCCTTCCTTATCTACAGTATCATATCTAAATAGTAGAATTTTGTTTAAATATATTCTTATTTCTCATCACAACGAAGACAAGTAACCGTCATTATTTTCATATAACTGTTGAAGGGAACAGAATCACTGAAAGAATGGACATAATTTGACACAATCATTTATTTTACGCGCCATATCCCGCCGAATAATAGAAGAGAATTCTATGTCATATTCCAGAAAAGAATTTTTCTACAAGTCACAGCAAATTGAACATTATTTTGTTTGCCGAAAGATTAGTATTCAATAACTTCCTATATAAGTGTCTATGTCCCTCTGAACAAGAGCTTTTTTGTACGGACTTTTTTGCCATTATAATTTATATGAACAAGATTCCTATGATTACATATTTATTTAGACCTCAGTACAAATTTAAAACAAAAAGAAACTAAAGAAAGCTTATGTAAAATTTTGAGATACATATGTTTTATTAAATTTAATTAATCATTTTGTCCCTTCTAAGAAAAAACAAAATTATAATTTTAAATAAGTAGAAAAACTATGAATAATATTACATCAAATGAAATTTTCGAATTAATTTATTGATCGTTTCTAAACATCTTAAAAGAAAAAAAACAGGTCCATAATAATAAATATGTACTAATGCGTTAAAAAAAAACTCATTGTCACAACACTGAACAAACACTTAAAGATTCGACGAAATCTCTAATACAATAATAACCTAACACAAATACAAATTTAACATCCTGATTCGAAAGCCAAAATACGAATCAAACAAATTTATTTGTTTAGTTAATATATAATTAAATATAAATAAAAAATTCATGGGAAAACCCATTACTCATACACTCGAACATTTCCATTCAAGTAACGAATTAAAAAATTAATAGTTTGATTTATAAGTACCCATAACGCACTCATACATATTGATAATATTTACCATGTGCAAACTTTTCTGTTTATTTTATCATACATTTGGTAAATCTTATGTCAATATCGTATATTTGGCGATATTTAGTCATAGAAATCATTCATTATCATGACTTATGGGTAATGGGAGTGGTCGGTGTTCTGTTAAACCGATAGTAATAGGAGTTGTCGCGATCGTCTCCTAATTGGACGTGACTATTGCGCGCGAGCATGTCCTCTGAAAAGGAAAAAATGGCCACTGAAGCCAAATCTCCATCAAACAAGAGCAACTGCACGTCGCCTGGAAAGAAAGGTACGAGAAAGTGTTACGTAGTACCTATCTAATGATTTACTATGTATAGTTGATTCCTTTGTTCGTAAGTCAGAACTTAGGAGAAGCTCACGACCTAGGTCACAACACTTCATAAAAGATATGACTAAATTAGCTGTTACAGCTACGAGTTTCTTTGATCAGAAGAGAGCTGGAAGGAGGGCTCTTCAATGCCCTTTATGTTAAACAAAATTCCCTTTATCTTTTCTAACTCTATACCAGTAACGTTAGTAGCCTCAATACACTTCGGTAACATCTACAGATATTTATGAATAACTCTAGCCACTTAACGTGAATATTACTCTCGTCTGTCGTCGTATGTTACAAAATTTTAATCACATACCCGTTACACGAATTTCGTTTGAGCTAAAAATAGAGGAGTTGATTATGTTATTTACATAATCAATAAATATTTTTATATTAAAAACAAAACACTACTCAAAAAACTTTTAGAAAGTCTATAAATGAGCTAAGCGTCAGTAGTATAATGTGATTTTTTTGTATATAACGTGTTGTTAAAACAAACTAAACCAGGGTCAAGTTGAGGACGAGGTATTATCTAAATAAAACAGCAGTTTGTCGATGTCGCTTGGAAGGCTTCGTGCTTCACCGCAAACATACGAGAATCCGTTTAGTGTAATAAAGTAATGAATATTGCGTTAAACAGTCTGTTATGTAAGTAGAAAACTATATATAAATATATTCATTTTTTTGTTGGAGTAATTAAAAATTTAAGATTGTTTTTAGTTTAATAGTCCTCAACATGTTTTTTCATAAATTTAAATCGTCCAAATAAGTACAAAAAAGTTTAAGTACAAGTTAACGTGTGTTTTAAAAATATGATGTAGAAGGACAGTAATCCATCTTTTTCTTTTCAACGCATAAATTTCATTAAGAATTTGTGCTAAATTTAAAATGTGGGCTAAGATAATCTATTTACAGTACAGTTTCATATTTTGAAAAAGATAATCATTTTTAGTTTTGAAATATAGCCATTATTAATGATAAAATTACTCTTTTGATACACATATCTAGCAAATATTTGAGGAAAAACTATCTAACAGGATGAGATCAAAAGATCTCGGTTGTCATAACTATAACTTTTTTCATTTTTTTTTTTGTATGAGTCTTTTGTCATTTTTAGTTTCGTTTTGTAAGCTCTTAAATAATAATTGCAGATATATGCTTTAGGCTAGTTATAAAATATTCATGTATATTATAATATTAAAATTTCTTGTTACTATATTATTAAAACATATGAGAGCATTTTTTTATAACATAAAAAAAACTTTTTTAAACATTAAAAAAATCCTAACAAAATAAGTATCCTGATAACAATTTGTTATGTATCAAGAAACTATACATACATTCTGTGTTATACTGAAACTATATAATGTAGAACGATTAGCATAAAATTCTGCAATCTTAAGACAGAGTAACGATTGATTAAAGAAAATAATTACAATTTAATCAACATTATGGAATATAAAGTTCTGATTGGAAAACACGCTTAAGATTTATTGAGATGGAACGTTTAATCTCCTTCGGATTTGTCGAAAGAAGATTAAGTCTACCGCATGCCGAAATTAGTTTTCAATTCATTCGCCATCATCGAAATGTAGAACACTTAAATGTCTCCTTTCATTCGTTATGAATTGAAAGTATATAAAAATCTAGTGGAAGTGCAATAAATAATTGGAAGCGTTTTAAAACTCGGCTCGGGAAAAGGATATCTCGTCCGCAGGTAGACGGAATTGGTTCAAAACAAAAGAGTAGTCTTTTTGGGCTAAAAAATCCTATTCCGGTCGACAATAGTATGCTCTCCGAACTCTAGGATGTAAAAAATTAACTAAAGTGAAAATGATTAGACGATATCTTTTGAAACAGAAGAGTAATAAAAATTACGTTATAGCGTTTCTAAAGATTATCATTTGATATTAAAACTCCTTCATATGAGGCAGACTTTTTATATTTTAAAACACAAATAACATAGTCATACACGAACATATATACATACAAAATATATACAATTGTATGCGGGGTTTTATGATAATAGAGCGGGATCCCTAAGAATTCTTTTATAGAAGATTTTACTCCTTACCATTTTTCATTAACTAACATAAACTAAAAAAGAAATAAACGATTTCATAGTGTAAAGGAATACTATAAATATGTATAGCAATAAATTTTAGTCTAGAATATATAAGATTTGAAATTTTCTTGTCATTTCTAAATGCTTTAATAACAATAGTCAAATAAAACCTATCTCTATTGCATTACATAATATATGAATGTGTGCAATGAATAAAGACGTCGCATTTATTCTGTTGCTAGTATTTTTCAATCAGAGATGATTACAATAAAACGAATTATTAAACATTTTCCGACACGAACAGGTTCATACCCATTACCATAGGAATATCGCGTTCTCATTGCTTTCAAAGCGATTTTGTATTATCTATTTATTCTTATTAATTTCTACTTCAACTATTAGTTTAAGACTGCTTCAAAGTCATACATAATTATACGAATTTAAGAAAAAACAACATAGAGTAATAGGAGTATAAGACCTCTGATGCGAAATTGCCTTTTACATCAGGTGGGACCGTCTTCATTACTTACATTTTCTTATCAGCAATCCTAAAGCCTCCTGAATAGAGTTAATATACCGCTCAACCATTAATTCAGAGATAAACCTGTTATCACAATGACACGCCTAAGAGACACCTCTCCTTAAGTTGTATTTGTCATTGTATTCTCATTTAAATGATGGTCAAAAGTAAATTAACAATAAATTTCGTCTCATGTATTATTTCTAAATAATTATCACTCATGTACTTTGCTAAATTAGTAATAGTTTGCAATAAATTTATTTGTAGATACGGTATAGTGTAATTCTTATTTGTTTTTCATGGTACTTATTCCATAAGTGTATTAAAATTTAAACTGAATTCTGTAACGTAATAATTATATGTATATACATAGTTGACTTACATTTTTTCTGTGTCATACTATTTAGTTTAATATTAATCTCGTTATCTTTATTTATTCGTAATACATATGTTAATAAATTTAATTTGAATTCTACAAGAGAAATAGATATAGTCACTTCTAATACAAAATATAATTTCAACAAAGCGGACTTCTAAATATGGTTGGATAAAGAAAAAAGCATTTCAATCGCATAAGTGTTATTAATGCATGCGTCGCGTCGCTGCACAAAGGCATCTAATCCGGATTATCAGCTTCCCTCAGCCTTCAAGGAAATCCATTAGCCACAGACTGCAAGAGCTTTAGAAATACAGGTATTGGGGATTTGCAAAGATATAAAATATAAAAGGCTCCGTGACAAGTATTCAATATTTGCTGTCAATAAATCTAGCTTCTTTATAACTAACTCGTAAGTTATTCAACATATTTTATTTCATAGATTTTGTCTATAAAATACGTAACTTAATTTACTTATTTTATTATAAGATCTAAGACTTTTTGAGTTTTCATTTAAATAAAACTAATATTTTTCGGATTACTACGCGTATTTTATAATTAAAAAAAACTACATACCCCGACGTTTCGGTTACTTTTCAGCAACCGGGCAGACGAAATATGATTTCACTCAACACTATAGTCCATTCAGATTTATTAATATATGATAAGTATACAACATATTAGAACTGCGGTTAATTTAAAAGATATTAAAAAATGTCATAACTCTTCAGTATCAGTGACTCGACAATAACATGAATGTTTAAGGGCAAGATACTTCTGGGAGGCATTATAAATTCAATAAGGCCGACCTTTCCCTCTGTCAATATACCGAAGTGAACATATTTTCTTAATATGACAAGCATTTTGTAGATTATATCACTCCTTTCGTATAATGTGTAGATACACGGATAATTAAATTTTTAATACAAAAAAGCTTATAACAATCAACTTTATATAAAATCTTTGTCTACTATCATAATCACAGCAACTAGAATTTATTCTTTGGTAACAATTATTGATAATAATATATTAAACTTGAACAATACTCTATAGCTAACAATTCTTAATACCACGCGAAAAACTTTTACTGCATTACATAGCGCCAATTCTAACTATCTTTCTGGCCCGTTCTCATTTTTACGCTGGCCGAGTTTTTCTTTTCTTTTTTTTTTATTATATTGTCCACAGTTTCCGCACCGTCGAGTGTGAAATAATCACGTCAAATACATGATATTTTCTTCTTTAAAAATATTCCTACTGTATCTAATAATTGGGATCGATACTTAAAATATTTTGTTTACTTTCCATGAAATATGTATGTTATATGTAATTTTATTATGTTTTTTTTTTTATATAAATCGGACTCGCAATGATTTTTAATAATGAGGTTTTACAAAACTGCAATAAATCTTAAATAATAATAAATTAATTTTACAGAAAACAATTTCCTTAAACCGTTATAACATTAAGCTATAAAAAAACGAATCTGTTATATATAAAGGAATATTTTCTTTTATTTTCATAGATTTATGTACATTAAGCATACTCCAATATTTACTTAAATAAACAAGCAAAAGTTATTTTTGTATCGGATGGGTTGCTATTAATATACTTAAGACGTACAATAGGCGACAATTGACAGTTTTGGAACAAAGCAAATGATAATGTGGAAGTTGTTAAATTTTAGGAAATTACTACTATTACGCCTACTCCTACAACTATTGATAGTATTTTTGCTTATAGACATTAATACATTAGAAATAGCCTAATGTTAAGGGACCAATGATTGATTGAATGTAGAATGTAAATTTTGTAGTCTGTGTTCTGTGAGTGAGTAATTCTGGGAAAATCAGATAGTTCCATAATTACTTATGACGATAGTAATAAAACGTTAATTATTAAAATAAAAAAACTGGTTTTTAAATCTCTGTGATAGAAATTCCACTCAAACATCAAGGGATAAAAAGGATTAAAGGCCTTCATTTCAATTTCAGGCCGCAACTATCAGAGAATATTGAATTTGGTTCGTTTATATAAAAACTCTTTATACTTTATTCAGTATGAAATGGTTGGACACAGGCCCAATTTAAGGAAGTTTATTGATAATATTGGAATTTATTTACGGAACAATTGGAAAGGTCACTAAGCGATGTAAGAATAATTCAAAATAAGAATTCAATATACGAAATATTATAATAATGTAAGTAATAACATTGAAGGAAATATTACATCTTCTGGTCGTATAATACGTCGCAAGAATTAGGACGCGGCAATGGTGGAGGCATATTTTTGGCGGAGTGCCAAAACTCTTTTTTTTAGCGATGAATTTTGAGACCAAATCTAGTAGAAATCGAATACAAATTACTGATAAGACCTTAACTTTTACGGAAGACGGTTAAACGGTTATTTGCATAGATAATTGAGATTCTCAATTCAAAAAGAATATTGCATCTATGTAAATACATCCGCAACAATAAATATGCTACTGGATATTTATAAAAGCTGTATTAAAAAATAACATTAAAAATATGAAAATAATAAACTCTCGACGATTAAAAAGCAAAAACTTTTGGAAAATATTTTACAGCGAATACATTCTACAAGGTTGTCAGCGTCAGAGACTAAGTGCACTCGAACATGAGGAGTAAGAAGATTATATCTTACAACGCCCTTTTCATGTTCAACGATTCACTACATAAGAATCGAAACTCCTGGGAACACTTAACACACTTTAAAGACTAAATTAATTTTGTTTCCATGCAAATATATACTGGAGAATATTTTTTTATCAACGCCCGTCTTGAGAATTAGTCTGTACCACTTATTGATGTGTTATTTTCTTTACTCGTATTTCTCGGGACTGTCACATAAGAATAAACTAATTTTTTTTTTTACGTAATCTTGGACTGGGACTTATATTTCTTATAGTATTTGTTGTTTCTTTCTCTAAGCCTATTAAAAACTTGGACCAGCAGTTCGAAGTTGGGTCAATACTAGAGCAAGTTTTAAGTTCAAGCTATCAAAGTCGGACTAAGACAAAGTTCCGCTGAGAATTTGTTGTCAAAAGTTTGTCTAGAGCCGAAAGCCACGGCATTACATAGAATAACTTGCTTATTACGTAACTTAGTAACATGAATTACGACGTCGAAATAATAAATACATCTACCAAGATGAAACACAAGTAAACATACTTACATACGTTAATCTTAGTATAATGAAGTCTCGTAGGTCATACTGATTTAAGTAGAACTCTTTTGGGCAGAGAAAAAGAACTACCATCTCCTTCTAAGCAATCCATAGCTACACTCACGCTAAAGAGAATCTTTTGTTCATTAATACACGTAGTTGTCAAATTTCAGTGTGTTATCTATGTATATACCACACATATATATGCCATAATTCACCTTCACAAAGGCATTCAAATAAAACAAAGCCCAATAAGACTTGGATCCTTGATCATGTTTCATGGATTTAACATTACTTTCTTGTACCCGGTGTACGACACGTAAATATTTTACATGAGAGATTATCAGAATAAACAATTTGATTAATATCTATACCTATTATGGTAGAAATACCAAACAATTCTTAAAGAACTATGATATCGAAGATGTAGGTTAAAATAAAAGTTACAAGAGGAATCTTGGATTCAATATTAATAAACCTTATATTGGAACTTTGGATGATCCGCCTTCTTCAAAAAGAATAAAAACTTGAAAGACTAAACTTCACATTTTGAGATATATTTTAAATACCAAGCGCTTATAAAATATAATTAATCATCATCAATCTAATGCCCTAATACGTATCTTTCACGAAACTAATCCTTATAAGATTAAAAGAGAATTAGCTTTAGTTTACTACATAGAAAGGAATATTGTAGAGATATGTCAAAAGAAATTAAAATTGATAAGGTTTCCGAGTAATACAGGTGAAATAGTTTTGATTTCAGAGAGCAGAGCATATATATTTTTTTGTTGAAATACAACTTCTGACAAATAAACGGGAGAGATACTGGAATCGTATTCATTTTAAAATAATGTGATTTCTTAGTAATACGCGTAATTTTAATAAATAAGTAACAAATTTTATGTATATATCTGTATGAAATATGAATTAAAAAATGGAATGACAGTGACGTCTGTTATATCGAAGCGGAGTGTAATTAAGATTCATGAGCTCCATTTATTCCGCTCAAACAAAATTAAAACTGATGACAGTATTCCAACATCCAATAAATGAATAAATAATTTAAAAGAAATGAAAGGAAAGTATTAATAACGTTACAAAAACATAAATTAAACAAACAATGAAATACGAGATTCGTTCTTTATTGGCGTATAGCATTCTTTATAATACATAACTGAATATTGATTTTAATATATATGTTCTATATCAGTTAGTGCAAAGGGTTTTACAGGCTTTTGAACGTGTATATGTAGTTTAGAGATTCCATTAGCAAGTTATAAATCAAAGCCATGTATGTACTATATACGCTGGGTTGTTGACATAATTTCACATGACATCGCTAACTTTGATGCTCATAAACGTAAGAGCTAAGTTTTTGGACCGAGGCTTAATGGAGGTAGTCTATCTGTTCGGAATTTATAACACTGAAGTTTTTTCTATTGTTACCATATAAAATATTTTGGTTGGTATAAAATATTCGGTTACAATGTTGGTAGCGCTGCATAAAATAACTAATACTGTTAACCCATCTGTGGTTTATATCAAACAGCAAATTTAATTATAATTAGCGATTGAATAACACGCAGAAGCCACGGAAGTTCATAATTACCAAGCATATGTAATGAAGTACATTTTCACGCGTACTTCAAACTATTAATAATTCTAATATCTGCTTCAGAATATAATATTCCGTATATAATCTACTCATTTAATATCAACAAACAATATTACGTAATTGTCATTAAAATGCTCCGAAACAATAATTCGAATTTTTTTTTTTCCAAATATCAACGTTGATTTAACTTGTACAGCTGTTTTAATTACGACCGGCCATTGTAATGTGAACGTAGGCTTTATGGAAAAAGTTTTAATAATTGTACAAACAATCGTCGGAATTTTAAGTACATTTGTTCAGCCGTATTTATAGAAATCACCAAAATTTTAACGTTTTGAACACACAAGTGAATTTAATGTGATTATAATATAAAAAATGATTATAAGTAAATAAAAAAAAACCTAAAAAAGAAACAATAATGATATTTTTTTTTTTAAGATATTCCTTGTATTTAGATAGTAAGTATTTAAGATCAATATAATTGTACATATTTAAAATGTTTTTTTATATCTAGCAACACTCTTTATAATCATTTGAACTTTAACAGAAGAGGGTATGTAATCAAATTACTAGTGTCATTGGAAATGATACGATTAAAAGTGGACCAAAAATAGCTATTCCTGCGACGGATCACATTACCGCGGTAAAGGTCATATTCAATTTGATTATTTTTAATCTCATTTATTAGAACATACCAGATTTAACGGATTTATATAAATAAATTTCTTATTTGTTAGAAATTTTGTACAGTAAATATTTTCATTATGTTTTCTTATATAAAGTAATAAAGGAAATTCAAGCTTATGACGTTAATTATAGAACGGTGGGTGAATGCCATTAAGTAACATTTGCTTCGAACTAATGCACTTTCTAAGGTCAAAATCGTCTGTTTGTCTTCAATAATACGTCCATAACAATGTTATGCTTTGCCATTATCAATGGACTTTACATACCATTTGTTTGAAACTGACGTTTAAAATCGATAGTACCAAGGTTTAGCTCCTTTCTAAGCTTGCAATGACTTAGGTTAACTTACGAGTAGTTCGACAAACTGACAAGCTAATTATTTTACGGTATTTTAAAAGGATTTTTACTCCAATTTATTGCTAGCATAAATTTCTTATCGATTTACTTCTTACGTATATCTTTTGAAATAAATATTTCCGAAGTTTAAGAATGTGTTTCTTATGATTGAAAAAAATTATTCGAAATGCTATAATTTCGTATCACTGACATTTCAAAAACATATAATTGAAAAACTTGAGTAGAATTTCTGTTTATTTGAATGTTATTAATGCAATAAATAACTAAAAACAAATTTCATATAAAAACATATGTACAATTAAAAAACAGATAAGTAATAAAGATGGGTTCATATATACTAAGTAACTTTTTATAGGTCTAAAAATCTATCTAAATTGTAATTTTTTATAAGAAAATATAAGAAATTCTGTAGCTTAAACAATTTAACGATCAATAATTCAAAGCACGTTCATTATTTCAGGTGACACCGATGAGTATGGCTTCTCGAAGGACAAAGACAAAGGCGACACGACGCTGTACCTCTACCAGGTAAGTGTTTATAAAATTAATTAAGAATAAATTATAAATATTTATTATAGAAAACAACAATATTAATAATAAATTTATTTACCTAAAAAAAAATATATAAACTTGAGTTTCAACACAGCAGTTATAAGCTATTTTTCTGAAGTCATAGCTGTTAAGCTATATAGTAGAATTATATTTTAAAAGATTGTATTCTTAATAAATGGTGCAAACCTAACTCCTAAGGGTTATTTATGTTGAATATTTTCTATATAAAATCTGCAATGTAAATTAATATCGTCATTACGGACATAAATCCTGTGTAATCACGAGCTTGCACGTTGCCATCACTCAATTCTGCTTGCTTTGTAAACGAGACTCCGACGAAATACGACGAATTTCGCTGTTATCCTGCCTCGTCGTAATATCGCCTGTTTCTTCTGTGCCATAAATCACATTTTTCTCGCTTCATCTCTTATATTGACTCTGTAAAAAATACCTACACTTTGTTCTTTGTTAGTATGATATGATATATTTGGTATGACTGAAGAATATAAATGCTTGACATTTCTTTGCTTATATAAAACGTGGCATACAGTTTTGATTTAAACTTAGAGTACATTTAAACTGAAAAGATTTTTCTTTAAAAAAATTATTATCGTAAAAAATTTCTAACAACTTTAAATATACATATATCAATTTCTTAAATTAAGCTAACTAAATTGTTCGACCCGTGCGCTTCTGTACCATCGGTAGGGCGTAGCTTGTTCGTAGCTCGTTCCAAGGCAGCCTTGCGTCTCGTCTCAATTTCTTACACGAGCAATTTCATTACAGATTTTATGAGATTCCAATAGGGCTTCGATTTAAAGTTTGATAATAATTTATATTTGAATATTTTATTTAAAATACATAGGTTTTATGTAACGGGTTTAAAATTTACTTTATCCTCTAGAAAATATGACTTTCTCTAGCTAAATATTGTCAAAAATGCAATCAATTGTTGAGTATTGCTAATCACTACTAAATAATTCTCTCCAGGTTGACATGATTAGACACATAACATTTATTTAATTAATATAAATAAAAAAACTTAATTGCAATTATAAAAATAATTTCATACTTACTAAACAAATTCAGCAAAAAATAACACATAATCGCTTTATTAACATGGCCTCAAATATTTAATACACATTTGTTACTTTGGTTATAAATTATGCGAAACGTGTTTTTTAACATTAAAGGAAAGTAATAAAAGTGAGATTGAGATGAAATCCTCGCAAATCCGCATTAAAACCATCATAATGTGGCAGTACATTGTAATCGAAATTGGAATTTGAACATAAAGTCGACTCTCGCACTGTAGAGGCGTTTCTTTGAAATATAAACGTGCTTAAATTATATAAACCTAAGATATACACATACTTTCAATCAATCAAATCTTTGACATATTCAAAATAGGCTACGTGCATATATATTTTTGAACCCCATAATTCAATGTTACTAATGTAATTATATAAAAGAAACGAATGAAAACAGTAACTTTACGAACATTTTAATTAAAACGACTTTAATTTTTTTAATGGATAAAGCAGTGAACTGTTAAAAAGTTACCCTGCTCTAAAAATAAATTCTGTACTTCAATTAAAATGTGTTGAAATTGCATTTTGTCGTCACTGTAACTTCACGTTTAACGATAATTATATCATAGCTTAAAAACTTCTAGAAACTTTTGTGCTTTTTAAGCCACTTCCTAATTAAATGTCACAGTTGTTTGTTACGGAAATATGTCAAAACATCTGACAGTTATAATCTGTACTTTTTAGCTCATGCTGACACTACGAACATTTGTTTTTTTTTTTTCGTTAACAATATTGCATTTAAACTATTACACTATATGTAAATAGTAAATATAAAATAACATAAAACTTATATATTTATAAGACACACACGTTCTATAAATATGAAAGTTTATATGTGACATCAAAAACACTATATAATTCATAGTACGAGATCCCGCTGGAAAATCACTACCATCATTGCGTTTTAAGTCAAACTCACATTTTTACATACATTTATGAATATTAGAATACTATGATACACCGCAATCAATCAAAACAAGTCGCAAGTAATTTTAAATACATTAATTTTAATTAAGATTCAAAAAGAATTTCGTTTAATTCCCTTTAAAAAAAATTACTACACCTTAACAATATATTTAAAGGGTCCAAAAGCCATAAAAAACCATAGGTACCGCATACAATGTAATTTCCTATTCATTAAAGTATATAAAAATGTGTGTTTAACCCACTAAGCAATGAACGTAGTGATTTTGAAGCGGGATCTTCGACTATCACGTACAATTTGTCGAGCACCTTCAAGATGGGATTTTTTCCCGAGGGACAATATTTCACAGTCAGGACAACGCATAATTTTATGTTTAAGTTTATCGCGTGTTCTTTATTACCCTCAAGGTAAAATGGAAAAAAAAAACTTCTATTGTCATCCTTAAAAATGTTATATAATATTTGGTTTCCAAGATTTTTTTATTTACGATATCTTCTTATATATGAGAAATGAGATATACGAACATGTGCATATATAGGTACATTTGTTGATCTTTAAAATACTTTATCATAGTCAATGTAATCACGTAAAAGTTTTATCAGACTCATATTTTTTTTACCTTAAATAATATTTATTTTACTTTATATAAAACAAAGTCATAAAAAGTAATAATGGCGGAATGGTCAATCGCAGTCTAAAATGATTTCAAATCAGCAATTTTATCATTGTGAGATTCAAAATTAAAATTGCAAACTAAAATTATTACATATTTTTTTAAGATATCTCCTTAATTTTCTTGCGACGATTTTTAATTCTTTTTTTTATTAAGAAAACTGAAAATTTTCATATCACCTAATAATTTCTATGTGAAAAATGTATAAATAATAATAAAAAAAATCATTTTATCAACTTATTTGTTATTACGTTTGTCACTTTTTCATCCATATTTATACTGATGTATCCTTTTATATTTGACATATAATTTTGTATAACAACAAACATCGTGGATTTAATCTCAAAATAAATGTGTAACAAGACAGTTACTGGCAACATTTTGTACATTCGCATGCATTTGACTCGTTGTATTAAATCTATTTTATATTCGAGTACAAATACACAAATGCTGAATGATAGACGTTTAAGATATTTTCCAGAAACCTTCAGACACAGACCATTGTCTACAAATACAATGCTTCAATCTTCCATGTTGATGATATTCTTGTTCTCTCGACAAAACAGTTTAAATTGTTCAACTAAACCAATGCTCTCGCAATTTCGAATACTTCTTTTGTTTAATGAAAGTTAATAATTATAATCGTTACATTTTTATTTCAACTTAGTATTTTATTAGCACATAATATATATCTGATATAATTTAATATGATTATACTTTTGTTAATTAATCAAACAATTATTAATTTTAATATGTATTGAAAATTCTGAAACGTTGAAAATGATTTAGCGACGCTTAATATAGTTTCCCTGATAAGCTTTCCAGATCGCACCCGTTTAATTAAGTAGAACCATTTGGAAGTTTAATGAAGGTTTCTGTTTCAGTTGTTTATATAAGCTCCCCTATATTGCGAACAGGACTGCGTATTTATATACCAAATTAGCTAATTCCGTGAAAATTCCGCTTTCATAAATTTTATTCACATAATATAAAATTTACACATCTATCGTAGTGTTTAAAAATTTAATGATAATCAATATTACAAGTTAAAACTGACATTTCAAGTAATATTGATCGGAGACTTAGCCGTGAGTAGGTTTTCAGGACTTTTCAAGTGAAGGGCGCGCTGAAGAAACGCGGTATACCAAGAGAAATGAATTATCTCAAAGGTCAAGGGCTCTTCAGTTACGCCTTACAAAAAAAAATATAAGTGGTCTTTAAATTTCGTTAAGGAGGTCAAATTGTATGTATTGCTTTTCTTTAGTGCCTTATCTACATCAAGTGTTGGAGAATATATAATTTTTGAATAATTTTGTTGAATAACGTTCCGCTTTTAAATTTACGTAATTGGAATACCTATCTATATATATAAAAGAAAGTCGTGTTAGTTACTCCACTTATAACTCAAGAACGGCTGAACCGATTTAGCTGAAAATTGGCAGGGAGGTAGTTTAGAACCAGGAAATTCCAATAGGATACTTTTTATCCCGTTCGACAGCATTCCCGTGGGACTTGACATGAAACGTCAGTCACTATAAAACGTGGAATAACGAAACACAATTGACAGCTATGCAATTGACGTATAATGACAGATATGTAATGAAGTATGGATGACAATTTGATATTTGTAAGAAATCTACTATATAAAAATAAGTCTGGTTTTCCATCCTGACGCTATAACTTCAGAACGAAAGAACCAATTTCCACGGTTTTGCTTTCGTTGGAAAGGTCTCGGGCTCCGTGACAACAAAAAAATTCAACAGAAAAGGGGGAAAATCTTTTGTCACATACAACGCCATCATACCTACCATTTACTACAAATCAATATTAAGTATTTTTAAGTAGATGGTATGTACTGTCGCATGATACATTATTTGACAGCTATTCATTGTTCTCTTCTCAAACCGGTAACAAACCGGTATTGTGTTTGTAGTTTGAACTCTTAAAACCATTTAGTTTTTGCGGGATAAATTTAGAAAATCATTGTTTTTCCCATGGGCATTGGGCAGTTATATTTTGCGTGTTCACGAGTTTGGAAACCATCTGCTTTATTTGTGTTAAAGTAAGACCAAAAAACAAAAAATGTGGTTTACAAAGGAGCACTTCAATGAAACGGATAATTTGCGGACACGTATAACGCTTCGTTTCGATATCTACTTTGGATTCACTTTCATTTACTTAGAGAAGTTCAACGAAATAACACTTCATTTTTGTAATCGAAATGAATTCATTACTGTTGTGAAATGAAATAAAAATTTTCCTTTTGAAATATAAAACAAAAAAAAAATCTTCATCTTTTAATCACCAAACGAAATGTTATATAAAAGCCTTCTGGTGGCGAAACTAGTTACCGGGTTAGAAACCGGGTTAACTAGTTTATAATGTTTATTAAGATACGGAAAAGATTTTAAAAAGTATATATTTAACCCATTTGAATCATATGAAATTATATTAAAAAGATGGAAGTTATTTTTAAATTAATTTACTTTCATTCTTCCACTGTCACCATCAATCAACAATCTGCGAAGATTGACACGTAAAAAACGTTTTTGCTACACATATAAAAAAACGTATTTGCATACGTATATTTTAAATTTTTAGCGGTAATTATGTAATAATAATTTCAATGATATTCCTGAAGTTGACACGGAAAATTTTTTTGTTTCAAACCCGTAAAAGTTTGTATTTTTCTAGCTTTAAGTTTGGTGTAAAAGATATTTCATGTCAAACGCATATGTAGTATCATGAAAATATTAAAATCCAAGAACAGGTAACGTGAAAAACTTTCGAGAATCGCTGAGAAGCTCAGATTAAAGTCCACTCATATAATAATGCATGGTCTAAAATTCAACACAAAAGATTTAAACAATATCCTAAGAAGAAAAATAATAACAATTTATAGTCTCCTAAGTTTAATGCAAGTTTTAGATGAATCTAATCGTCTCCGCTTGATCGTTTAAGCTGTGTGACTCTTAATCTGCAACAGATCTACATTTAAAATAAAGTCTTGGGTAATGGCGACAGAACAAATGAAAACAAATAGGAAAAACCGTCGTAATAAATTGCGTAGCGGCCCAGTGCTTTATTGCAAGTGAAAATTTACGAGAAAGTTAAGGCACATAGACCCATGATTTAAAGAATGATTGTATACACTTGTGTTTCATTATAAAACGATAAATGAGTAAACTTTAGTTTTTTTTAGTTTACTTGACTGTATTTATATATGATTTAGCAATTTTTATATTACAAATTCAATGAGTCACTGAAATGGAACATTACTATAAAGTCTTGCTTATATATTTTTTTAATATCTTACTTGTGTGTGACATTTGCTGAACTGACGAAAGCTGTAAGAAAGTCTGAACACATGGGAAGCGATGCAAATGGTCCGTGAATAAAATATGAGCACTTTAGCTTCGTTTTGAGAATCTCGTTTCTCCCAGCATTACGTTTTACGAAGTTTCTGTGACCTGCATATCGAGATCTGGAATATATTATATAGACTTTAAATTATTCAAATATCAATAGGCTTTATAATTACATCACTATAAACTAATTCAATAAAATATCTGGATAATTCAATTTGACATATTTTTACATGAAAGAGATCTCAGTAATCCAATTGCAGCGGTGCTAAAATATTATATCAAAAATTTCAGATTTAATAAAAAGTCAGTTAAATACTGATGCTTTATTTTTGAAAGCAAAAAAATATTTTAGCGGTGGAAAGTCCTAAAATCCCATACATAAAGTTATAAATTTATAACGATCTATAATACCCACATATATTATGTTCGCAAATGCATTAAATAAAGCTTAGTCATAGTACAGCAGTCATAAGTGGTTTTAGTATAGCTTCTAGTTTGCTGAGCTTTGTTAAAAACGATCATATCACGAAACAAAACCGACAACGACAACGCTCAAAGAAATATAAACAAAAGAATTTCGTGCTTATATGCAGTTTGTTTTATTATTACATAAACAAAGTACGTTTTCAAAAAGCCGACTTCGAAGAATCTCAAAACGACTTTATATAAAAACCCGCTGACTCTATAACATAAAATATAATTGAATTAGGCTCGTATTAAAATTCATGAGAATCGCAATTTGGAAATGTTAAAAATATCAAAATTAATAACCTGTGACAAAATTAATACCACACATATACTATCAGATCATAATCAATTTACTCAAATCATAATTTTTCTTATAGGAGGAGATCGAAGATAGGCCTCGAGCGGCTACGTTCCTCAGTTCTCTGGCGGACTATTCCAATACCATCCCCACTGCCTCGACGGCTGATCCCGATGCCCCAAAACCCGCACCCCCCGCTCGTATGGGCACCCTCATCGGGGTGTACCTTCCTTGCATCCAAAACATTTTCGGCGTTATCCTCTTCATCCGTTTAACATGGGTTGTTGGAACTGCTGGCGCTATCCAAGGCTTTCTAATTGTGCTTGTATGCTGTTGTACGGTAAGTTATATATTTAATTATATAAATTACATCATAAGTTATATTAGGATTGACTATAAATATTAAATGTTTTATCAGACGATGCTTACTGCGATATCAATGTCAGCGATTGCTACGAACGGTGTGGTACCAGCAGGGGGCTCATATTTCATGATCGGTCGGTCTCTGGGTCCAGAGTGTGGTGGCGCAGTCGGAATGTTGTTCTATACAGGCACTACCCTCGCTGCTGCCATGTATATCGTCGGAGCTGTTGAAATAGTTCTGGTAAATATACAACAGAACAAGAATACTTAAGATTAAAAAATCATTTTTTTTAATATTTTATAACAACGAAACCATCGTATTTTTTGATATCCAAATTTTCTTCTTCTATGCGGCGGAATCAAATTTTTATGGAATCGTAAAACATGTGCATAAATAAAGTAACGTTTATAAAATTAACGATCAATAAAAGAGACTAAGGAATCAAAAGTTATTGACTACGCAAGATTAAATTTAATTTTGTGACGAAAAACTTAAATAATGTGCATTTTTATATTATTTTTATTTTGCAGACGTACATAGCACCCTGGATGTCAATTTTCGGCGATTTTACTAAGGATCCTGAAGCGATGTACAATAACTTCAGAGTTTACGGAACCGGACTTCTATTAATAATGGGCATGGTTGTGTTTGTTGGAGTCAAATTCGTCAACAAGTTTGCTACACTCGCCCTCGCTTGTGTCATTCTTTCCATTAGTGCTGTCTACGCTGGCATCTTTGTAAACTTTAACGGAAACGATAAACTTCAGTGGGTTTAGTTTTATTTACATTCATTATGTTTACCCAACATTTTAAGTCTCGTTATACAAAAAAAATTTCTTTACTTTTATTTCAGAATGTGTGTATTGGGCAAACGTTTATTGAAGGACATTCATATTAGTAACTGCAGCAAGGATTTTGGCGGTGAACTGCATCAATTATTTTGCCCGAATAATACATGCGATCCGTATTATCAACAACACGAAGTTTCAGTGGTTCAAGGCATTAAGGTATAAAGAGTATTTGCAACTGTATTTTGTAATATCATAGTTTATTGTTTTATTTCGATATTTCTATAACAGGGATTGGCAAGTGGAGTTTTCTTTGACAACTTACAAGACTCTTTTCTACAACTTGGACAATATATCGCTTATGGCAAAGAACCAGATGACATTGAACAGATGGAACGACCAACCTATAACCAGATCTATGCTGATCTTACTACTACCTTTACAATTCTCATAGGCATCTTCTTCCCATCCGTAACTGGTAAGCATTACTTTAACAAATATATTTCAAACTAAAGATGGTTTTTATTTAACATAATTTTTATCACTTTAGGTATTATGGCTGGATCGAATCGTTCTGGAGACTTGGCTGACGCTCAAAAAAGTATTCCAATCGGAACAATTTGCGCTATTCTTACAACATCAACTGTTTACCTGTCTTGTGTGTTACTTTTCGCTGGAACCGTCGACAACTTATTGCTAAGAGACAAGTAAGTGATCTAAGTATCCTTTTTTCCGTAAGTATCCTTGTGTTTATATCCTTGAACATATCCTGTATTATCACTAAGACTTTCTCTACCCGCTTTACCCTTTCCTTTGCCCTCTTTAGTAAATCTTTCCTTATGGCTCCCTGTGTATTTAGAAGTATCAGTCATCCTTTTCACTATGTCAGATTTATCTGCCTTTGTTGATCGAGAGGTTCCGGGTGCATTACATTTTGAAAGAGCAGTTTTAACACTATCAGCATTAAGTTTACACTCTGTAATTAGAAACTCTAAAAACTGGATGAACTGCTTAAAATCTATTGTTTTCGACTTGAATCGCTGAAAAAGTATAGCCGTATCTGTTGTAGATACTTTCTTTCCATCAACAACACCGGCTTCTTTAAGCCACTTGTCAAGATTTGATAATGTTATTAGTTTGCCATCTGATTTGCTGTTTCCAAATTTCGCATAGCTTTTGAAAATATCTTCTAATATTATTTCTTTATCCAGTTTGTCCACCATTTTTTTAAGTTATTTAATAAAATGACGTAAATCGTAATTATTAAAATATTACTTTCTGATTTTTACATATTTACAATTTTATTTAACTAAACTCATATTGTGTTTATAAAGCCATCTGGATTTAAAGATTTTTATTATTTTTTTTTAGATTTGGGCAATCGATAGGCGGGAAACTTGTAGTTGCAAATATGGCATGGCCAAATCAATGGGTTATTTTGATTGGATCGTTCCTTTCTACCCTCGGAGCTGGATTACAATCTTTGACTGGCGCACCACGTTTACTGCAAGCCATCGCTAAGGATGAAATAATACCTTTCCTTTCACCGTTCGCAGTTTCTTCTAGCCGGGGAGAACCGACAAGGTAGTTATTTATTATTGTACTTACCTAATTGACTACTTAAATATAAAATAACTATGAATTATATACGACCCATTTACAAAGAAAGACAATTTAAAGTATAAACTTTTTTCAGGGCTTTATTATTGACTATGGTTATTTGCCAATGCGGCATCCTTCTGGGCAACGTTGATATCCTAGCTCCATTGCTGTCTATGTTCTTCCTTATGTGTTACGGATTCGTCAATTTAGCTTGCGCTCTGCAAACGCTTTTGAAGACACCCAACTGGCGCCCCAGATTCAAGTATTACCATTGGTAAGAAACCATCGCAAAAGATAATTAATTAGTATTTCAACGTTATTTTATTCATTTATTTATAATAAAAAATCAAGTAACATAGACTCATAAATTTGTTAGTAACAATAGAAACTATATAACTCAAAATTACATTACTGCTGCATCCTACTAGAGTTGGCACAGAAATGATTTATATAAGGACAATCAAGCCTACATATCATGTTAAAAATGTTGTGTGTGGATTATTATAAATTATTATACTAAATATATAAATTATTTACAGGTCACTCTCACTCGCAGGATTAACGCTATGTATTTCCATTATGTTTATGACATCATGGTTTTATGCCTTAATAGCTATAGGCATGGCTGGTCTTATCTACAAGTACATCGAGTATCGAGGGTAGGTGTACTTACACTATAGCTATTACCAAAGCTATTGTTATTGTTAATATATTTCAATTATTCCTTGACTGTTTAATTATCTTAGAGCCGAAAAAGAATGGGGTGATGGCCTGCGCGGTCTGGCGCTTTCCGCAGCTCGTTACTCATTATTGCGTCTTGAAGAAGGACCCCCACACACAAAGAACTGGAGACCTCAAGTTCTTGTTCTTGCTAAACTGAATGAGGATCTGAATCCGAAGTATAGGAAAATGCTTGCTTTTGCCAGTCAACTTAAAGCTGGTAAGAGTTTTTTTTTAAGTGATGCTGGTCTGAAAGTGATGGTGATCATGAAACTGAACCTGAATTTATGTATTTAAAATATTCCTCTACAGGGAAAGGTTTGACAGTATGTGTATCCGTGTTGGGTGGTGATTTTACCCGCCGTGCAGGGGAAGCAGCTACCGCTAAACAAAACTTACGCAAATGCATGGATGAAGAGAAAGTCAAAGGATTCGTTGATGTCCTTGTATCACACAGTATTGCTGATGGCCTGGGCCACTTGTAAGTAGCAAACAATTTTATAACTAATTTTCAAACTGGTAATATTGTAACTCTGTAACAAAATTATTCCCGTTTAGTGTTCAAACGACCGGTCTTGGCGGATTGAAGCCAAATACAGTTATTGTCGGATGGCCATATGGTTGGCGACAATCGGAAGATGAACGTACTTGGCAAGTGTTCCTACACACTGTCCGAGCTGTTACCGCCGCGAGAATGGCCATGCTGGTACCTAAGGGAATCAATTTCTTCCCTGACTCTACTGAAAAGGTAAACTAACAATACACCAAACCAAAAAAAAAAACGAAAAAATGTGGTCTAAAATATTAATTCTACATATATCCTTACAGGTCTCTGGTAACATAGATATTTGGTGGATAGTTCACGATGGTGGAATGTTGATGCTCTTACCATTCCTGTTGAAGCATCATCGCACGTGGAAGAATTGCAAGATGCGAATTTTCACTGTCGCCCAAATAGAAGATAACTCCATACAAATGAAAAAAGATCTGAAAATGTTCCTGTATCAATTACGTTTGGAAGCTGAAGTTGAAGTCGTAGAAATGGTAAGAAATTATATTTGTATAATGATACTTGACGCTGTCGCAAGGACACGTTTAACTAAACCAAGATTACATGTTGACTATTTTGCAGTAACTATGTTCACAGACAGACGAAATAAGGGTGTCTTATAAAATATAACAAATAAAATTAAGTAAGAAATCCAAAAAGCACCTTAAAACGAAAAGAAAAGATTTACTTAAATGGCTTTCTGTGCCACAACGTTAGATATTATTCATAACAAAAAGAAACACTTATAAAAAAAATCTCTATTTTACAGACTGATAATGACATCTCCGCCTACACTTACGAGCGTACCTTGATGATGGAACAACGCAATCAGATGTTACGCGAACTGAGACTTAATAAGAAGGAATCGCTTGGAATGGTAAGCTATAAAAAAATTATATTCTCTACATTTTTACCCCGACAATCATCGTTGATAAATGCTAAAACCGTCAAACTATCAGTGTAACTTCTTAATGTGCTATATATTTGTACACATGTGTGGCTTGTTTGACATTATATCGTGACGACGAAATAAACTAATTTGCCGTTTGTCCATCGCTGCCAACACAGATGCAAAATTTGGTGGACTATCGTGAACAAAACGCTGAGGAGAAGTTGCCTCTGGTAAAATGGATACATTACCCTCGACCGAGTCCACTTTTAATATGCATTAGAAAATTATTTTTTGTTACTTTAATAGCTTCGCCATTGATACCATTATGCCTTGCTTCTTCTAACTTCGAAATGTAAACCTATGGTATTTTGTTTGTTTCAATATGAATGGAAATTTATTTAATTATTTGTGTAGAAAGATGTTTCGGTCCATGTGTATATTCATTAGGCATTCTTCATTGAAACCATTTAGATGATTATGAATCATGTTGTAAACATAACGGCTTGCTCTCAGGATCGGTACTGGCTTTTGGTGTTATATGTTTCTCTTATACATGTTACTCACTTCTGTCATTACACAGTCCTTTCTATCTGTAACGCACTTTTTCACTTTAGATATTATTGTGTATTTTGACTTACTATATATGTTTTACTAAAATCTAATCTTATTCTTCTCCGTTTTGAAAATACAATAGATATTTATTAACATTAAGGCATATCAATGTCATAGAAATAAGTAAATATTACGTATTATTAAAATTATTCCGCCATATCAGGTTCAAGCCATAGTGGATCATCATCACGCTGACGTGAAGACGGCTAGCAAGGTCCGTTTTGCTGAACCTGGTTCTGAGCCAGCAGCTGAAGACGCACCCTCACCTCCTCTGGCTGAAAACGATGACAAAGACAAAGATGATAAGGTGACAGTCAATACATATTGATGTTAAGCTAAATATTTAAATGTCAATAAAGAAAACAGTTACAAATGTGGAAAAGTTGTATACGTAGATTCATTGCTATCTTTGAGTATATTTTAAATGTATATTTTGAATTACATACGAGTATATATGGAAAACGTGTATGGCTTTACCACTTTCAAGAATAGAAAATGAAAACAAAGAAAATCTTGAACGTACTCAATGGAAGTAATACAAATCTATAATTTTTTGGTTATCAAACTTTATTTGATAAAGATAGATTCGTATTATTTTCATATATGATAAAGAATATGTTAATTAAAAATCTAAAACAAACCCCTTGAATTAAAAATACGCTAATGTTAGAACGTCTGCTTGGCAAATGGAAGCACATTTATGAAACTCATAAAACTGGATCAAAATTCTATTGACTCCTACATTTAACATTATGTTTTTTTGGCTATTTCTGTTACTTAATTATACGTCAAGCTAAAGCATTTCTATACCCCAATTATTATTTTACCAATGTTTTTTTTTATTAAATGTTTACGACACCCTGGTGAATTAGTTGTTGAAAATAATGTAATTACTTTCAGCAACAAATTCAATATTTTCAAAGAGCTCGCTTACATTTGCACAGTTATTTTTATTTTGAGTTCTGCATCGTTATAGTTAACCATAACGAGTCCTAGCGAATTTACACACGGTGGTCATATGTTTGGCAATGAGCTCATTTACATTACTTTGTTCACTGTAGTTACTTCATACCACATTAGCTATGAGTGGATGTTTGAATGTCGGTAGTCAGTGACTGTTTAACAATTTAAATAATATATGACATCCCGTGTTTCATTCGCCTTGAATCCGTCATGTGCAACGCTCGGTACGGAATACGAAACGCAAAATTTTGCAAATGGAACGATGAAAATATTGGGGTAAATATTAGGACGAATTTCGAAGTAGTTTGTTGCACATAATCGATTCAATGTGGGACTCGCCCGATGAACGCTCGCAGTGTGAGTCGCCAACGCCTCCGATCGACGGGGACAAACACAAGGACGGCAACCTCAACGGTGACGCGCTTAAACCACAGCCCAACATGCCGATACTGACTCCGTAAGTAACACACGATTTATATATGTACTTACAGTCTATATCATAAACAATAATGTTTGTTACAACTTAAAACATGAAACGAATTTGAATAATTACAAACAAATCACATTCAAATCAGAATAACGATGTAAATATATATTTTCAACCTTAAAATATCTCTATTAAGGTTGTTAGTATTTTGAAATAAAACCAACTAACTTTTGTGAATGTTAGCGACGAGGGAACGGTGCGACGGATGCACACTGCCGTTAAGCTGAATGAAGTCATAGTGTCGCGTTCACACGACGCACAATTAGTCATACTGAACCTGCCGGGCCCGCCGCGCGACACTAAACTCGAGAGGGAATCCAACTGTGAGTATACTCGAGCTCGATGTACCCGCTGTGACACGCAAATAGGCCGTCCAATGCTTATTTGAACACGCCAACATCCAGATACTATTTATTTCTAGTTTCCAAAAATTCTATTTTTAAACCGTGCTTGACTGAAGTGTTCGTTGAATTGAAATTTTATAAATAGATTGAAACGAACGTGACATATTTCAAACAAAAAATACCTTTAACGTAAAAAAGATATATTGAATGTATAAAATTATATATAAAGTACTAGAAGACCCGGCGAACTTCGTATCGCCCTATAATCTAGAAATATCTGTAACGTTTTTTTATTTATATTTTTGGAGTTTACCTATTAAAGCCATAAATCTCCCTGTTTTGAAGTGCGACAGAATGATTGACATATTAGTTAGTTGTCAAATCTAATGTCAAAAAAATAACGTTTGTATCAACAACTACTAATAAATTAAAAATGAATTAAAAAAACATTGTTCAGCGGACAAAATTGTGAATCTAAACCATTCCCAGATCCCCTTGAACACACACAAAAAATTTCATCAAAATCGGTCCAGTCGTTTGAGAGAAGTTCAGTGACATACACACTCACAGAAGAATTATATATATAAAGATAATGTGACTATTGTTGTATTAATTATATATAAATGATTCTTTCCCCAGACATGGAGTTCTTGGAGGTGCTGACGGAGGGTCTGGAGAAGGTCTTGATGGTTCGTGGCGGGGGCCGCGAAGTCATCACCATCTACTCGTGAACGCGCCCCGCACCTTCTATATCGAACTATCAGCGCCACCTCTGCGCTCTTAATCTATGTGATTTGTTCCTTCATTTCCGAACGTTACGCTCGGACGTCTTGTTGATAGTTTTTTAAACGCATAATTCCCGCTGAAACGGGTCGTATTGATTTATTTATCATTTGTAATGTATTGTATTTTCTTACGACTATATTGTTTGACGTAATGTTAGATTAGATCTAAATTTTGTTACGTTTGACGCTTAGATTATTTAAAGAGTATTTACTGTTGTATGCACGTGGGTGTGTATCTAAAATGAGCCTTAACATAGGTTACTTGAACAATTTGTTCCGTTATTTTTTAGAATATGTATTGGACTGCACATAGATAATTAAACACAAATATTAAAAGGGTCAAACCTATAAATCGGCAGTATTTACTTTTATAGAAACTTAATTTATAGTATATTTATACAACAAAATAACAAACCTATTTTCAAATTTATTGTGCAGTCCACTTTATATGTATATTAATATTTAGTATCTCTACACCTAAGTGTGCATTTGAGTTACCAAAATACAAATATTCAAATCTTTGATGTAAAAAAATATATACACTGCTTAAGTATGTGATTTTTGAAAAACAAAACGAAACTTTTGTAGTGTTGTGTTCTCTTAATATTACGTCTGCTCAAGTGGTATTCTATGGACTATGGATTGGTAATAATTAATCTATTTACGTATACTCTTCGTATAAAACCACCATAGACACTAGTCATACGTAACACATTTAACGATTTTAATTTGAATTTATATATTTTTTTAATATGATTTTATTATATGTAACTTACACATAGTATTTTTATTATAACTGCGATGACAAAAAAAAATAGTAAAACACAAAAAAACAACGTCATTTTTCTTATTAGTTTACGTTTAATGGATGTCGAACCTTGGTACTTTTACGCACATTCGCGTAGTTAGCTGATTTCTTACTGTGATCATTTATATAACATTTTTGTCATCTGTACTTTTAATGTACCGGAGGTCAGAAAGTTTTTAATGGTAAGGAGATAGCTCTTCTAGAATAGCCATACCTGATGAGGGTGACATTCACATTCCTTGTTGGGATCTTATTATAAGATAGACTTAAGAGATATTCAAATAAATTTATTAATATAATACTGTCTAAGCAAAACTCGTGTTACGGTAAATAACGTTCCGCTCTAAGTACAGCTCAACGTCTAAATTTCTAATATATTTTTAAGGAACTGGCAATACTGATAACCAACGGTTATTTAAAAAAAAAACAATCAACTCGTTGATTTGCATTTCTTTTTCTAAGCTTCATTAAAAACGAGCTCACAATGTAAAAGTTGTCAATTTAGTTCTGGTAACTTACTACCTATACTTGTTAGGTTACTGCCAAATAGAATTTGATGTTCTAATAATTCCTAGTCCTTAAGTGATTAGGTAGTGAAGCGGTAATTATCTCATCATTCGATACATTATACTTAGACTATTAGACGGTTGAAATAGATTAAGTCTAGTGCATGATATCACTTTTGCGATTTTTAGATAAAAAAAAAAAATAGCATAGGATACCCGTCATTGAGGTGAAATAATGATAATTATTATGTAATCAACGTGTCTAATATCTATCCAGTAGATTAACTAAACAAAAAACTTCATAAAATCACAAATAGTAAACAAAAATTTAATGTTACCTTTAGAGAGTTAAAACACTGAGGAGATAGTATTAATATATAAAACCTTATTTGAGACTTGTAAAAAACACTTGTAATATTTTTCATAAAACCAAACATCTGACCTTTTAAAAAACGATAAACTACAAAGTTCCTATCATCCACAACATTCATACAATAACGAAGTCCTATTTGTTAAACTTTGTATTTCAACTCTCTATAAACAGCAAATATTATCAACGTATGAAAGAAAAGAAAAAACATTAATAAAACCTTTTTGAAATTTCTTGAAATGAATATAAAATAGACAGCGAACGAAATAGTTATATAACTAAAAAATAAATAAAGTGAGGTCACCATCAAGAGGTTTCTACACTTGTACTGCACTTCTTTAGTGATACATTGTGATCATTTACTAAAGGGTATTTGACAGATTTCACTTAATATGATTAAGATTTATTGAACAAAGTTGGATTTTTATTATTTAAAATAAATAAAAATTATATATTCACTAATCTATTCCAAATCACATAGTGATATAAAGCAGAAAAAAAATCTATAAAACATATCTTCCTTTTGACAGAGCCATAGGTACAAAAATATATTTAATATTATCAAATATTTATGTCTATCAATAGGCACTGAAAGTTTATTTATCTCATTGTATTATCTTTTACTTTTAACTTTCTGATTAACCAAAAAAAAAGTGTGTTAAAAGTTACCATACACTTTTTTTTTTTTTTCACCTTTACCCAATAATAACGCGTACCTAATAAGGTACTTTATATATGTGCCAAAGTTCAAAATTTTACTAACATTAAATTTATGAACCTCAGGAATCGTAACATAACCAAAAATCATTAGAGTAACAAAATGGTATTCATATAATACTGGCCTGTATTTTAGTATGAGTTTGCTTGAACAACGTAAACATATTCCAAGTTTTATCATCCATAAACTTTCAGTAACCTAAGATTTTTAAGTTGGAAAACTTTTTACTATCGGTCGTTAGGTTAACGATACAAACTCGTACTAGGATCTAAGTCTAAATGACAAACGAACAGGTATAGCCATAGTTCTTACAGAAGCACATGAAACTTAACATAGAATATGACTGTTCGTAAATTCAATCTACTAAAAAAAGTATTTACTTCTAAAATAACATAAGATTATATAAATTATATGAAATATATATATTTAATTAATTAGCTCTATCGAGTGTCTTGTAATTTAAAAATATAAAATTGTCTATTTTAGATTTTAGGCTGTGAGCCAGCATTAAACACGTTTATTAAAAATTTTAATATTTCAGGCTAGAGTTGCTGTGATACACCATTTTGGCTATAAAATATAGTTAAATCATTTCTGGCTGTAGTTGTTTAGTAACAGCGTGTCTATTAACTAATGTTGCCATATTATAATTTAACTGTGATTTTATTGACATTTTTTAATACATTTTGCACTTTTATTTAATTTATAACAATTTTAAGCCAGAATTTATGTTTAAATACTATTATTTCTAATATTGAATTTATTTTAATAGAAATTTCTTCACCAAATACCGACTTACCTATGTACTATGGAGAACATTAAATTGTGGAACTATATATTATTAAATAGGCATAAATGTAACGGCTTCGTAAATGAAATTTTATTGAAAAACAAATGTTTTGATCTGAATGAGATTTTATCTGTCAATATAAATATTTGAAAATATAAAAGCTGTCTTATAAAATTATATTAAATTAATTAAAACTATTCAAATAATAATTCTAGCGAGTTAGCCAGTGAAGGAGATGTTATGAGTATTATAAAATAAAATAAATTATAATTCAAACATTCTTTTTTTATTTCTATATTTACCTATCTTCGATCACATACAATATTCAACCCAATATTTCCTTTTTCCTTCACACTTAACATCCATTTCAAGTATTATATAAGTATAAAAATAGAAATGTCAAAATTAAAGAAATTTCCCCCTTTCAATACACCCATTAAGAAATAATAAATTAAATAAAAAATCTATTCAAAAACTTGAAAGCAAGGATACCTCTATGTATTTGAATACATTTTGAATGTTTAACTGTATTAATATATTAATTTTAAAAAATTAATATTGGAGTAATAAAAAAAAAATAACATTTGTTTAATTAACATTGGACTTATTCATATACAAAGTTATCTATAGTTACTGAAAGGGCAGGAAATATACTTGTACTTACATCAATAACGTAAAGACGTAACATATTATAGAGAAAGTGTTTTATACTATCTTATTTTTCAATAAAATAGGCACTAGAAGAAAATAAAAACGCCATAAGTAAAAGTAAAATAATAGAGAAAAGAAAAAATATATGTATATTCTTAGCTTATGTAAGGTACTTATTCTTGATATTATTTTCATTCGCCCATTTTTAATGGATAGAGAAATGTATTTTAAAAGAAATAATTCACAGGAATTCGTTATGTCATCTTTTTAAAGATTAACTTATTGGCAGATCATAATACTTCTTGTAATATTACTTCTTTTTAAGTTACTTCATAAAATAATAGTCGTTACCCGCTAGCTTCGAGTGGCATAAACTACAGAAATTACTTCTATGGGGTGGAGTAGTGCACATTTCTTTCATGAATTTATGCAAAATTTTGACTCTGTATGAGCTATTGCTTGAAAATTTAAAATTTTCATTTATAACACACACCCCTGCAATCATTACTCGGGATGAGCTATTATATAAAACTCGCTCAAAGATAATTTCAACATCATATACAGAAGATTTCTACGAAATTGTGAGCATGCATGTATTAATTTTAAAACGGGGATTTTTATTGTAAGCGCCCCTGTAACAGTCCGTGAGGGTGGTGTTTAGTCAAATCCTTTCTTGCCTGATCTCTACTCGGCTAAAGGAATATTCCTACCCTACTATATTATAATATACTATACTACTTTGTAATTACAAGTCTCTACGCCTCATACTTGCAAAGATATCGGTAGGAAATGGGAGTCTGGTAGACATACGTATATATTTTATAAATCAGTTAACTTGTGACGTGTCGTACAAGTAGTTAATTAGTAAGAAATATCCAGTGTAGGTAAGAGCTATATTCCAAATCAATAGTTTGATAATAAGAAATCTTCATCTTCAATCAATTAAATAGGGAGAAATTACTGAATGAAAAAGATTGAAACCTTTTTAAAAGTATTTATTCAATAAATTTTGTTGTTTTTGTTGTAGATTTAAAAATAGCTTATGGGTCTATCAGGATATTAAAAAAGGCAATCTTAATGTGTCATACGTAAGTGCAAATTGCTAATGAATTACCTACCTACAGAACGTCATCATGAATTTGAACATTTATAACAAAAGTTGCTGTCCTGATTTTTATTTTTGTAAGCACTTGTAGCTCATATTATACAAAAAATATTTCTTTGTGGTCTAATTGCTGTACGCAAACCGTTGCGTACCGCTTTTGAAATAAAATATTATTGTTTTATCATTAGGGGGCGATTTTAGAATTTATGATAGCAAGCAGTAGTCTGTACGATCAAGATTTTGTAGGATTTTCGTTGGACTATCTTCAAAACGTTGTACTTATGCTATTATAATTTTTCGTAGAACCTTCAGTATTATAGTAAAATGAGAAAAGGCATATATAAATTTTTACTGTATCTACTCATTGTGGATTGCATCTGAGTCTTTGAAGCATGATCATCTGAGATTTCAAATTTATTTGATATTGAGTCAAAAGCGAAATCGACCAATTTCCCTCCTAAATCTGAACGTTTTTCTAGTTTTGAATGACATCTACTACAAAATTGACTTTAGATCCTATGAAAAATTATAAAGATTGACAAAATAATAATTTCTCTTACACGTTATTAATAAAGAGTTCAAAGCACGACGTATAATAAGTTCTAATTTGTACTAAACATAACATCTACCAAAATAACCCATATGTTTAAATAAGATTAAATTAACATTTCAAGAAAACTTATATTTCATTTAATTAAAGCTAAGTCGATGGTATTCCAAAAAAATAGATGGCTATGAAAAAAAGGACTTCGTTTTCTTTGTCTCTCTTAAACAATTAATGTAAACAGAAAAATAAATTCAGGTGGTATAAAAAAATAACACAAAATGATTTAATTCCTTTTATTAGTACTCTATGCTACAAATTTTTACACTTTTCTAAATTTGCCCAAAAATATACATTTATAAACTAATATCACATATTTAATAATAATTAACTTACATATTTTAAAAGTGATTGACAAGTATGTACATATTTTCTTAAAATTAAATGACAGTTTAAAAACATTAGTATTACTTGGATAAAAATAAATCTTCTTACTCTATGATCTTTTTTATCTTCTTAACATACATCTTTAAATTCATATTTGGAAGACAATAAATTTTATCATGAGCAAAAAGGTTCTTATATGATTTATTCTTTATTTTATACTTTCTCTTATATAATCCTTTAGGCCAGTAACATTATGGGATGTATACAACTTACTAAGAATAGAATACTTGAGACTTATTACTTTCATACCAATTATATTTAATTGGTGTATTTTCATAACTTGTGGTCCGATGAGCTTATCATCAGAACAATAGTGATCCGGCAGATGAATTAATATACCTATATTGTCACTTCTGTCCATATTTGATTTCCAGTTAAATGTATTTCCACTGTTACTTTTAGGCTGCAGCAAAATATCAATTAGATATGTTTTATCGGAACAAAAATTGGGTAATAAGTATGATGTTGTTATTGTCATATTGTCTCCGTATAAACTGTCGATGTGATGCTGAATTTTTTCTATAATATTTTTTATTCGGCTATCTTGCAGCACAGGTTTGGGACACTGATCTTTCGGTAACATCGGACCAGAATATTCATTACATGCTAATGTCAACGAAGTATCAATTAAATGTAACCTCTTCAAAACATCTGTTTTATCTATCTTTGATGTATTCTCAATTTTAAATACATTCTGTACTAATTTCAATGGGTACTGGCCACAATACATGAACGATAAAATGATATCGGTAAGATCTTCAATTTTCATTTTATTGTATCTTTCCAATAAAACCTTCTCTGTTATTGTCCAAAAATCAGAATTTTTTGGTTGGTATGATAAAAATCCATATGTATAAATAAAAGACTTCAAAAAACTTGCTGGTATCGTCTCTAAATTATCCAAAAAGTACTGACTGCTTATTTCTAATATTAAATTATTGCGAAGCTTAAATTGCATACAATAATTTAGTATACCAATTATCAGAACTTCTGATTTAATTTTTGATGATTTGAGTTTAAGAAACTTTTCGACGGCTGCCTCTATTTGATTGTCGTTGTATCTGAGGCGTGTGAATTTCGTTATTATATCTAACAATACATCGTCATCTAATGCATGAATATTAGCATATAACCAATATCCCAGAACATGATAGGACTGCATCGAAAAGTATTTTTCAACTATAAAAACATCAAGAATCTCAAGCATTGCTGGTATTTTTATCTTACTCCATAGTTCTGATAATTTTTGTTCCAGCAAATTAACAATAGTTTTCTTGCTTACTTTTAAACCATATAAAATAGAAAATATTTGTACAATGTTTTCCTCATTTATATCCTTTTCATTTTCAATCAAACCCACCCATAATTTATCAATAGTTTCAGAATATTTCTGTTTGCAGTTATTACTTATGAGAAAATTATAAAATTCACATATCTGATCAATGGTTAGCTTATTATCTATAACTCGTAGAAGTAATTCATCACAGAATCTTGGTTTGTATGGTTCCATTAAGGTAGATGAAGTCTTAAGGATGTTTAATATTGTCTGAGTGTCTTCAGTTTTCATTACAACTTTTAGAAGTTTCTCCAGAATAGCACCTTTTGCAAAGTTTAAGTGACTACCGTGACTGTTAAAAATATTGTGACTTATATCATTTTCTATGTCATTTATACGTTCTATAGCTCCTAATGCGATGTTTGGAGTTATTTTTATACATTTTGTTATCAGTGAGAAAACTTCCCTCAGATTACTGCATTGTTTAAACTCTTCCTGTATTAGATGATAGTTAAGGCTATCAGTGTTATTTTGTGGAGATTCCGTTTGAGGGTTCTCTAAATCCTTTAAATCTCTCATCTTTCGAACAATAACAGGTAGTTCCTGTACATGACAGCCATTCTCAATTAATATTGTACTATCACTGAATTCACTATTTGATTTGTCTTCAGAAAACCCTCTAATAAATAGAGAACATAGTGAACAAAGAGAATTATTATTTGATCCACTCAATATACCACAATTCCGTGCTTTTGTGTATGATCTCCACAAAATTAACTTCATTTTTTTGTTTAAACTCAGTAAATATAACACTTAAACAAAGAAAAAGGCAAACTACGCCTTTAGTCTAAGTCATATTTGTATTATATAGCTAGAACTTAGTAGATACTAGATTATAGAATAAAATAAAATAGGCACCTATACATCTAAAAATAAAAATAAAGTGACATATATAACTTTTAATGTCAAAATGATATTGAAAAATTAAGTGTCAAATTTTTCTTAGGAACAATTTTCACGTAAAGTCAATACTATTTGGCTAAATATAAAGCCATTATATATTATTAATCTTTAAGATATACTTACTTAATTTAAACTCTTAATTTTATTTTAAAATATATCTATATACTGACATATTCCAAGTGCTTATTGACAACTGAAGAAAAAAGTTTTTTTTTTTAACAATTTAACAGTTTTGGATATAATACTCCAGAAATATTTATTTTAAAAAAGAGAAATGGGTTATGTTCAATGAATTTTATAATATATCTCTCGTCATATACTTAATATTATAAAGGTCAGTTATTTGGTGAATTTTTAAAGAAAAAAAACTATAAGTTTTCTTTACGCCTTTTTACAAATATAAACCGATTCATAACTTTTACACATGAAACACATATGAGCCAGCATGAAAGGAACACTTCTTCATGGATTACAAATAAGCAATTATCAAAAAATTTAAAATAATTATGTAATAGGCAACATAAGAAAATATATTCAGTCAGAATCTTAATATTCTTAATGAAAACAATTGATTAAATACCTGTAATAATTTCATAGAAGATTTAAATATGTATGAAGAATTTTTCAGTACTGTATTACTAACATTGAGGAATATGTTCTGTCACTTGTCAAAATTCAAATTTGAATTTCAGTCAGATATGTCGTAACAACGATTGCGGTCGCGAGTGAAACTTACCAAAAGCTGTTATCGTTCATAAATTGTCAGTTATGATTGTCTCGTGATCTCCAAAGAGTATTATCATTGCCAATTACAACATTTTGTTGTTGTGCTACAGGTGTATGAACGGAGTATTCAATATTTCTAGGTAAACTTTATTGTCAGATATTATTTTAACTACAGTTAAAATATAATTCGCTTTTTGTTTATAACAAAATAATAAACAAATTAATAATTTACACAACCTAAACTTTACAAAGTTTCTATTAAGAATTTTTCTTTCAGGATAAAAAGTTTTCCGTTCGACAAATTTAAAAGCGATGCCTGAACAAATAACTGTAAGTAAATTATAAAAGTTTAAAGAACACCAAAAACATTAAAACTACGTTTTTTTTTCTTGCATATAAGTTTTGCCAGTAAAGTAAATAAATTATTTAAATAAAATTATATTCTCGTACTTACTCGACTATCAGATGATATTAATTTTCAAAATAATTTCGTTATTTAAATTAAGCTTTTTAAATTAGTGTTCATGTTTTATTAAAAGATCATAAGTCTTGTTTTACTTCAGAATTAATGTGATATTGAGGTCCTTAGTGGCATTAAAACACTCCCTGACACATTGAAATATAAATTTAATGATGAAATATTATTTAAACATGAATTAAATTATGGTTAATGCTTTATGATTAAATTTTATAATCTACACTTGTTATCTTACACTGTCTTATAACTAATTGTACTTATGTGTACTCATTAGCAAGTTATGTATGTTGTCTTGTCTCTTAAATTTATGTTAATTGTTAGTTCATTCCTTTAGACACAAAAATAATATTTTATTTATTGGATATTTCTTGTTTTTCCAAAATATACTGTTTTGGACAAAAATAATTTACTTAAATTGTAGAAATAAAATGAGTAGTTAAATAAGGTGTGTTATTGAAATATGTGAGTTGTATAAACTATCAGAATGTGTTGCTTGTAATAAAAAACAATGTTTTCAAACAAATGTCTCCATTTGTTATGAGAGAGTCCTCACAATCTTGATGATACATAACATTCACTGTTAATAATCTGCCGGCCAATTGAAATGCTCTAGCTATATCTGAAGCACATTAATGACTTGCAAGGTTTTCAATGTGTCCAGTTAAAATTGATTGATTAGAGATAGTGGTGTCTTCATTTTTGTTTCCATAAAGTTTTATAGATAGACGGCAGTGTCGGGTTACATATTAAATTTGTATTGTAAATCATATTGAATTACGCAAAGTGGCACATTTAGGTATGTAGTTAATACAATGGATAGTTTAAAAATACATTACTTCAATACAGCTACATTCAAACATTACCATTATCAGTAAACACTGTTATCATTAATTTAGGTAAAATTTTTATCACATTTTTTAAGACAAGGTAAGCAAGACTCATAAATGGTTTGAGTGATTTCGTGACATGTATGTAATAACTACAAATATACATTTACGTTAAACATATATATGTATGTATATATATATCTAACTAATACTGACAAGTTACAAATTCTTTGAACATGATTATCTATAGATTTAGATTTAAAATTAAAAAGTTTGAAATTCAATCAACCCTGTTATTTTCTAACATAAGCTCTGATAAAATGATCGCGTAATTATCCCGATGTAAATATTTACACTTTTTTTTAAATACCCACACAAAACTTTTTTTCTTTACTTAAATGGAGATATAATTATTTTATTTTACTTTATATGATAATATTCACATCATTGATCATTCATATACATAGTTATAGTATATCAGACAGGAAAAATAAATTAAAATTTTATTTTATTGGGTATTCCAATAGAATTAGTTTTGTACGATAAATTAATATTTAATATTTTTGTAGATGGGCAAGCGATTAAATTGGGGTGTAGCCGGTGTTGGGATGATCGCTCATGACTTCCTAACAGCGATGGCGTCTCTGTCGCCTGAACAACACAAGGTTACAGCTGTGGCTGGTAAAGACTTGGATCGTGTTTACAGATTGGCCACGCTCCATAACATAAGTACGGCCTATGAAGGCTACGATGCCATCGCAGCGGACAGTACAATTGGTATGACATTCGATGTTTTGTAAAATTTCATTGAACCAAATCATTATTGATTTTCTTTCTACCTTTACGTAACTATTTGTTGATTTGTTGGTAATCCAAGGTCGTTGGACAGATATTTTTTAATACCTACAAAAAATATTTGCGTAAAAGAATAAAATATTACTTGTGTTTGACAGCACCAACTTTTCAATAAGTAATGCATTTATATAGATATTATTATGATACTAGTCAACGACCCCGACTTTACGCTACTGTTGGTACAACTAGTTATATATTTAAACTTGAAAAATTATACCATTTTTGTTAAATGAGGTCAAATCTCTAGTAGAATTGTTTTAACATAAAGCAACAATTCATAATATAAACGGTACCATATATTAGAATGCGTATTGTTTCCATGCGTGAATGTAACTTCGGTCAAACTCAATCAATACTTGTATTCCATTAACTTTATTAGCTATAAAAGTTTTTCTTTATATCATTTTTTATATCATATCTTTATGTTTACTATCCTTTCACCACTTATATTATTTTTCTATTTAAATTTTATTTCAGACATTGTTTTCGTCAGCGTCCTAAACTTGCAACATTACGATGTAACAAAGCTAATGTTAGAGAATGGTAAACACGTTTTATGTGAGAAACCTATGGGCATGTCATATAAACAAACGAAATCCCTAGTGGATTTAGCGCGGGAAAAAAAACTGTTTCTCCTCGAAGGGATGTGGTCGAGGTTTTTCCCTGCATACGACGCTTTGGACAAGCACATCACTAGCGGCGGTCTTGGGCGACATATATCATATAAACGTGCAATTCGGCGTGGAAATTAATGATATTGAAAGAAATCTGTATGTTTTTGTTTACGGCATTATATTTTGAATAACAAACCTCTCATTAAATTCGTGACCATTTCATTAGAGTATGAATTTCGCGCCAGAGCAATCAAATTAGTGTAACACTATATTTACAGTTCAAATCCAAAACACACTTTCATGAAGATTAATCTAAAAATAAGAATATGAAATGTATGCGATTTTGTAAAGCTCAAGCAAGTATTTCTTTCAGGATGAAAGATTTGGGCGGAGGCGTCGTATTGGATCTAGGTATATACATGTTGCAATTACTGCAGTTCATATATAAGGAACCGCCAACAGATATCATGTGTACCGGGCACTTAAGTAAGACGGGAGTCGACGAATCTATGTCCTGCGCATTAAAATATAAAGACGGTAGAACGGCCACCATTGCGGCTCATACTAGAACATCGCTCGCTAACAGAGCGGAAATAAATGGTACTAAAGGAACCATACATGTAAGTATCATGTTAAAATAAATGTAAGTATTTGTATTTTTTTCAGTAATGAATCCCTACTATAATATTATAAATGCGAAAGTAACTAACGCTTTCATAAACCACTGAACTGATTTTAATTTTCGGTACTTACCTTGACACATACTTTAAAGGTTCTCTTGGATATAAAAAGTCCACGCGGCGAAGCTGCGGGCGGATTGTAACTCGTTAAATTTGACATATACGAGCTTGAACTTGGTGTAATAAAAAAAGTTACGTTCCAAAAAGTTTTTATTAGGATCTAAATTAATATGATAAAGTAATAACACAAAATATTATGAGCTAAATTAAACGTCAGTTGGCAAAAAGTTCTTAAAATGTTTAAAAATAAATGACAGTTTGATGTCACGATCAAATAAAACTTATCAAATAGTTGCATTTATATATGGAATTCCCCTTCTTAAATGAATAAAGATTATCCCATTCTGACTAACGCTATCTTATCAATTGGAATTTTCTTGTGATTGTTTGTGGCGCTATTACAAGATAAACCTTCTGCGCAGACAAAATCTTTACAATAAGTCGTGCAACCTTCCAAAACAAAATCAAGGTTAATCGCATTTAAATCCAACGTTTCAAGGAAAACATTTACCTTAAACATACATAAGTAGCGTAAAATATCCAATCAATATTTTGTGTTCCAATACAATCTTGACATTGACTTATTATTTATGAATTGTGGATCAAGATAATTAAAAAGTCACAGATTATAAAAAAAATACTATTAAAAAAATGTGAAATTATATCTTAAAAAAATTAAGTGTGTGAAATGTAAATAGTGTTTTATATTTTAAGTCCTTAAAATCACGATTTATTTTACTAATAAATTTTTAAATAATATTTTAGGTTTTATATTTTGCCGCGAATTTAAATCGTCTATGATAAAACAAACAGTTTTAAGTTTATAACACAAATTCGTCACATATGCTATCAATGTCTGTATGAATGGAAAATTAGACTGTTTAGATTGACAATACAGAGTAGACCGATATCATATTTACGTCCTTCTACACCAATAAATAAACTTTTGCGCAACAAAAAAGGTTATTGTTGCATTTCAATTAACATTAATTGTAGTGCAAGGATATATGCAGAGTTATAGAGTAGAAAATACTATGCTATGATTCACATACGGCTAAGGTGAATTAAACTATAAACAAGTCGTTTATTTAAACCAGTTTCGAGTAAAGAGAACGTCCTACAAATATCGCCGGGCTATATTTGGTGGCGTTGAAAGGATCAAGGATCCCATTTAAAGTTCCACAGACGATACGGGCTTTTCTTTAAGTTATTATCCTTGCTGAAGTAAAATGTAATAAAATTTAGTATAATAGTGGCCATAAAATAAAATATTTAGGTCAAATATTTATATAAATAAAAATAGTTGCATACGATATTAAATCACATAAAAAAATATTTCATCAAAAAATTATTATATGTCAATAATAATAAAATATATGGAACGGAATCCTAAGCAATAATTGCTTTGAATAAAGATCGAATTCCTTACAATATATATGAGAGTACTCAATCGCATTACCATATGAAGTATTAACCATGGCAAAAACCTTTGAACTAGATTCGGTGACGTCACTCACATGGAAATTTATCTACATTCATGATTCAAGTACCGTACGTGACTTGTATATTACATTTATTTTCATATTCATCTATTGAGTTTGCAACAAAATATTACTAAAAAAAATACTGCTCAGAATTTTTTTCCTTATAAAAAAAATTTGAAAATAATAATTTTTATGAGCGAATTAAAAAGGGCGTCACTTTTGTCGAACATAATTCTCCGTGGAATATTTCTGACGTGTTCTAATTTAGGACATATTGATCGTCTCGCACAGTTTATTAAAGGTCGCAGCCTTCAGAAATGGAAGTCCTAAAATAGAAATTATAAACTTGTTTATGACGAATACTACTTCGCTGTTATGAAAAAGAAAAATTTCATATTCAGAGGGTCTTAGGAATATTTTTTTATTACCATAAGACGATATAACTTTGCCCTATTAAATTATGAAAAAAATATATATACAATATTTTTGATTAATATTTTTAGTCACTCGTTTCCATTTATTTAAGAGATTAATTACTAACAGAGGGTTCTTGATGAAAATATTTTCTTTTATAGTTTGTATTCTTGATGTTCTAAAGAGAGTCTTTGATGTTATTTATATTTATACTAACTTCTACCCACGGCTCTGTCCGCGTGAATCACGATAATTTTACCGAAGTAGAATGTATAGTTTCCTAAGATATTTACAAGTTCAGTATCAAATAACCAAAATATAGGAATGATTCATTATAGTATTTGTATGGATAGTGTGCATATAATAAATTTTAAATATAATCGCTTACAGCTAGACTATTTTTGGTGTCCAACTGTTTTACACATATCAGCAGCGAACAGCACCGAATGGACGTTGCCGAAGGGCAAATACAAGTTTCATTTCCACAACAGCGCGGGACTTGCTTACCAGATACAAGAATGTTGGGACTGTATTAACAACGGTAAATTAAAATGACATTTATATATAAGAAATAAGATCACAGATAAAAAAAAATTAAACTGTCACTAGTTGTAATGACAGTTAATAGTAATATTAAGAACTGTAAAATTATTTCAAAAGAGCCACTGCTAAAAATATATCAGAACCCATCAATTCTAATTTGACGTTTGACGTAAATACTATTGTGTTAAAATGTTGCATTTCATTGTAACTTCTGTCGTAGGTTTTTTATTCTAAATTGCTCCAAGTGCAACATTTTAACGCCCTCTGTAAAAATGACTCGCATTTCCGAAGGTCACTCAGACGTTTAGTCATAAAATAAAATTTAATTTCACTTGTTTTATTTTTTCAGGTTTGCTCGAGAGTCCGAAGATGAGTTTAGACGAGAGTATACTTTTATCTAAACTCTGTGACACGATGAGAACACAACTAGGAGTGCTCGACTCCTAGTTATATAATAATATATAAATATATTTAGTTTAGTACGGTAGATACAATACGTAGGAATACCAAATGTCTATATAGTAATCGTGCAAGTATTTACCTCAATTAACTGTGATTCAATTGCGTTGTGACATGTATTGTAAAATGTATATTTTATATTATGATACACGATAATTTATTTGTCACGAGTTTCATTTATGACCCGCCATTTTGTATGGATCGCGTGCTACAAATTTAATTAGTAGTTCTATTTTCGCGCGCTTTTGTTACCTTTTTTTATATAAGCTGTGTGATATAAAAATATATCGGCTGATAAATTTTGGCGGGTTAATTGTATTTTTTATATTAAGAATTCTATAATTCATAGGTACAGATTCATCATCCAGCTCATGTCGGTTAAGTTATTGAAAAACCAGTATATAAATTAAAATTGTTTGAAAAGAAACATATGGAAAATGACAGTTTTATTGTTATGACGTAATTCGAAAATTTATTGTTTAAAGTAGTTAACATTAGTTACGCTTTTCATGACTTCTATAATTCAACTGCATATTATAGGAAAACCTAAAAAATATATATACAAGATACAAATAAATATGAAAACACGTATTATATTTATAATACCTTATATTTATTCTATATATTATAGCTATTAATTGAGCATTTATACCTTTAAGTGTCCAATATTTTTAAATTTTATCAAGCTAGTTTCTACTTCAATTTTTATATATGTATATGTCTTCGTATGGCAATATAATATTTGAAATTTATTTTATACATAGAAGTACCAATTATAATTATAAATTTACTTGTTTTCATTTAGAAATTAATTATTATTAGCCTGCTTCTTGATATTTAAAAAAATAAGAATAAAAAAAAATAGAGCCATGATGATGAACCCCGTCATAAAAATCTCAAGTTTTGATATTTGAGATTTATTAACTTTTCTGGTTATACTACACAGCAATAGTGAAACGATTAACATTTTTTTCGTATTGGATTTTTGAATTTATCGTTAAAAGAGAACTTTAAAATCCAACCCCTTTTTTATTTTGACGCAGTTGGACAAAGAAACAATGTTCTTCGAATTGGAATTAAATATTTAAATGTTATGTGGCTGATACCCGAAATATGATGACTGATCTATAAACAAATTTTTGACTAATTTTAATACTGTAATAATATAGCTTTAGATACAGATCATAAAGAACTATACACATGTTTATATTCTAATCGTTAAGGCGGAAACACTGTTGATTCTTGATAGTCCATCATCACGTATTTATTACGACTCCGGCGTAACTTCCATCAGTTGAAGGTAAAATGAAATTAATGTTTCTGATGTCAATTATTCATTTTTGTAACTCTTCAATTTAAAGAGGGAGTCAATCTTCTAAATTCTAATATTAGCAAAATTCTCTTGATAAAACTCTTGTCAACTGAGAAGCACAATATAATATAAAAAAAAAATATATAATAATAACGTTTTATTTTATATAATAAATATACATTTATTTTAATAAATTATATAACATAACGTTTAGTCCGAATACTAAAAACGACCAATTATGATCCGAAGTCGATTAAAAATATACCATAGACAAGTCTATGTCATCGCTTAGTAGAACGTTTTAATATTTCTGGAAAACTTTTTGTATGATAGCAGCTCCTTCTTTTATTTGTTTCTCCGTTATAACTAGTGGCGGTGCGAGTCTTATTGTTTGTCCGTGTGTTGGTTTTGCGCTAAGAGACCGGCTTCCTTTAGTCTCAGGCATACGTCATACGCGTCAATACCTAAAATGACATATATTAATTGTCAAGCCACAGATAACACAACCATATTTGACAAGTTATATATACATATTTTTTCATTCAGACAATATAGTTTTTATATTGAATAAAAATTCTATATATAGATCTTGAATAAGTTAAATGCAACTTACTCGAATGAACATCGATGCAAACATGAGTCCTCTTCCTCTAATCGCCACTACTTTTGATTTGGGGATTTTTTCCAATTCCTCACGGAACACTTTACATAGCCTTTCAGCATTCTCTGGTAATTTTTCTTCTAACAATACCTAAATAATAACAAAAAAATAAAATAAATATTTTAATAATAGTCAGAAACTTTATTTACTGAATCAGCTTTTTGAATGTTTAATGTATTATCAGAATTTAAATCCATTTTATCATAATTACCTTAATAGCCTCAGTAGCGACAGCACACGCAAGAGGATTTCCACCATACGTCGACCCGTGTGTACCCGGCGTTATAACCTGCACGCGATTTTATTTTAATTTGTCTTCTTTATAATATTTATAATATAATAATAATAAACTCACCCCCATGACGTCATTGTTAGCTAAAACAGCTGATACCGGAAGTATTCCTCCACTCAAAGCCTTCCCGAGTATTAAAATATCCGGCTTCACTCCCTCGTGTTGTACCGCAAATAATTTGCCAGTCCGACCTTGAACAGTAAATACGTTTTTAAAAATATTTAAAAGCTCATAAAAAAAACCAACAAATATAAATAGATCGTTTTAAATAAAAAGTATTTGAATTACCAAGTCCAGTCTGAACTTCGTCAGCGATCCAAAGGACGTTGTATTTAGTGCAAAGCTCTCGAACCTTCCTTAGATAACCATCGTCTGGTATTATAACGCCAGCCTCTCCTTGGATAGGTTCCACCATGAAAGCCGCTATTGTCGGATCTTGGAGGGCTTTCTATGATAAAAAGATTACTATTTAATTTGATTTGAAAATATTTATTTATTGTAAAAAAATATTACGGCTCTGGATACGAGTCCTTTTGAACCTTGAGCATATTTATAAACAACTAGCTTTCCGCCCGCGTTGAGTTCGGTTATATCGCGTTTCCAAGAGAACTTTTCAAAAGTCTGGGATAAAAACTATCCTACGTTCTTTCTCAAGGTCAACTCCATACCAAATTTCATTAAAATCAGTTCAGTGGTTTAGGCGTGAAAGCTTGACAGACAGACAGACAGAGTTACTTTCTCATTTATAATATTAGTAGGGACAAGTGTAGCCATTTATAATTTGAAAGATAAACGTCAACATTTTTTTTTTTAATATATGTAGGTATATGTACACAATCTCACCTCTAGAGCTGGTATATTATTGTAGGGTATCATCCTGAAGCACGGCATGTAAGGACCAAAACCCTTCATAGCAAGTGGGGTCCGACGAAGATGACACCGCGGACAACGTGCGACCCCAGAAGTTGTTCTCGGCGAAAATTATCTACATATTAATACAGATATATAATAAAATATTTCCTTAGGCTTATTAATTGATTTACAAGTTGAAATATATTTTTAACAACAGTAATAATTAAATTATCGGATTTCGATATATAATTCCTCTTTGAGAAATATTATAGCTATCGATTTTTCAGTTTCATAACGTTAAACTATTTTAATTGAATGATTAAATTTTATTAAGAATCGATGTCAAATAATTTATCATTAAAAATAAATAAACAAGTGCCATGGAAGATTAAATTGTGCAGATTTTTGAGAAAATAAAAGGATAACCGTAATATGTTTAACGTTATACCTTTGCCTGGTCTTTTGGTATTTTCTTGACGTCATATCCCCATTTCCTGGCTATCTTGCAAGCGCTCTCACCACCTTCAACTCCTGTGTTCATTGGCAGTAGACGATCATAGCCTAACAGCTCTGTCATAAATTTCTCATATTTGCCCAATTGGTCGGAGTAAAACGCTCTAAAAGAAAAAAAAACAACTAAAAAATACGCAAAATTGATACTAATTAAGAAAAAATCTCTTTGACAACATGAAAATTTTGTCAAAATGTCTAATATTATCAAATACGTATATAATTAAACGGTTACTTTTAAAGGAAACTTCTTTGCTGAACGATTTAAACCGTGCTTATAATAATAAGTTACTCTCGAACAATACAGGATTTTATCTACCTTGACACTAATGTTAGTTGGTCAGCCTGTTCCTTTAGCGCCTTCACAATTCTTGGGTGACAATGTCCCTGGTTCACAGCGGAGTAAGCACTCAAGAAGTCGAAATACTTCTTGCCTTCCACATCCCATACGAATACACCTATAAAATGAAATATAAACACGTTTAAACCACGCACACTCAAATAACACTCTTTGGTTTCGTGATGATAAAAGTTTTTGTTACTGTATTTTTAATTTCTGACACAACAAGAAGCTTCGATAATGGTTATATATTAATACTAGTTTTTGATAGTGATTAAATCCATGTGACCATTGGAACTAGGCTTAACTAGAAATTAATATAGGTACCTAAATATTATGATCACCGACCGGCAACCACGCGTAAAGTATACGTATACGTAAAGTAGTTTTTTTGTAAAAAAGCGTCAAACATTCATTCATTCATTTCGATTTAAAAATGTACCTATAAATTTTTATATTTATGAAAGTGAACTATACTTTTGTTATTGACCATGAAGTTTATTGCCTTGAACAAAATAAGAAGATTTAACTACTTAATTACATAAGTTTATATATAAATAAGTAAGTAAGTATAATGAATTTATATAACTGATAAATACCATTAGTATCTAGTACATACTGCTTTCTTGTCAAAGTTTAACGCGCCTGATAAAATAATAGTAAATATGTAACTAGTTTTACGATCTTATTATAAAATATTTTTGTAATAGTTATAGTATACATTCTTTATTCTCACTTAATGGTACAGGCGAAAGTATAGTATAAATAGGAATTTCCTATATTCGTATGAAATCTATGGAAAACCCGTTAATTATGATAATCACTTATTACAATCGTCATTCAAGGTCTATTCAGTAGCTGTCTTATTTGCACTGCACTTAATAACTGTCAAATTCAATGTCATGGCTAGACACTCAGAATGTGTTCATAAAAAAATTACTTAACCTGTGGAATGTCAAAATCGTAAATTATCAATATTCTCCATGAAATACTGAATAATAATTAAGACTTTTATCACTTTCAAATTTATGTGAGTTATAATTTGAATAATTTTCAGGAAAAATCGAATATCTACTTTTCTTTATAATAAACAAAAATGTTACTTCATCCCGACGATAAAGTTAGGAATAACATTCATAGGAAGAAATTATCCATAAAAACAAAAGCTGGCGTTATACCAAATATTTTTGAGACTAGTAATTATTCCCACTTAGCAGAACTTCTAAATAGTATTTAATTAAAATAGTAATATTATACTCAAAAACGGGTTAAGGTTTTCTGGAATAACTCACCGTACAAATTTATTTTAATAGCTAAATATTTTTTTGGAAAAACAAGAATTCCCTAAAAAAAAAACATTAATAAAATAAAAAAGTAAAATGAATATGTCATATATATGCAAATGGGTATTTATATGTTAATAAATACATCTATCTACTACTAAAATACTTTAGAAAGAAAATAATTAACACAACACTCATGTACAAAGAAGAATAACAATAAAAACTAAAACTTCTAATAAAAGTTATTTACGTAAACGTTTATTTTTAAAAAAAACTATTTAAATAATGTTTTAATATAAAATGTTTAATTAATAAAATAATCTGGTTCAAACTAACTTTATTTACTAAGATTAGAACAAACCAATGTACATGACCTTTAAAAGTAGGTGGTCCTGCTTGCATTGATAACATTGTTTCATAAAGACTCGATAAACTACTTCTATATAATATTTACTTATATAAAAATAATTTACAACTATAAAAATCGTTCAATGAAAACAATTTAATTGTAGAAATGTATATTAATAGATATCATAATCGTTTATATTATATTTATGAATAATGATAAAGCTATTATTGGTCGCATATTGCGTCAATGTTTTCAGTTTTCATCTTCGGTCAAGTATTTCATCATGGACGTGCCTAAAGTCATTGACCTATGCCATGACGTTAGAAAAAGTTCTTAACATTGATATGTACATTCAAAATTTTTTCTGTTACATTTTTTTATAAACTAGCATAAAATTCAGAAAGTATTCATCGATTTTTACAAATAAAAATCGTCTATACTTCTAGAACACCAAATATTAAAAAAATGTTATTTAAGGTCATGGAAACAACTATTTTTATTTACATAAGATAATATTATCAACTATCGCCGTCTACTCGTCATGGAAAAAAAAGTTAAATTTAGCTCACAGAGTATAAACTAAAGAAGATATGAATGGAAATGATAATGTAATTTATTATTTTGATTACGAAATACATGCTGTCTATTAGACTTTATTTAAACAAGTATTTGAATTCAAACTATATTCTGCTGTCTGCTTTTTTTGGAATTACATTTATTTATCATACGAGTCATTGCATCTATTTATAAAACTGTCTTAAGGTAATGTTTATCACGTTTCTGGTTTTAAATGATTTATACATATTAAAGGTAAAGGACGTTATCTGTCAATTTGACATTACGTTAAGGAAATGTTCATGCACTCTTCTTAAATTATCTGCTTTAAGTGCATCATACATCATTTCATTCGAATTTCTTTAATATTTATTTCTTTATGTAGGTAAAATTTCACTTTAAAGCTTTAATAACATCATGATATTAATTTGTCGACATACTACGTTTTGGTGAATGTAAAATATTTTTTGTATAAATGAATTAGTACCAATGAAGTAAAAGAAATAACAAAATAATGAATAAATACATAATGTAATATTAATTTTATATAATTTCCCTGATTTTGTTTCAAAAATAAGACTTTGTTTTATTTTTATTCGTCTTACTATTGGCGAAAATATAATATTATATTTTTCTGGATTTAATCGAATATTTGTCTGTCCTTCACGATTTAAAAAATGTGTTCACTTCTGGACGTAGATAGTAATTCTAAAGGATTTGACAAGTACCCTTAAATCAAGATTGCATCATTACATTATATAAGGGTTGCCAGATTCTTATTGCCATACCTATTTATGCCTATCTACCGTGTAGGAAGATTTATCAATGAAGAACTGACGACATCCTTTAGTCAGATAATACAAAGTTGTAATACGAGTAATTAAAATATGTTTAATCATTCATCCGAAGCATGTAGCGAATATCAATACGCATACGATAATAATCGATCTCTAAGATCAACTGAAAAAACCCACAATACGTGCTAAATAATATTTCATGTATAAAAAATTACCAAACTTTTCAGTCCGCACTAGGGAAAACCTGTTACAAATTAAAATACTTTTGTTGAGGTTTATCACGAGACACGATCCGAATCTAAACCCTGGTTTATAAATATAATGGCAAAAAAATATTGACATATTTGCATTTACATTATTAGTATTTACATTTATAACAGACTACTTTTATTTTAATCAAACTTTTTTATATTACCATTTATTTAATTACTGAAATTAAATAAAATTGTCTAAAGAATTATCTAAATAGGTACCTAGACTGAAAAGATAATTTTTAATATACGTATTTCCTAATGACATTTTTACTATAATAAACCGATACATAAAATTTAAACGATATGTTTAAGTTACATACATGCAATAATCACATTATTAATTTTTGAAATTCAAACTTGTATATTGTTATATAATTAGCGTTATTGTATCATAATATTTCTCAAATAATAAAATACTTTAAAAAAATAAAAAATATATTAAGAATATTTTAAAATATTAAAACAACGTCATAAATCACATTTTTTTGAGAAATATAAATTAATTTCATTCTGGATATTACGGTGAAAAAATATTAATCGTTTTTAAAAACTTTCTCAACACAAACATAAAATAATTCAGTCACTACGAACGTCCTTTATTTTTTAATTTATTATTAAAGGACAAACTAATTAAAAATAATATAAAGAAAGACAAATAAATACCTTCTCCTCTGCATAACGCTACAGGCAAAGGCGCGTAATTGCGACATCCATATTGATCCTCCAAAGCGAAGATCTCCTTTGATGATAGATTTTGTTGGGCCATACTAAATAAAGTAAATATAATATTAAGTCATGTCTAAGGTCTGAATAATCAATTAAAAAATAGATCAAATTTAAAAAGAGATATATTAAGTACAATTTAATTTAATATTAAATAAAATAAATCATACTGACTTGTTATGTTGTAAAAAACTAAAACAAGTAAACAGTGTATAACTACTTGTGTTGTTCACAAAGTAACATTTATCATTAAATATTATTTACTGATGAAACATCTTATATAGCTGGCTGTATAGATAAGAACATTGCATGTTTATTGAGTTTTAGTAATACAATAAAATACCCACTATACTAAATACACATCAATTATTTAGATAAATCTAAATCACGGTGGTTTGGCTGGTAAAGTTCACTTATATCAAGTTCCAGGCGGAGACAGCACTCAGGTGAAATTATACAATTATGAATAAAATTATCCATATATATAAGCACTGTCATACTAATACATATAATACTAATCAATTCAAACAAATAATAAGCAATAATAATTTAGAGTCAATACACTTTTACTGATATATTGCCCTTAAAATCAACCGCTACATTTTCCCTAGCTATAAGGTGCGTTTATATCGAAGTACTGTACAGTAATAATTGAATAATTAATTTTTCAAAGACCTCTATATAAATAACTATTCATTTAACAGTAACTTTAATACAATAACCTATAAAATCTAGTATTTTGACTGACCTTGACTTTGACCGTTCAATGTTTCACTAGTACTTGCTAGAAAAATAAAACACGTGTGACGATCACAAAAACTTATTGAGCTGTGTGAACAAACTAAAATCAAAGGGAATGTTCTAGAATACAATACACGCAGAGTGATCCTAAAATCTTAAATGAGATTCTTTTAGAACATTAACTGGTTTTATATTCAGCATAGAAACAGTTTTTGCTCATTGTATTTATCAATAAATATTATATATCGTAAAAATATTTCCAGTGATAAATGAAGGTCGTCATCGTCTCAATATGATTAACATTACTGGTGTAGTCTCTGTTATGATAAATTTGGCATATGTTACGTCATTCCGACACGCCTTTTTGTACGTTAAAAATTGAGACAATAACTAAAGCGATTGGCTTTAATTTAGACTAACTATTATGTCCAAGACTTTAAAAAAAATCATATACCTACCAATCTCTCACGTCTACTTAAGGTTAAAGAAAATTGAAATACTGAGATTGGAGTACTTAAAAGAATATTGGTTTTGAAGAAAAAAATTCATAAAGTTAAGAATATAATAACATGACAAATTACTTTACAAAATCAATAAAAATAGTTTTTGTTTTACTGGGGAACAATAGTGAACAATTACTGGTAGGAGTCGGTAGCACATATAAATTATAACTAGGTAGATATGTTAAAATAAACAAATATAATCAATCGTCACCTACCTCTAAGAATAGGAAAAAACGGTGATATTTATGTGTAAGTTAAAAGCAAAGTTACTTTGCCTTTACAAGCGAGGGGTAAAGACGTTTTATACAGTGCCGTAACTAGGGCGGTGCCAGCAGTGCAAAGGCACAGGGCGCAGACCCTGGAAGGGCGCAGAAGTGACCAGACTAGTATCTAGTTTTATCTCATGCATGGTAGCTATATACTTATATACTTTGTTACTTTGGTAATTACAACAAATAGATAGATTTATTTGTATGCACATTTGTCCATTTTATTTTTAGAGCCTGGTTAGAGCATTTTTCAGGTGCGCAGTTTTGAAAGCTCGCACCGGGTGCATAAAAGGCTAGTTACCTCACTGGTTTTATATTATATAGGAGCGTTCAAGCTCGTCTTTAACATAAGCCGTAACAGAAGCTAAAATGCCACTACAAACTTTACTGATAGGCTAATTACATTGATTTAACTACAATAGCCAGGCCTTAAAGAAGATATTAGAACAAAGAGGAAGTTTATAGATTTTTCGTTGCTCTACTTTTTAGGTATATTACTAATATTTTGGCAATCGAGATTTCTTGTACACGACATCTTCCTAGTATTCCATATTACTAATATTTTGGCAATCGAGATTTCTTGTACACGACATCTTCCTAGTATTCCATGTGTTCACCGGGTCCATCGTTTAGTTTCGACTTGACTGTAGCTGTTTGCCCTAATGGCTTTGACAGCGTCACTGGGAGAGTGCCAGGTCCATGGCTTTGGATGGAGAGGAGTTTCAACAGTGCCTCGGTATTGGTTTAAGGAGCCCCTATCTTCCGCGCGTTAAGCGCTGCACCGTAAAAGCTTCTCTCTCTACCTAATCAAATTTGAAACAAACCTATTAGGTTTGCCTTTTAAGTACGATCTAAGAATGAATTAATGTTAGTTCTAAACAGTCCCAAGTATTTTAGTAGGATGTAGAGAGATTTAGTTGTTACACCTCTCACTCCCATTTATACCGCGTACAAAATTACGACAAACCTATTTCTAGTAACTTCGTTAATATAGGCTCATAATATGTACTTATTAAACATGATTCCACGGTTTTTGGAGACATTGATTTTCCAAGGAACCCTAAGCTCTATTAACATGGCGCGCTTTGAAATTTGCGAATACAGAAATAATTCTGGTCTATCGCCGACGTACAAATATCGTCTAAGATTTTACATTGTTTCTCATATCCATTCATCATTGTGGTCTGATCCTCAAATCTTCATACATGCTCTGAATTTAAGCCAAATAATGATACATACATGGAAAACCAAATAAAAATGGAGTTTTTTAATATTTGAAATAGACACTACTCTGTACTTATATTGTTGTGACAAATAATGGTTGGTCATAACTTTTGTAACTAACAAATATTTAAATATAAAATTTTGAAGATCTGATCATTTAAATATTTATACATATTTATTGAGAGTAAAATCTATATTGCTACAAAATTTATCACCATGAAATACGCTTTGTGATTTTCAGAGTTCCTTGGTTGTAAAAAAATTAGTCCATCATAAGAAAATAATCTCTACAACTATAAATTTTACGAGAATATCTATACTAATATTATAAAGCTGAAGAGTTTGTTTGTTTGTTTGTTTGAAAGCGCTAATCTCCGAAATTACTGGTTAGAATTGAATAATTCTTTTTGTGTTGGATAGTCCAGTTATCGAGGAAGGCTGTGGGCTATATAACATCACGCTACGACCAATAGGAGCAAAGATATAGTGGTAAATGTGTAAAAAACGGGAGAAATTATTTCATCTTTGAAGCCTTCCGTTGCGTGCGCCGTGAAAACGGTTCAAGATACACAAAAAATATGTATGAAAGAATAATAGCTCTTTTAATGATCTAAAAAACAGTCCGCGACAGTATATGTCTATCTTTTAAGATTAACTCATAAAAACCGTTTTTATGGTACCTAATTTGGTCGAAATAATTTGTTTAAGTTGTATCAACATATTAATATTAATCTTTATTCAAATAAACAAATACATATGGTGAAGAGTACTTCATTGTGAATTAAAAAAAAACATATGTTTTATCCTGAAAATTCTACGGGACCCGACCATTCCGAAAACCCCGCAAGAACGGGAACTATTCCACGCGGACGGAGTCGCGGCAAAAGCTAGTATAAAAATAAAAGGTAAAATAAGTTCAATATTTATTTAAATAATATTTTCATAATTATCTACTAATAACATTAAGTCATCATCTATTTACAGAAATTAATAAACTAAACTTTTTCTCTATACTTTATATTTATTTTCAGGGTCCCCTCCATGGAATTCTGGATACTTGGGGTATGGCTGAGGACCTCGCTCCACTTGTGACGGTAGAGAACCCTGCTCTAATAATCTTTCAGCCTCTAATTTTGCAGCATTTACTTTCTTCATTTCTGCTATCGCCAAATTTTTTGCTATCTCTTCTTCAGTTGGTGGCTCTGTTCTAAAAATTATATAAATAATAAATTATAACCAGTGATTGCTATTGAAGATTATTTGCATCTAGAAACTTCATTAAGAAACTATTTAAATAAGAACTTAAATGTAAAGAAGAGAAATTAAATGTTGAACTCCATATTCACAACATTATTAATTTCAAACATTAAATTAATAAATTTGCAAATTGTATGTAGAATTTAATTTTTTTTTATTAACCTATCTTATTTTTATACAGCTCAACATGCAAATTAAAAATAATATTTTGGACATATTATATTGCTCACATGAAAATAACAAAGCTGACATTGACTTCTTACTATTAAAATTAAACAATAAACAGCATTATATAAGGTATAAACTGTGTTAATTGAAACATATTTATAACAAATAAAATAATATAGAAAATTGTTAACCTCCTTAAGCGAAGCCAAGCCTCCCATTCAGCTGGTATTGGGTCCTGGAAATCAAGATTTTTAGGTGGGTCATACCATCGGCTTGGCTTCCGTTTACCACTGCTTGGATCGGCAGGAATTTCGTAATACTTATTACCAATGTAATCCTTACCTGTCAGTAATAACAAATATCTGGTAAAGTGCCCGATAGTATTACAACGTTTATAAAGAATTAAACTCACCCATTGGATTTCCCCGAATCTGTCGCGGTCTAAAAGAATTTATGAAATTCCTAAATAATATTCTAAATACATGTCGGTATTCGCCGTTGGACATCTAAAAGCAAATCATTTATAAATAGGTAAACATTGGTATTCCGATCTCAAAATTAAGAATGATAATGATTGATCATAAAATCATCAAATTGCATGATTTTCAGATATGAAATGATAATATTTTTGTTAGGGGCAAATCTTGAATAGGTACCTTTATTTTCTTTTACTCGAGCCCTTTTGTTTTTTACATTATATGACAATTGACAAGTGACATTGTGGTTATTGTAAGGGTAAAAAACACATTTTTATCAGCATTTTATTGGTACACAAAATTTTGCTCTCAATATGTTTAAGTCTCCCAATAAAAATGATCCTAAATCCAATGTTCAAATGTAAAGTAAATGAGGTTTGAATGGATTATCTTATACGAAATAAGAAGAAAATTTTTAAATAACCTATATGAGTAATGAAATATTTTTAGTCTACTATTGCTGCGGTCGTAATTTGTCACTCGTGTCATAATTGTGTCAATAGACTTGTTATTCTTAATTGATGCTTCAGCGTCATTATTAACATTATAATACAAATTATTATAGTTTCTAGCAGAAGTAAAATAACAAATCTGCAATCATGGCGAAAATGGCTTTTCAACACCAAGCCGGCACGGCTATGGAATGCCTCAGTGTAAGTTAAAGACCACTCCCATTTCAACCTTTGTTTGTATGATTCAATTCAAGTCATATTGATATTCAATTGATTTATAGATTCCAATTACGCTTCAAAAGGAAGCTGGCGTAGACGCTGAAGGTCGGGAAGTAATGAAATGTGGTTTCAAAATAGGTGGTGGTATTGATCAAGATTTCCGTAAAAGTCCTCAGGGATATACTGACAATGTACGTATATAAAATGAAATATGCTTAAAATGACTTATTTAAATAGCTTTATTCATTGTTAAAGACAGTATATAATTTAACTTAAATGCTGTAAGCTTAAAAATGTAACAGTTATGATAACATATCTTTGCTACCCTTCTGGTTAACAACAGAATGAAATGAGATTTTTAACTAACTTTGAACTTGAAATTGTTAACAAACAGAATGGATTTGCTAAAATTAGTAAGCTGATGACGTAGGTTATTTAATCTATCAATAACTTATCAGTAGCTACGCATTCTTATCTTGTGAAGAAATTCAATACATATGAAAATTCATGAATTTTATTACTATCAGGGTATCTATGTAACAGAAGTACATGAAGGAAGCCCAGCAGCAAAGTCAGGATTAAGAATGCATGATAAAATTCTCCAGTGCAATGGTTACGACTTTACCATGGTAACACATAAAAAGGCCGTCAGCTACATTAAGAAACACCCCGTACTTAACTTACTCGTAGCAAGAAAAGGAGTCACATCCACATAAAAATTAAATGAATTTAATTTTGAATGCATTCAAAAAGTATTGTACATGTGATTTTAGTGTTATTTATTTTTAATAATATTAAGTTTCATTATATTTAAACGGTGGAGTACTCATAGATGTAATTGTTAATTATAGTTTTATATTTTGGTAACTTTGGAGAGCTTAGTGAGTTACCATAATCTTAATTTAACAGCTTGACAAAACATTTGGGTAACCTCGTCGAGGGATAAATGAGCTACTTAGTTTGAATTGAATCATGTATAGTTAATACAAATTTGATATATTTAAAATTATTTCATCTATTTATAAATGTTGTTGTATTCAGTAATTTAAAGTTAAAAAAATATTGTAATGTTATTAATTTGTATTTTCGATTTATTTTTTTATATCATGATAAACATTCCGTATATCATTCATTGTGCCAAATTTAATTGATTGTGCTATTGATGTTTTTGATTTTTTTTATTTCGATTGCCAAGATATTTAAGCCATGATTCCAGGTTTATAACAGAACTCATTACATTTTATACAACTATACATAATAATGATGTAAAACCATTGACTACTTAAGTTATTTGTGTATAATGCAATACTCCCAATATTTATTTAATAAGTTTAAATTACATATAAGGCCTAGTATTATTTGGTAAGTGAATTTTTATATGAATTTAATTGAAAGCCCTCTGTTAATATTAATTTATAATGAACTAACTGTTTCAACTTTTATGCAATCGTTGAGTGCGAGATGTATTATTTTAATAGTTCTCTGCTTCAATACAACCTTTTTACAATTTCTTGGATACAATTTTAAGCTTTTTCTTATGTACTATTGTGCAAGTGTAATATAAATAATTTATAAACATTTTAACATATGTGCTTTATGGTAACACTGCCAGATTTTTAAAGAAACATTTACGATGTACTTATATTTTGTTTAAATACATATATACTTTATTTTGGGTACTTTTTGTAGGTGTCATGTAAACAGTGTTTTTTTTTTATAGAATAGCAGTTTTGTATTTGTAGTGACACATGGAAAATGTTGTGAATTATACAGTGTGTTATTATTATTTTGTAATTGTATAGCTTTATGTTGCTGACTACATAATAAAAAATGGAACCTTTGTTCTATAAGTGTTTTTCAGGAATAAAAATGTTATTAAAAATTAACAATGTTTATTGAGAATTAAATTTCTATAGTGCACTAATTCAAGATATTGTTCAAGTATTTATGACTTGGTTGGCGGCCAGTCCCATTGGCCCTTAGGTGGCTTAGCGACAAGAGGTTCCCACGGCTTCCAGTTCAACATTTTACGAGCCAGGTTCAACTCATTCTCTGCTTGGACAATAAGTTCTTCAGCTTGCCCACAGTTGATCTTGGTTTCAATTTCATAAACATCCTTAGTCTAGAAAATAAACATATATGAAATGTACTTTCTGTAGATTATATTAACATCAGCAGTTTTTGAATGCTAAATTGAGTCTAGAATTAGATAAATATGAATGTTTCAAAAGTTACACAGGACATCTTACACACAATTTGCAGGGTCTATTGATTTTATTTGAAACTAAAGTAATTATAATCATAAATTTCTTTTACTAGCACATATACAAACACAGCTGTATAACAATAATAATAGCAACAATACCAATAGAAACAATAAGCCTTTAAAAAATGAGCAAAACAAGAACATTGTTGTAGCAAACAATGTTCTGCTAATAGTAATGCACCTGCTTTAAGACAGCGGCTCTCTCCTTAACAATTTGTTCGGTATATTTTCTATATACAGATTGTTCTGGCATCTTTTGTAGGGTACGTAGTATTTTCCCATACAGAGATCCCAGGGTGTGATGTGGGTTCGGAGAGACTGCTAAACCCACAAGTCCCGTAGTCTACAACACAAATAAGGTTTTGGGAATTTTATTAAGGTTCAAACTAAACAATTACTCCATAACATTACATAACCAAGAAATTAAATATATATTTTAGAAAATAGCAGCATCGTAAATAGCACCTTCTTAATTACTCCCATTATTTTCGTTACAGGCTTCTGCCACTTATTTAACTCGAGATAATCGACAAAGTAATTAGCAGAAAATATTTTACACCATCAACTTTGACATTTCTAAATATGAAGTCTATTCAAAATTGTCAAATGTCTACTGTCAATTGAAATAATTAGATTACTGAAAAAAGGATTTTCAACTTTAAGATTTAATCGAATAACATTTTGTAAATTATTTAAAGTTAATTAAAAAAAATTGAGTCACAAAGTGATTTTTCTGCTTTATCGTTATTTGAGGCTTCTAAAAGTTCTGATGATATTTGATTTAAAATAAAATAATAACAACAAATTTAATGTAAGTAATATCAAGTGTTTGTACATTCAATATTTTTCCCTATTGTTAGGAAAAATCCACATCGATTTATAATTTAGGTATCTTAAAAGTTCCCTTAAGTACATACAGTACATTTTGTATTACTTAAAGAAACTTTTAACATTAAAAGTGTAAGAGAATATAAATATATAGTATAATTTCTTAAACAAACTTATAAAATAAACGTTGAATATTTTGAAATAAAAAATACTTACTGCAAATAGCAACCGCTTTTTGTCATATAATTTCAAAATAAAGTCTGAATTTATAATTCCGACAATGTTCAAATTAAAATACCAGAAAATATTATTGTATTATATGTAAGATACAATGAAATAATAATCAAGGTTTGCTAGTAGATTTATTGTACCAATTTTACCAACTTTGAAACTATTTCTGGATTGGTATGTATTACCTATTTTTATGGCAACTATCTGACATCGCTGTTAAAGTGTTTCATGTCAGAGCCTAGTGTTAAGATACATCACGCAGTTCGAGATTGAAATAAAAAATAATATGGACCTGCAGCAAATGGCCAATTGCGTCAATTGAACCTATGTTTGGTTATCTTTTTTTTGGTATCCGGATAAATCAGTCCTTATGAAAGGTAACAATTTAATCGTTTAAACTTGACAACACTTGTTTGTCAGGATTCCGTGACACAGTGGGTGACAAAATTGAGTTTAAGTAGGCAATGCTAGGATTAATGCCTATATATCCAGATAAATCTATAATTTATTTTGCAATACTTAATCTTTAAGTGTTCCTTCTGCGCATCCTTATTGACACAGAAAAGGCCAAAGAGCCATATACGTAATATATTGAGTTATTAAAATTAACATTGAACACGTAAATCAGGTATGGATGGAGTTTGGAGAGAATTTAAAATTAACTGTTGACAATTGTGCCTTATTGAATCCTGCCAGTTGTTATAATAAAATATACATTAAATCGGAACCCTTTGTCAGATTTCAATTCTTTAAAAATATAATTTTAATATTTACAAAGCTTTCCTTACTGAAATTCTTCATCAAGACTCCAAATACAAACTTTTTTTATGTTTTCTCTTAACAATATGCTTTTTTCTTGAATATAAGTATTAATAATTAGTATGAAGCATATTATTGAATTCCTTAATGTTTAAAGAGTAAAATCTTGATTTGATTAAAATCGTTTTGCAATTAACTACAAACATTATAAAAAATAGATAACAATTTATTACATTGAATACTTCAACTTATTATTCTGAACGCAGATTCTGAATGTATACTGAAATCAGACTTGAAGTTTTAGTGAGCAATATATTTTTTATTATAATATGGGAAGTGAAATCTGTGCAAGAGTCAAAGGAGGATTATTTGTTTGTAAACATACAGTGACAGGTGTAGATAAAGTATAAAATGATAAATTTCATAAAGTCACAATCTTGTAGGTATACAATATTGTTAATCATGGACACGCTGCCAACATCGGCTCAAGACGACAGTTCGGGAGCTAATCCCAGCGGTGTGAAGAGTGATGACAGCAGTCCCCGGAATGAGTCAGGCCGAGGTTCCCCGCCACCAAATTGTGCAATATGTCTCGGCACATGCAGAAACAAGTCATTCACTGACACCTGTCTACATGAATTCTGTTTTAAATGTCTACTTACCTGGAGCAAAGTAAGTTTTAATGATTTTTATACAAGTGAAGAATAGAATAATGCCAAAATAGTTTAAGTTTCAATAGTTTAAAAGTAATTATTTACTATTTCTACATGATAATGTTATTTGATTCAATATATTTATTTATAATGTAGTTTATAAACCTAACTCAGTTATTTGACTCTTTAGTAAACTTAATATATTTAAACTTTGATTGTAAGACCTTCACGGGCACTAAAAATATTTTGAACAATAAAATTTATACATATCTTTATCTTACTATATTATCTTTAATTCTGAAGAATAATATTGGATTTCAAAATCAGATATAATGATTTTCTTATTACATATTGTCAATGTTATATTATAATCGCATTAATTTTACTTATAATTTATAATTTGTATTAACATTATGTTTATTTCAGGTGAAGGCAGTGTGTCCTCTGTGTAAACAAAATTTTAGATCAATCATACACAATGTGCGCTCAAATCACCAGTACGATGAGTATACCGTCGAGCAACATCACACAGAGGAAATTACCGAGAGGATTGATATTGACAATCTTACAACCACAAGGCGATTTAGATACAGGTATATGTTAGATGATTATTGATTTGAGAATATACATCAAGTATTTAATAGGATAAATGGTTTCTTATGAACAAAATATTATAGAATTATGTAGAAGTTAAATTAATAAAATCAAAGTATAATGTTTTTATATTGGAGATGTGTTATAATTCCAACCATATACCTAAAGGTTAAAATGTTATCTATGCTTATAGCAATCATAAAAAGCAAGTTTTGTGATGATACATTACAAAACAATGGAAAAGGATTTATTTTATTGTGATAAATTAATTATAGACTTAAAGAATTAGTTTAAATGCTTCACGATGTTAGCATAATCTGTGGTTAGAAGTGTCAATATGCAATTTTTTTATAAAATACCCGGAGAAACTTTATACTAAAATGTAAAAATTTGGAATGTATTAGACTGATATTGCGTTTAAAGCGATTTTTTGAAGTAAAACTTCTTTATGCATGCTTATGGGCAAGCTGGTGAATGCGTTACTAAAAGTGTGATCAAACGAGGCGAATAAAAGTGAGAGGGAGATATAAGTCAGTGAAGATAGATAGAGATAGTGTTACAGTTCATGGATCATCATCATCACCATCGTCATCAACATAATGGTCGGATGAATGGATGGATAAATGGATGGATGTATGGATGGATAAATGGATGGATGTATGGATGGATAAATGGATGGTTGGATGGAACCATGAATGGATAGATGGAAGCATGGATGGAAGGATGGATGCATGGATTATTGCATGGATGGATGGATGGTAATTGTGTTTCAGAAAGAAAAGATGGATGAACTATATAAAGTAAAAAATTATAAATATATTTAACCTGTAATTTGTATGTGTATAAGAGGATGAGAAATTAGCAAATGTAGATACTATTAAAACTACCTTGTAATACTTTGATTAGATTAAAGGGTTGATAAAAGATTCATAAATTACTGTAGGGGCAAGGGAGAGACAAGTGCGCACTCACATTTTCTTTCTTTCTCTGAAACATATATATGTATACATGTCTGTATTATACATATATAAACATATGCATATACATATTACATATGGGTGGAAAGAAAGAAGTTTTACTTCAGTGATGTGGTCTAAAGCACACTGGTTTAAATATTTTAATCCATTTATTATTTTTAAATATTTGTCTTATAAACATTCCCATAAACAATTTTTAAATGTATTTTTAAATAAATATATATATAATTAGTAACAAGGGTTGACAAATATCAATATAAGTATTAAAGTGGATTAATTATTTTTACAGTGGGTTAATATCCGCAATTATTTTAACATACCAGTTTTTATGTTCAATCATGATTAATTGAGAATCATTTATAATTATATAATAAATGAGAATATTATGAAATATTTTTTTATAGTATAATCAAACAACGAAAACTAAAAGTAGAATATTTATTGCATAGAAAATAATGTACAGTTGTTGTCAATATTTCCCTCAGAATAGAAAAACATGGATAATGCAATTAACAATTCCTAGTCATCTTATAACCTTAGATTGCCATCCAAAACCTAATACCTAGGTTCAATAAAGTCACAACAATACATGTATAACTTAAAAAACAGTAGGCGGATAGGATCAAAGATTGCAAAAATGTTCCAGGACAACGCTTACATTACCGCGACGCGAAACTATTGCTATCCAGCAACTGTTGATGCATTACCCGTTAATGGCGGACGTGTTCCCCTCCCCGCGCTCCCCCGCCGCCCCCGCGCCCTCCTCCACCGCGCCCCCCCTGCGTAGACGATCACCAGCCTCCTTCAGGCGTTCAGTATATAGATACAACCTCTGGGCCAGGCCGCTACCGGACTTCACTGGACGTTTCAGAGACTGTTCCCCGGAATTCTACAGGCAGGTCGATAATCATCACGATTATTGTATGACTATGATATACTTATCGAGTCTGTTTTGGTTTTAGGTACAACGACTCACAGATCCACAGACTGGTGCCCTGGCTGAACAGGGAACTGCACTATCTATTGAACGAGAATGTTGGCCACATCGCCTACGTGATCGCTAGGATAATAGAGCTGCTCCCGGAATATCACATCACGTCGTCGGAGTTCAGAGACAGGATGAGGTCGTATTTCGGGGACAGGACCAGGCACTTCCTGCACGAGTTGTACAACTTCGCTTCAACTCCTTACGACATGACCGGCTACGATCGGAACGTGCAGTACACGACCGACCCTCGCATGTCCACTATGGTGAATGAAGTGATCTCAAGCTCGGAGTCCGAGGGCAGCGGGGACTCGGACCTCGTGATGATATCCAGTTCTGAGCCGGCCGAGCCTCCTCCCGGTCCTTCCAGGGTCCCGGCCCCCGTCTACCCCAACAACTACATCCCCGAGCCCGCACCGAACAACGTCATCCCCATAGAGACCATTTCTCAGTCCGACACCGACGATGACTCGTCAGAAGTGATGGTGGTCGGCTACATCAAGCCTCCTCAGGACCGAACCCCGGAGGTCGTCGACCTGCTCGGCTCGGACAGCGACGTCATAGTGCAAGAGACATCAGAGCAGCCACAGAGCAACGAAACTCCAGAGAGATCATCCCCGCGCGTCAAGCTCACTATGACCAGTGCGTCGCATTCGAGGAGGGACAGTTCGGATAGTGACGGCAGCGCGTACACGCCCTCCCCGCCGCCACACAGCAGCAGGCACGCGTCACAGGACAGCGACGCGACCTCTGAGAAGTGTTCGTCTTCGGACATGTCGGACACCGCCAGGAGGTCCTCTCAGCCGTCCCGCACGTCATCGTCATCATCTTCCTCGTCCTCATCACCGTCGTCCATGACCAGCTCCTACTACACGTCATCCAGCGACTCAGAGTCCAGCGACGACAACGTCAAGAGGAAAAAGGCGAGACGAAAACTAACAGCCACCGAGAGGAACAAGAGAAACGCGAAGAAACGCCCGCAGCGGACGACCCACAAGAACAGGAAGCTCTCGAATGTACAGGAAAGGAAACAGAGCAAACGGAAATCACAGTCCGGCAAAGGGGTGAAGTCGTCCAAGAAACCCAGCGAGGTCGGTACAGAGGAGACTCCGACGGACTTGAACCAGCCGGGGACGAGCGGCACCGCGAGGAATACGAGGAAACGAAAGTTAGAAGTGAAGAGACGCACCTCGAGCCGCGAGAGTAAAAGACTGAAGAGTGTTGTTAGTGTTATAAAGGTCGCGGGGGAATCAAGTTCCAGGTCCAACGTACAGTCCTCACACTTCAGCGTCGTCATCCGCAACAACCGCGACTGTTCCGACTCGGAAGACGACATCCCCCTTAATCTAACCATAACCAAGTCATCGTCATAGATAACGTGATTGTATCGACACTTATAGTTCATGGTCACATTCTCTTCGTAGAATTTGTAGATTATTAATTTTAAAAAAAATTAATAAAACATTCGTGAATTTTAAAAATTAAGATTTAGAAGATAAAAAAATGTGATAATTTTATATTATTTATGATATAGTTCTGTAATTTTATTGATGTGTCGCATCTCAAGACAAACACTTAAATGTAAGCATATCAAAAAAATCAAATCGAAATTGTTACATATTGAAAATCAATTCCAAATTTTAAGATAAATGCCTAATTATTTTTGGGTGCATTTTAAGTTTAATTATTAACAAAATTTATTTTTACATATCAATCAAAAGTCAACACTGGACATAGAATTTATAATACGATTATTATACAATAATTGTAACATAATTCTAATTTTAAAAACACAACTGTCCGTTACATTGAAGTGTTGTAGTGAGACGCGACCAGTATTGTATGCCATTATGTAAATATGTAATTACGTTTTTCTCATTTAGCATTTCTATTGTATTCTATACGTGTCGTTTTCATTATGTTAGTACAATCGACATTAAGGTGACATGCGCTTCTTATCTTCTAAATATAATTTAATAGAAATCATACTTTGAAAAGATATCTTTTAAAAATGTTTATAGTACACACGTATTCGATCTTAATATCGAAAATAATTTTTCGTTTCAATAAAATAGGTTACTTATGTACAAATATTTTCAAAATTGTAAAACTTAATAGTTTAAGATATATTGTTTGAAATACGGGTATTTCAATAGACATTTGAATATTCCTGTGCACGTGAGTTGAATTATGATAACGAGTCTTAAAGATGCTTGATACTTGATGATAAGGCTCAAGTAAACTAGCAAAATGATTTTTGGTAATATGTACAGCGCGAAGGATATATTTTATTTAAAATAATGAAGGTATCTCGCAAGGGCGATGCTAAAATTAAATGTACTCGATCAATTCATATTGAAGTTTTATTTCAATATGAATAATAAAATAGTATAAGATGTAAACGTATTTCTTTTTATATAACGTACGTTGTAAGTTACTTTAATTAAGTAGTTTGTGAAAGTGATGTTCTGAGAATAATAAGGTTATTTTTTTTTTGAGAGGATAGACCGGATTTCTTTACTGGCTTCAACGAAAATAAATTACTAAAACTTTTTAAGTAATGTTTAAAATTTACAAATATATTAAAACTCTTGTCAGGTGATCATAGACAACATATGAACATCAACGCTAATAAATTCTTTATAAATTGTAGTACTATTAACATCACAAATCTCTTTGATATGCTGAAAAAAATGTGATATTTAAAAAAAATCCATATCTTAAAATCCTCAGTTACAACGTTAAAAATCAAACACGATAAATAATATCCAAATATTTAGGCCATTAAATGTTTGAAGACTATTGAAACATTACATAAGAGTCATGAAAATAATCATAATGGGAATAATTATTTGTTCTAATTCATTTTTTGTATGGTTTTTGGGTAAGCATTGCTTTATTAAACAACTGTCTTTTACCTTCGACTTGGTCCGAGTTCTGAATTAGAAATGTATAAAGCATACGCCGGGCTCTGTTCCTTTTTACATCTTATTATTTGCTTTTTCGATAGAAAACGTTAAAAAGTATCCTATGTCTTTCTTCCTAAGCTATCTCCCAATCAATTTTCAGCCAAATCGGTACAGCCGTTCTTGAATTATTAGTAAGTGGTTTTTAGTAATTTTTATTCGAATGTTTTAAGAAATTTTATTTTTGACAAGTTAGATATATTCGTTTTTATCATTTCACGTGTGTGTTAGTTCTCCAATAACTGAATATTGTTGGAATAGTTTGAGTTATAAATATTTATTACACAAATCGAACTACTTAATGGTGAATTACAAAAATCTCTATATTCATCTTACAAATAAAAGATGTCTAAGATAGATTGAGTTAAAAAATATATTGTTCTATGGCAATACCGATTTAAATATATGTATATTAAATTTTTCTCAATAATGTATGGTGTAGTTACAAATATTTTTGGCAACTATGGTTAACAAAGTTGCATTAAACAACAGTTAAATATTGGTTTTGACCCTTGGTTGAAAAAAAATAAACAAAATCCTGAGGTAATATTATATTATACTCAAATTCTAAATTTAAGTCAACAATACAATATAACAAGGTAATGCTTGCTAAATTATATTTATGTGCGAAGGTAACATTGTTGGTTATGGCAAATGTTTTAACAATAAAAAATAATTTTCACATTAACAAAAAAATATAATTGTACGCGATAAAAACTCCGTGAATAATTGGAAGATATTCTTATATAATGTACATACTTAAAAAGACTTAGAAAACAAAAAAATAATTGAATCATAAAAGTGGTTAAGCATAATATTCTAACTGAAGCAACAAACTATGAGCAAATTGGGATGTCACATTTTCATGGACGGTTTTTTATTATGTTGCTAGTTTTATAAAACACTATCAACTACATCTACTCTACCTAGCACTATACAGCAAGATAAAGCGAAAAACTTTCAAAAAGGGAAGATACATCACCGTTAAGGCGTATTGCTATAAAATATTGTATCTTATTACTAAAACGACGTGTGCATTAGATTATGTGTTTGAAGTGAAACTTCTCATGTGACTTCCAATAAGGTTGCGTTAAACGTTTAACGCTGTGGGGGGTATAAGAGACAGCTAGACGGAATGAGTGGCGTTCGAACATATGCTGGCAATCAATTGTGATTTGTAAGTAATGTTAATGAAGTTTGTCACAAAGACATCGTTTAAATTCCTGAATAATCAATTTCTACCCCGTTTTTAATTCAGACATTAGGAAGTTTCACTTCTTACGTGCGGAGGTACTCCACACACAATATTTATTTATATTTTCTGTTACTCTTATGGCAACAACCGTAAGACGCAACACGTCTTAGAATTAAACTTTTACAATATAAAAATACATTTCCAACAATAAAATTCCATATAACACTGTCTGATTGTCATTATGAATGTTGATTATAATGACTAATAAATTACAAGCATTTTCCATTAACCATAAGTTTGCATTGTCACACTAAATACGGATAATTCTTAGTTTTAATTTCATACTTCACACTTGATAGTATAAACGTGAAAATTGATAGTATAAATATGAATGAAAACCTCAAAATAGTCCGTATAGTTTACAATGCAAACCCGCGGTAAGAGCAAATAAATACATTGTTTCAATTGTAAATAGCTTGATTAAAAAATATTGCATATATTTCATACATTACAGCTGTCTAAGCGACATATACGTAATAAAATACGTTCATTTAATTTACGTTGTACAGAATGTCATTACATAACATCCGTTTATAATAATTTATTTCACGTATAAATGATACGTAGAAAAATAATTGACTTTATAAAAATATATAGCTTGTGTTGTTGTTCACGATTATGAAGGATTGACCTCGATGACTGTGTTCATGTGCTGCGGATGAGGTTTGAATTCCACGACCTCCTTCCATACTAGTTCTGAAATTACATACAAATTTTGAATTATAATAAATAATTTAGTTGAAGTATAGTCAGTGGTGGCCTAGTGGTTAAAAGGCCCGCCTCTCATGCTCGAGGGCGCGGGTTCGATCCTGATCCGGGCAAGTACCAATGTGATTTTTCCGAGTCATATGTACTTTCTAAGAATATTTAGACATCACTGATAACTGTTGATTCCCAAAGAGGGTTGATGTCAGGCAGGCGGCCGATCGTAAAAATAAATAGCCAAAAAACTATTTACAACATGTAAGGCAGACCCTGGCTATAGCTGGGAAATTGCCAGGTAGAAGAAGAAGAAGAAGAAGAATTTAGTTGAAGTACTTATTTTTTTATTTAAAAAATTAGATGTATGAGTTATGACAATAATCATAACGTCAAATTGAGTAGCCAGTTGGGAAAGTAACAAATTCATAAATATTATATTGGGAAAGATTCAATACTGTAAATAAAGGTCTTATTAAATGTTTCTAATACATATGTCACAAATGAGTTATATAAAACTAAACTTTAGCCGACACGTTTGTAGACCAAAATTGATGTCCTGTCTGAAATTATAGATATATTTTTTACCGGCCAACATCACAAGAATAGTGTAAATATCTCGATTTTAGTCGTCTATTATACATTGGAACACTGATCATTAAATTTTCCAATAAATCCTTATTTTTTAGAAGAATATGTTTATCTTAGTATTTCTTTATCTGGATTTCTAGAATGTGTTTTTCTTTCCAATTTTCAATTATGCTGGCTTCCTTTGGGCACTAAATTCGACCAGAAATTTTACCAGTAACTCTGTAAGCTCAAGGTATTGTAATTTGAAGTATTTGGCAAAATCGGACTTTATATCGCGTATTTTTTGCTATTATAAAGAAACTGCTACATGTCTAAATTCTGGATAATTTCTTATTTTTTTTTTTTTGTTATTACGAGTTCCTTGTCCTATGTAATGTCCCTAACACACACTGTAATAGAATTTCTGTCAGAGTATCGCCAGTATAGATAAGTTAAAGTTTTAAAATATCAAAAATAAATTAATATTTCAATACTAGGTACAATTCATATTATGATTTCTGCTCCAAAATTAACTGCACATTGAAATATATGAATAAATTGATTATGGTATGTAATCGTCCATTGATTTAGCATTGTCTCATCAGGGTTTATACCAACTATTAATAGTTAGTCAGGGTTGTCACCTTTCCACTTGTCGACGGGCAGGTCCATGTCCTCGAAGCTCTGGTCGTAAGGCGCGGAGACAGGCTCGTCTGTGGGGTCCGCGTACTGCGATAGATATTCGTGGGCCAACGCCTGCTCAGCTGTCACACGCCTGAAATATAGAACACGTTCTATATTTAAAAATTTATTTTTTAAGTATGACTCACAGATAAAAAATGAGTTGTACATTTACTAGTTATATTAAAAATAGATAATACAATTTTGTATTTAAATTAAGCCATCGTATTTCATATTATTCGAATAGTTAAATACGAAGTGAGCTATTTATTCTCCCTTAATCGTTGTAAATTTTCTTTAAACAGATATGCATTAATATTTAAACACAAACACGTATTATTGACTATCTAAAACATACTATTATATTCGACTACATTTCATATACTTTATAATTTTTCTTACGGTTGTAATTTTACATGGTATATTAGCGTTATTAATGCGAACTGAACTAGATCCGGTAATCACGTCATAATAGAGTTAAGTTAATAACGACATGTAAGTGGTAAAGATTAGATTAAAGAGGAAAAAAAATATCTAGGCTTTAAAGTTAAGTTTGAGCTATAGCTTCCAGGAGGTCAATAAACTCTTCTGACAATATGCATAAAGAAGCAAAAGATACTAGATAAATGTTCGTCCCTTGAAAATCAATTAGCAACACTCTTATACTGTTTTCCTTTACTATTGATTCTACTTTCTTTATCCCCATTCGTATAATTTGGAACTAAACTAGCGACATCTGTTATGCGTCCGATCGAACTACAATCTATGTTCGATAGTAATAAGGTTGAAAATCGTGTAAAACTAAAGTTTTTTTCATAATTGAATTGTTATATGTGACTTACTTGTCAGCGTCCAACTCCAACATAAGTTCTAGAAGATTGACAGCCAGAGGGTTGGCGCCGCGGAACACCTCGCGGAAATCACGCCTCTTCAATGTCGGTAAAGACTGTATGTAGTTACGAGCCTAGAGTATAATATACTTTATTAGGGCAGTATTATAAATATAATATTATTTCAAGAAGGAGAGTTTTTTCCCTTAAAGGACTCTTAATTTGACGTCTCGGAAGTAATTTTAAGTTTATATTACTTAGAATCTCCAGTTATTAGTAATATAGTAGCATTGCAAAATCCGATAGCATAGATTTATAATATTGTATAAAAATTCAATTTTATAATGACAATTTCAGATTTGTTTTATTTTATCATATCTTGAATGTTTAAAAATAAATTATAGATCGCATTTCTTATATTTAAAAAGTGTGACATTTACTATGATAAGAAAATATATAACTCTGATATACTACGTTCAAGTCATTTGGAGTGCTTAAACAAATGCACAAATGCTTTAAGAGAAATTATAATAATACAAATGAAATTTTCTTTAATTCGAACATTTTGAAAAATATTAATTAATTAACTTCAGATATATTATGTACTAAAAGAATCATAAAATTTAAATCTTACTGTTAACGTTTATTATTTACTTATTTGTCTTTATTATACTACAGCAGATTTAGAACGAAGTACGACGTCATATATCGTAATTAAATTAAATCTTTAATCCTATAGCATTAAGATCGAAAATGCATCAAATCGAACGCGTTAACACACTACAAACACAATGGTGGACAAATCACACAATTTACACAAACAAGGTCACGTTTATGCCAAGACATCACTTTAAATACTGCAAATATATTAACACTTTCTTGATGCCACCGACATTCGACACACGATCATAAGCAAACACGTCAGGAATTAGGATTAATCATATTAATTTATTATAATATAAAGCTCGTCAGAAAATATTTATGCATTAATTTTTTATACTGTTCCAAATTCAAATTAGAAAAATTAATTTGTTTGTTATATAATCTTACCTCTTCACTTATAATTTTGTCTATGGTATCCTGTTCTGGTTTCCCGCACAAAAACAATATTCTTGTGAGATGGTCAATATCTGAACGCGCAAATGTTAAGGCAAGCACCAAAACTTACATAAGCATTTTTAATACAAAGCAAAGCCATATATACAAATGTATACAAATTGAGACCCATATGTAGATATTAATGAACAAAATACGTTATATTTTTTTAAATATTATATCTACTAATGAATCTCAATTCTAGTATGTCATACACAGTGGTATATGCGCCATCCACCTTTTCTATATTAGCTATACTTACTGACTCCGATGATATTTTCTGCATGAACTCATTAGCTGGTGTACCAAGAACCTCCATTATCAAGTTTAACTGATGAATATCTGTGTGTCCATTAAGGTTGAAAAGCCAGAATACATTTAACTAAAAGCTATGACTAAAAAATTAATGTAAAATTATAATGGTAAGGTATCGTGTGTTTTTGTTAACACAATAATTAGACGAGCTGAAAGATGCAATAATATTTATATACACAGCACATTAAATGATGTTGCTATATAACTACAACATGTTTTAACTACGAATACTGGAAAAGGATACGGTCTGTACCAGGAAATAATGTCCTGCCAGTAAGAAGTTCAGCCATAATGCATCCAACAGACCAAATATCTACAGTCTGATTGTAGTGCATCCAGTTTAACATGATCTCCGGTGCCCTATACCACCTATGATAACAACGGATCTTAATAATTATTAATCAAATCATTATAAGAAATATGCACAACTAAATTTTACCTTGTGGCGACATAACCAGTCATTTCAGTCTCAGTAGGCCGTGCTAAACCAAAATCTAATATTTTCAATTCACAGTCTTCATTCACAGCAATATTGGATGGCTTTAAATCCTGAAAATATTTTCATTAAATTATATAACTTTTCAAGTATAATTTGTATTGAATTTTATTTAATAATATGTATACTATACCCTATGTATAATACCAGCGGAGTGTATATACTTTAGGCCTCTTAATATCTGATAGATCAAGAACTGTACATGATCATCGGATAACTTTTGGGTGCGAACAATATTATTCAAGTCCGCTCCCATCAAATGAGTAACTAAGTACACTTGCTGGAATTCCTCAAGATTTTTTTCAGGAGTGAACACATCTAGAAGGCCTGTGAATTTCATACTTTAGGTTTTAGGTTTTAAAAGATAATATATGATAAAGAAATTGATATGATATATTTTTGTTTATTGATTTTAGTTATGCAATATAATCTATGATTTTTGGACATACAACACTCTTATTATTGTCTTACCCAAAATTATGGTTACTTTAAGGAAACTGGGTGTAAAGTATAAAAGAAGACATTTAGGTATCACTATAACTTTGTTGATATCAATAAAGATATTATTCTGTGAGGTGGAATATTCAATTAATATACAATGTTCCATTCTCTGGTGGAACAGAGAATTGATAATATTTCCAAAACAGATACTTTTTAAATAAATTTTTACTTATTAAATCGAACAAAATAGCTTTGTTCTCTATTAAAATAGCTATTTAAAAATCATCAAACATATCATAAAAAAGTAAATAAATATAAATTGAATTGTCAGTTGTGATCTATGGTAATTTGTGAAATATTTTTATAGTAATGTTAGGATGTAGTTACATACCGATAACATTTTCATGATTCATGTGTTTTAACATTCTCAGTTCTCTATATGTTCTCTTAGCATGTACGGCAGACTGGAATGGTCGTGCTAATTTCTTTATAGCGACTTTCATATTATGTACAGTGTCTATGGCTGAGCTGTAACATAGTTTCAAAATTATATTTCTTATATATTAAATATGTATATATAAATAAGTTATGTAAGCAAAGAGAGTTTATTCTTTATTTATCATTAATGCTATGCAATCGATAAATTTTACGAGATAACTGATGAAAGTGATAGGCATATCGCTAACATGTTACACCCACACAAGCTAATTTTATAATATGTTGCATTCTTATAAGATTTACAAGATAATATAAATTCGTATAGCGGTTTCTCTTATAAATTTATAATTAAAAATAAATACTGGCATTCTGCCTATTAAGCACTTTCTAAATAAATACATACCAAACTTGGCCGTAAGCGCCAGAACCTACAGGTGTAAGCATTTGATATCTTTCGGGTACAATCCATTCTGTTTTATTTATCTCAACTGTATGATATCGAGGCATTTTGAAGGCACAATTTTAAGTATTCTTAATGGTGAAAATTAATAATTAACGTAAACAAAAGTTACAACCACAATTGAAAATTAATTTATCTTACAGTTACTCTGTTACTGTCACACGCTCTTGCCAATAGAATTTAGAGATAGTCTCTATATAATTAACCACAGACAGTACATAGTATGTGATATAATTTTATATTAATTGAATTTTTATCAAATATGGTGAAAAAAGTTCACCTAATGTTTCGCATTATATATGCAATATTTACTTATTTCTGAGAATAACATCAAAAACATCTTGAATGTAACGAATAGAATGTTTTAAGATAAAAATTTGACATGACAGCTGTCACTATTTGTAGTGTTATTACATATTGTAGAAAGAGCCAGAGTTCACACTAAAAGTTATTATAGTCATTAAAAATGGCTCAAACAGCGGGCGTAAAGCCCATGACCATAACCGGACGGGTTGCTTCTGAAAGGGAAAGATGCATTGGCATGACTGATGTCGAAAGGGCCTGGCGAAAGCAATGGCTTCAAGATCAGATCTTATCCTCAAACGAGCCAGTACATGTAGAAGAATATTGGAGAGAACGTACCAACCCCATTCGTAGATTTTACCGCAAACCTTTAGATGTCATATTTACAAGTCTCACTCCTGTATTGGTAAGATTACATAACAAAAATAACCTAATTTTCCATAATAATAAATAGTCAATGTAAAATAGTTATTTAGAATTATACTGACTTATATAGTGTATGCTAGAAATATCTGTACATTATTTCAGGGAGCAAGTCGAGCTGCTGATTACCGTTACATTGCTGGGAAACTCGGCTTGATGGCTGTAGGTGCTCTATGTATCCATTACTATTTCAAATACAACGGCAATGTAAGTCTCATATAACATTAATATAGTTACAAATTATGTATCATGTTATTCTGTATCTAAGTTTTTTTTTTTTTATAGAATTGGACTAAGAAGGGAGGTTGGCGTACAGTGAGAACTAAGCCAATGGTATTGCCGGGACAACCTGGCTTTCCATTTAAATCGGATCGCACTAAGGATTCTGACTATGCTGACAGAGGTTTCAGCCAATCGCCTCTTCATGCTAAGTAATAAATGGATTCTGAAATAAACTAGTTCAAAATATGCAGTTTATTTTCTATGTAAACTTAAATTAAATGTAGTGAGAGATATGGAAATAAACAAAGTTTTTGTTATGCAAAGTGTATTCCTTCAGAGTTGAAAGCATGTAATAATTTCATAAAATCATCCACATCCATTGTCCTGGCTCGCATCTGATCAGCTTCGGCTGCCGTTAAAACATCTTGTACCTTCTGTTTGATGTCGAAATCTTCTGGTATTTCCTTTAATAGATATAAATATTATAGTATTATTTAATTTATTACTATAAAATTGAGGATTATTTAACCATGATTGATTTATAATAAATACTAGCTTTCCTCCTGCAGCCTTGCCCGCATGGAGTTCAGTTACATCGCGTTTCCAAGAGAACCTTTCAAAAGTCTGGGATAAAAACTATCCTATGTTCTTTCTCATGGTCAACTCTATCTCTGTACCAAATTTCATTAAAACCGCGGTTTAAGCGTGAAAGCGTAATAGACAGACAGAGTTACTTTTGCTTTTATAATATTAGTAGGGATAATGATTACCTTATTGTGTAATGAACAATGAACTTTATAGTTTTTCTCAAGTACAGCTAATGTTGTACTCTGTTTGAAAGATGCTGATAATGTTTTGTTTTTTCTAACAAATGCTATCCTCGTAAGGCCATCCCATTCCACAAAATTTATTGGAGGCGGTGGATTTCTTGGTTCTATTCTGACCACACTAGACTCGACCTTCGGTGGAGGTCTAAAGTTGTTTTTGCCAACCTAAAACACAAAAGCAATATAGTTATTATTCACAAAAACAATATCAGTTATTGAATTTTCTTATATAATATTTTTTTTAATTACCTTCATCAACATATCAACTCTAGCTAACAATTGAGTATTAATCGATAATCTACAATATAGTTTGTCTCCCGGTTTTGCTACTAATCTCTGTGCAAACTCCTGTTGAAACATCAATACTGCGCATCTAAAGAAAGGTCTGTGTAGCAGCAGTTTGAATACTAATGGTGAACTGATTTGATATGGAATATTTGCTACACATATATCAAAGAACGGCAGTTCGGTTTTCAAAACATCTCCCACTAGTATTTGCAGCTTAGCCTGGTATGGTGTCCCTTGAACACGCTTCTGAAGTTCGGCCACCAGTCTGTTTAAATATATAACATTTAGGTATAACATAAAAGATATCTAGGACTAGGCAAGTACTCATTTAAATGAAAATAAGTTTTTCCGATATTACTATGCATTTTTTTAACTACATAATCCTTATGTATCAGTGCCTTTACAACAATCCTAATTGCATACAGACAAGGTGATTTTTTTACCTTAGTTTCATTTATAATGCAAAGAAGATTTTTGTACAATATATTTAAGGGCAATATCATTATCTAACAGTTAACATTTTTTAAACTAGAGACTACATTCATAAGTCCACAGTTTTTAAGTTTTGCAATTATGTAAACACCAGTGACAAAAATCAAATACAAGAAAATATAGTATTTAAAACTGATTGAAAAATTTCTTGTATCTATATCATTATTGATATACACAACATATATAACATAATAATTATGAAATTCCATATTTTATAATTATACAATTTATTTATAACAGTAAAATGGAATCACAAGTAGAGAATAATTACATGTAGGGCTTTTACAAGTATTCATTTAAATGTAACTAATATTTTTCAGATTACAATGCAGCAATTGTGATAACAGATAGATGAGACGTCTTGTAATATATTCGTTTCACAAGTAGAGAAATTAAAAAATATAAAATTATTATTATGTTTTACATGAATAAGAGTAATTTTTTGTTATTTACCTTGTATCGATTTCACAGGCGATGACCTTTTTCACTCTATCCAACATCTTAATGGTCATATTACCGGTACCGGGACCAATTTCAAGAGCAACATCTGTCGGTCTTAAACCAGCCTTGTCAAGCATAGAAGTAATGATGAGTGGGTTCTTTAAAATATGCTGACCAAAATCCTTATTGAACTGAATACCTGTAATATTTATAAAACTTTAATCACAATTTAAATTATTACTTATTTAAAAATAATATAAATATATTGGCATGGTCTTATAACCTAATACTAGTTAAATAACAAACCTTGTTTAGCAATTTCATTGTGAACTCTTGATTTTTTTTCCGCCTTTATTTTAGGCATTTTGAGGCACTATTAGTTATTTTTAAGATGTAAAAAATTAATAACAATAAGGCATGAGCTTTGACATTTAAGTAAATTATAAAACAACAAATGAACAAAATAATATCTTTTATGACAATGGATGCTAGTATTTTTGCTCCAAACGATACAAATAATTTTATGAATAAAATTTAAATAGTAATAGTTTAGAATTCTTTTTTTATAGAGTTTTATAATAAACTATTAAAAAAATTAATCTTCAGTTCTGTACGTTCATCAGTTTTTTCACTAAACATAATATATATATAAAAAGCATGAAAAAAGTTTAACTTATGGAAAACAAATTCCTTTAAAAATCTTGATTTTTTTATGTGTTACTTTGCTTTAAATTTTAATATTTTGTTTTGTTATTATTAAAAAAAGATTGTTGTAACATTATGCTATCTGTTTTATCTGGCAACTCAAAATCGTCAAATTTTGGCATGGTTGATCTCTACAAGACCGAATAAAATAAAACCGTTTTCCGTTGAATTATTATGAAAATGGAGTGGAAACCTGAACAAGAAGGATTAAGACAAATATTAACACTATTAAAGGAGTCTCAGTCACCGGACACTGCTACTCAGAGAGCAGTTCAACAAGTATCCTTTTCATGATTTTCAAGTCGATGCACATATCGGCGTGGATGTTTTTTGTATATTATAACCGCTTTTTCCTGAAATGATTTATTATTTAATTATTTAGAATGTCCATTCTTACATGTCTATTAAGTTTTTGGTTCACAAGTTCATAAATGTTTGATCTCCACGCCAGTAAAAATCGATTTTTCCGACATGACAGTCCTTGACAGCTTTCGATTTCCATAACAATGTTATTTCAGAAATTGGAAGAATTAAACAAATATCCAGATTTCAACAACTACTTAATTTTTGTACTAACAAAACTAGTTTCGGAAGAGGAACCGACGAGGTCTTTGAGTGGTCTGATTTTGAAGAACAATGTCAAAGCGCGCTACAACAGCTTTTTACCCGAAGTTGCGGAGTTCATAAAGCGAGAATGTTTATCAGCGGTCGGAGATCCGTCGCCGTTGATAAGAGCGACTGTTGGCATTATAATAACAACCATTGCTAGTAAAGGTGAACTTACTTCATGGCCTGAGTTATTACCAGCATTATGCCAAATGCTTGATTCACAGGACTATAACGTTTGTGAGGTATGTAATTTTTTATTTATTTACTAGAATCCCATTGCTGTTTTGAATCAGATGCTATAAATAATAAAATATATATTTCCAGGGTGCTTTTGGAGCGCTTCAGAAGATTTGTGAAGACACAGCGGAATTATTGGACAGTGATGCTTTAAACCGGCCATTAAATGTATTGATCCCTAAATTTCTCCAGTTTTTTAGACATTCGTCACCCAAAATTAGGTGTCATGCCATCGCTTGTGTTAACTACTTCATCATGGGCAGAACACAAGCTCTCATGTTACACATAGATTCTTTTATTGAGGTATTTTTTTATGCACTTAAATATTACTTATTGAACAATTTCATATATTAAAATCTTGTGTGTTTTTCCCTCCAGAATTTATTCCATCTAGCAGCCGACGAAGATCCCGATGTTAGAAAAAACGTTTGCCATGCTTTAGTGTTGCTACTAGAAGTTCGTTTGGACAGACTGATTCCATACTTACCAAACATTATTGAGGTGATTATATTTATTATTATAATATATATTTCACATTTACAAGTACTTAGTACTCCTATATGTGTCTTATATTAATTCTTCTTATGTTGTTACTGTTTATTAATGTTTTCTATATTTCTTTTGTAGTACATGTTAATGCGCACACAAGACGCTGAAGAAGGTGTAGCTTTAGAAGCATGTGAATTTTGGCTGTCGCTTGCCGAGCAAAATGTTTGCAGAGAGGTAAGTCTATGGGAGTCTTTCAGTTCGTTCTTACAAAATAGTTGAACTTGTAATAAAAGCTGTAATCTGTAGTTTTTTATATATAGATTGTTTATTTTTATCATGTGTGTACTTTTTCATTTCCTCGTACATAATTTGTTGAGTGTGTGTGTATTTTTGTGTCACATGACTTGAATTGTCGTCTTAATGTATTGTTCATTGTATGGTAATTGGAACACAGTAAAAACATTTCACACTTATTGGCACACAGGTTCTCAGTTCAGCAATCGTGTTTGTTTTATTTTGCATAAAGTTAAAGGAGCTTTAGATACAAATACTGTCAACTGTAAAAATATAAATATATTGAATGATATATTTCTGAATATAAAATTTTATACTTAAGACTTAATTAAAACTATCATCTTACCAAAAATTAAGCAAATTTTTTAATAATTAATACAGTTTTCAACTCTTATAATTTAGATTTAGACCCATTCCATACTTAAAATCATACTATTGAGATTTGTATAAGCCTTACTGTATCTATATTTATTATGTACTTATGTTTGACAGGTTTTAGGACCCCGGTTGCCATCCCTTTTGCCAGTGTTGTCCGAGGCATGCGGTATTCAGAGATGGATGTGATTCTACTGCGAGGAGATCGTGACGATGATGCTGATGACGCCGAGCCCGACAGAGAATCAGATATAAGACCGCGCTTCCACAAGCCACGCTCACACACCATCAAACATAATGGTAGTTATATAATATAACTAGCTGCGCCCCGCGGTGCTACCCGCGGATTTCCGGGATTTCTGGGATGTAAAGTAGACTTTGTGTTATTCCTGGACGTCAGCTTCCTGTATACAAAATTTTATCAAAATCGGTTCAGCCGTTTGAGCCTGATGAAGTAACAAACATGTGTATGTTGTAACACACCCACAAACTTTCGCAATTATAATATTAGTAGGAATTTTCTATAATGTTCCTAAAAAATATAGTTTGAAAGGAAAATTATGCTTAGCAATAAGTTCTCTACTATAACTCTTAAACATGATGACATAAATATTGTTTGTTTATATCAATTTTCTATGTGTAAGCTTTTAGATGATGTATTTAAATAGCAATACAGTATATATTATAATTTGTAACACCAAGTTTGGTAACACCAAACATGGTGTTGCCAGTTCAAATTATGTAACAATGATATAAGCTCTCTCACAAATTGAATAGCGATATAGAAGACAATATGTACATAAAAAGTATAATAGGATTACATTTCATTGTGTTATTACATACTTCTCTTTTTATGGTACATACATATATCATGTACATACAAATTATCGTGTTTTATGTTCTGTTAAATATTATCTATAGTTTTTAGTCATAGATCACGTTCATAAATTACGTGAGGTGTTTTTTTGAAATTTCTGAACCTACCCCCCGCTTTGGGGAGACGTCGTGAGATTTTATTTAACCCCATCCCCCCATCCCCCAGTCTCACGTGAGATTTTTAAAAATGTGAGATTTTTTTTCATGGAGGATGGTGGCTGGACAAGTCAGTAAATGTATAACGCCGAAGTATGAATGGTTAAAAAAATTAACGAATTAGGGAATGATCTTAATCGTATTTCGATTACGCTTAAGATTAAGTCTTATATGTACAATCTGGATAAAATGGACCAATATTGTATTACTATTTTTTTGTTTCATTCAGAAAAAATTACTTGATATTTGCGAGACCCAACCTACTCCAACGTAAGATTAGATGAGATTTGACTCGACCCCCTCCCCCCTTAAATATCTGACGTATTTTATGAACGCAATACAGTGAATTGTTTTTTTTATAGCAGGTGCGGGTGATAGTAATATGTCAGGCGGTGGTGAGTCTGATGATGAAGAAGAAGGCGGTGACGACGATGGCTCACTATCTGACTGGAACCTTCGCAAGTGTTCAGCCGCAGCCCTAGACGTGCTAGCCAATGTGTTCGGAGCCGATCTACTGCCAGTACTATTCCCTATACTCAAGGAGACGCTGTTTCACGATGATTGGGTTATCAAGGTTAATATAGATAATATCTATAAATTACTTTAAAAGTGATCATATAACAGGACTTTAACTATATTTTTAGTTAATCATTATCATTATCATAGTGAAGTATATATATTACGAAAGAAATTGAACAAGTCTTTTACAACTTAAAATATACATTTTCTTGAATTGTCTGTCATTGTTGTACTAGAACAATGTGTTGTAACTGAATGATTGTAATAAAACCTAGTTAGTTAAGTATAAATAGACTTCACACAAAAATGGCAGTTGAAATATCCAAAAGTTGTAGAAAAAGAAAACTAGTCCACAATTTAAATAGAATATGTATTGATAATAAGTTTTTATTACTTACTTATAATTATGGTTGTTGTAATTTCTTTGTGCAGGAAAGTGGGATTCTAGCATTGGGTGCTGTCGCTGAAGGATGCATGGGTGGTATGGTTCCTCATTTGCCGGACTTGGTACCATACCTTGTATGTTGTTTAGCTGAGAGGAAGGCTTTAGTTCGAGCTATCACATGCTGGACCCTATCGAGATATCACACTGGATAGTCAGCCAGTCACACGATCTGTATCTTAGACCAGTTATGACAGAGGTATTATATATAGATTTGTTTAATTAATACTTTGTTTAACTTAAAAGTTTTGACGAACTTCCATAAATTTTAATTATTCTCTATTACTTTCTAAATAATATTAATTCATGTTAATTTCAATATAAAAAATTAAATGTTTTTTTGTGATTCCTCTTACTTTCACAGTGTGGTAACATTAGTATCTCAAATAGCGCATTTATATAAATTTTGCACTAAAACCGTTTTTTTAACATCATATATCTAAAAGTAAAACTATTCTTAATATTATTATGAAACCTCTTAAATTATGAGTGCATTGTTTTTTAACAACATTTAATATACAATAAATTATAGGTGGTTTTAAAATATATGATTTATTTTTATTAGCTCCTAAAACGTGTCTTGGATAACAACAAACGAGTACAAGAAGCTGCTTGCTCAGCATTCGCTACATTAGAGGAGGAAGCCTGCACAGAATTAGTACCATACTTAGGACATATTCTACAGACATTAGTGTACGCGTTTAGTAGATATCAGCACAAGAACCTATTAATATTATATGACGCAATCGGCACACTAGCCGATTCAGTGGGACATCACTTAAACAAACAAGAATACATTGACCTTTTGATGCCACCTCTGATTACTAAGTGGAATGTATTGAAAGACGAAGACAAAGATCTGTTTCCATTACTAGAGGTATGGTTTATTATTTATAGTATTGTTAGTCTATGGATTATATCATATGGATAATTATATTTAATGTTTACAGTGTCTGTCATCGGTAGCGACAGCATTACAATCAGGATTCCTGCCATACTGTGAGCCAGTATTCAGAAGATGTGTATCTCTCATAGAACAGACATTGAATCAAAACATTGTGAGTAATATTTTATCATATTAATATATGTATAATATATGATTAATTTCATGATTTTATTCTAATTTGTTTACAATTGTCAATCATATTAAGTATTTTCCCCATTTAAATGAAATATGTTTATGATTGATATCACTATTGTGTTTAGTAAACAACAGATTAGATTGATATCAAGTAGGTTACATGTAATATAACCCATGATAAGTACCTATTTGTGTAGTTTTTAATATGCAAGATAATTATGTACAGCATTATCAACAATAATTATACAAAATCTATTTATGGAACAAAAAAACCTTCCCAATAACACTTTTATATATATATATAAACTTTTAATTGTGACATATTTTTCATATGATGTTAAAATCTTTGTGTTAAATTTTAATTAAGAAATTTAGCAACTGTAATACATTTAATTAATAAGAAAATATTTCAGGCAAACAGTCAAAGCCCTGAACAGTTTGATGCACCGGACAAAGACTTCATGATAGTAGCTTTGGATCTACTGAGTGGTCTGACCGAAGGGTCTCGATGGACACATCAACCACCTTGTACTGAACTCCAATTTAATGCAGCTTCTGTATCAATGTATGCAGGATCCTATGCCAGAGGTTCGTAAACTTTGTACACTCTATGGTTCTCATTATATTGGACAATAAATTTAGGTTGACCTTTATACACCTATCAAAATTGTGTTGTTATATATTTATATTTTTTCTGCCAGTGTTTTTTTGTAATTTTTAATGTATCTGTTCTAACATTGTACTCTAGCCACACTCCATATTTTTATAGCTTTTTATAGCTGAGTTACTTATATATTTATTGTTGGCCAATGATTGCAAATAAACATTACATTAAAGTACAGTTATAAAATACTATAAAGGATATACAGGGTGACTGGTGAATTACTATCAATATTTAAGGAGAATACTCGGTACATGATTCTCATTCGAATTATGTAAAAAAAATAGGCACTTAATTTTTGACCAAATTTCCGTATAAATAAATAAAGTGTGGACACGTTCCAAGTGTTCCAAGTGTGGACGCGTGCGGCGGCGTGCTGATACAATACCACGACGCCGCACGCGTGTATGTGTGTGTGTGTGTGTATACCTAATCTGTAGGGTGTTCACACGACGCGTAATTAATTACATAACTTTCGGTTAACTTTACTTAGAAGTTTATTAATATTTATGTTATATTAATTTTTATTTTGTCATATATGATCGTCAAATATCACGTCCTCGAGTATCGATAGTAATTCACCAGTCACCCTGTACATATATAATTTCAAGTAAATTTCTGAGATTATATAATTATAAATCACTCGTTTTACAGTTTGAGTGTTTTAATTATGACTTCTGACGTATTGTTCTTATGGATTATTGTGATATGAGACCAGTTGTGTATAAACTGCATCCTATATGAATAATATTAATAATAAACTGTCTGTCTGTCTCCAGGTTCGTCAGTCATCGTTCGCGTTACTGGGAGATCTGACTAAGGCGTGTTTCCAACACGTACTGCCATATATACCAGAATTCCTGCCCATCCTAGGAATGAACCTCAACCCAGAATTCATTTCCGTATGCAACAACGCCACTTGGGCCATCGGCGAGATTAGCATTAAATTAGGTTCGCGATAAAATAAAATATTTTAAAAATGTATGAAATAATTTTTAAGAAAACATTAATTTACTCAAAAATATTATAATAAATAACAGGAGCAGAAACCTCAAAATATATACCGCTTGTACTGAACCATTTAGTGGACATCATCAACCGGCCGAACACACCAAAAACTTTACTTGAAAACACAGGTGAGATATTTATATATATGTTCTGAGATGTGTATATAAATGTTTAATGTTTGTCATAGGTATTATTATTTGCTGTGACATTTTTTGATGATGTTTTGGTGGCAGTCATGTTATCTTTATGTATAATTTTTAACTTTATGTTATTTGATCACATGTTTTTACCATTTATTATTTAAAAAACAAACTTGTTTTACTTTACAATCTCTTCAAAACCTATGATAATATATAACTCATATATTATACATATATTATCTAAAAAGTTTAATAGAACATAATTATTATATATTTTAGTTATGTTATCATAATAAAAATATAATAATTATTATATGGAACGCTCTTTGTTATATATACAGCCAGTAAATGGATATTATGTTATTTTTGTTTCCGGGTTCTAATGTAAATATTATTTTCCCACAGATGTAGTGCCCATAGATATCTAAAGTGTGCGCCTGAAGGCCGGCTTAGACTCTTGCTGATGTAATATGTACAAAGAGTCTGGGCCGTTCTTTGATATGTTTAATACCTAGCTGTCTGTATGTAGGAGACGTGTCTCACGTTCGAGTTTGTATCTGAGTATGTTTTTTTGAATGGTTTGTTGATTTGTTTTATTGGTTTTTGTTCTCGGTTGTCGGGGCGCTTAGCGATAACTATTGGTCGGCTAGGTTATGTGTGCCCCCACGACGTCGCACCCGTTTTACATCAATTTGTACGCCAGTGGTCTGTAGTCAAAACTTTTTTTTATTATTAATTATTTATATTTAATTAATTTTTAATATTAAAATAAGTTCTATCCCTTGTATTATTTCGATGGTGGATGGTGTTTGTTAATGGCTTGTTGATATATTTTATTATTATTATTATTATTATTATTTGTTTTATCCGATCATTTGTTATAGTTTATTTTTTCCTTTAACCCGGCATGTTGTGTAACTGTAAGACTCGGGCCACACTTTGACTGTCACTGCTGTTCGATACATACATTAATCATATTGTTTTCAGTGCTGTACTATGTGTTGAACACCATCCGCTTTCTAAATATATTATATATATTAATTAATAATTTTTATATTATACTATTATTATTATTATTATTATTTTGTCCAAACTGTAAGACAAAATATCCATCATTGTTTTAATATAATAGTATATATATTTTTCGTTGTCACATTTGCTTACAGTTTGGAACATACCTGGTATTCAATGTCTGTATACTTATTATTTTGTGTCCGTTGTTAAATGCTCCACATAGTCATATATTTTAGTATATATTTGTTATAATTTCTAACGCTTCTTTTTGTTTCGTTTATTATTATTATTTTATTAAATCGAGCGCAGGTCTGGCAACTTAGAATGGGAGGGCGAAAAAAAAAAATTGAGTCTCGATTGATGTTTATGGATTATGTCAGGTGTACGTCACTGAGGAATATCCGGGACAATGATGAGAAGGATTCAGCGTTCCGCGGCATCTGTCAGATGATACAAGTGAACCCGGCGGGCGTGGTGCCAGACTTTATGTTCTTCTGTGACGCCGTGGCTTCGTGGACGCATCCCAAGGACGATCTGAAGGAAATGTTCACGAAGATACTCCACGGGTTCAAAAATCAAGTCGGAGACGACAACTGGAGGCGCTTCACCGACCAGTTCCCCGTACAGCTCAGCGCCCGCCTCTCAGCTATGTGCGGGATATAGAACAGACAACGACATACGTGGTCTGTATCATTTATATATAACGTTTATTAATATTTAAATATTTGTCAATAATTATATACATGTTTACAGGGGAATCAATGTCAATAAGGGTCGGGAAGACATTGCGGGCGAGAGCTCTAGTGCTAACACCTGCCTGCTCTATATATATGTACCTGAGCCATCAGTAACCAACGCACTCGCTCAATACAAAGCGTCCAAGGACTGGACTTTGACCTGGCGGCTCGTGGCTTAGCGGAGGCGTGACGTCATCGCGCCTGACTATACTCTAATATTGCATGAAACTTAGAATAGCAGTAGCTTTTAATTAGAATGAAATAAATTTTAATTTTTAAAACAAGTCGATCACGAAACTGATACATCTATCTGCCCATAGATATTGTGAGTCATTGTATTGAAATTTCACTGTGGAAATTTATATATATATGTATTTTTTGTACTAAACTTTGTTGCATTCGCACATTATGTTAGCATTAAAGTGAAGCAAGATAAAATCGTTCGAAGCTGTGTAGTTTGTAATGTATGTTTGTGAGATCCTTAGAGATGGCTTCAAGTGGAGGCTTTGTGTTAGTGTTGTGAACTAAAGTTTGTATCGTTTATATCCTTTTTTATTAGAAACGGAATATTAAAATTTGTGATACTTTTGGATTACATATACTGATTGAAAAATATTGTTGAAAAATTATAGTGATGCCTATCTGTCTGAGAGCATTTATTCACGTCTCCACTAAGCTTGTATTTCGTATATATTTTAAGTATATAAATTGATGTGTTAACTACTATTTTTAATATTAAATTACAAGACTTAGGGAAATCGAGAATTTACGTCAACTGTGATTTGTGACTGGTTTATTTTGACTATTATATGTGTACAATATGTCTGTGTCCGTGTACATATACTGCTTTGATAGATTTTATGTGAACTAGATTTCTGCTATATAATATACCAAATAGTATTTTTACGTTTTATTTTGTTTTAATGGATTTGTATGTAAATGTTGCCAGTGGTGAATAATTCTCGTTGTATTGACAAACCACAGTCATTTTCAACAAAAAAATTTAAATTTCTTAAGTCAATTTTTTTTATATGAATGTTGCTATCCTAAAATGTGCATTTACATAAAAAATATAGAATCCCATCGGTTTTAAAGCCCTTTAATGTCTATGTATCGACAATTTTATTAACACTGGCAACTCGAATGATTGATATGAAGTATTATTTATGTGTATAATAAATTAAAATAATATTATGTATATGTAAATACATATTGAGTTGTATATTATTATAATACTATATGCGAATAAAATTGTTACTTTTTTGTTTTTATAAAAGCTATAAAGTCCGACTTTAACCACTTGTTATATGTCATTATTAATTTTTCATATACGACAGGCTCCTTTCTGAATGTCGGTACTCAAAAATGTTTGATATTTATATCAAAAATACGAAACTGAAATTGTGTTACGAAACATGTGATCGTTATTTTAGAAGGGAGCCCGTCGTTTTGGGGATCTGTAAAATTTTAGTTCAAACAAATGCTAGTATGTTTCTCGATGTTAGTGTTAAGTGTGCAGTGGTATGTTTTAGGCTTTTTCGGGGTTGCAGTAAATTTACATTCCTTGTGGATTAATTATTTTTTATTCGGATTTTTTTCTTTGGTAACAGCAAAATTTGATGGCGTTATATGATGTGTGTGATGGTGTATCGTGTGTAATGTATGTCGGTCCATCCCTCCCGTCTAGTCCCAATCCTCGTCAGTGCCAACGAAGCCTCTGTGCGGATGAGCTCACCTCTCATCGATACGTGAGTAAATTTTATGAACCCAAAGGGTATTTTGATAGCTCCCGTCTATTGATGAAGAAAATATATATGTATATGTAAAAAAAAATATATATTTGGAAACGTTATTTTATAAGAGAAACACGCGATCGTTACGGGTTAACTCGTAATTTATTTTTAAGATTAGTAGATTTTGTCGACATTTTTTAAATGTAGGGTTGTTTTTTTTTTCCTAAAAACCGTGATAATAGGTGATAATGTGTGTATGTGTGCGTGCGTGTGTGTGTGTGTGTGAGGCGGCGTTCGTGAGGCACATCCTTCTGTAGTTATCATTTGTGTTGTGAAATGCATAAAATTGTGTATCGTGGTTAAGTCATCATTATTATACAGATTATATATCATCAGCTTAAAAATTTGGCGGGAAGAATTTTCAACTTTTTTTTTTTATAAGAAGACAAAGACTGAAAACCTACATAACCGGTACTGATACAGATCATATCTATTACAAATATCTGAAAAAAAAAACAACTTCATTGACGCCAAATTTTTAGGTTAACAAATCATGTTATTGGGACGTACAAATCATAATATGTAAGCTCTGTTGTTTTTGGTTAAAAAAAAAGTTGTTTGAATACTCATCGCCATCTCTTACGTTAGATATTATATATACATAATTATTTAAAATCGTACCAAATTATATGAATCGTACTTACGTATCTATTTTGATATTTGTATTGTATTTATTATATTTATAAGTATTTTCTGTATCGTTCTTTATTTTGTGAAGTCACACCAGTTGTTAGATAACAGTACTATGAACTGAAATTAACAAACAAACGAGGCTAGCTGACCATTTGATGTATTCAACATAACCATACTGATAACAAAAAATAAAATCACCATATCTTATATAAAAAATAACACAATACTATTAAAATTAATTTCATATGTATAATTACCGATTTGATCAAATAGTCTGTTAGCCTCTTCGATAAAATAAAATCGATTTTATTTGTTAATCGAGTACAGATAAAATTTAAATTCTAAATTTAAATCGCTACCTCCAACATGGCCTAATATTGGCGTAGTTGATGGTTAAAGATTAGATTGTTTTTTTTTGTTGTATGAAATAACCTGTACTCAAGATATAATCAAAATTGTACATAATATCACAGTTACATTGCAGCAACTGATAAATTGTTAAGCTGTGGTTGTAATTCATTGACCTCACCATGAAACTTCTTTTACCATACATTTCGTTAATAAAGCACTCATTGTTCAACAAACGATTTTTATTTTTTATTCTAATATAATTATTGACAAAAATTGATGTCTAGAAAATAGACTTGCAATGTTGCAGCACCTTACTTCAAAGTTGCAAGATTTTCATTCATAAATATTCGTTGATATTATGGTAGATTTAAGAAAAACCGAAAGCTTAAAAACGTTAGTCTCGGTGCCTTCACACAAAACCGAAAATAAAATAACAATCAAAATCTGTTACGATTTGAAAATAAACGCTAGAGAGATAACGATTTGAAAGTCTTGAATGGTTAAATATTCTTCCAGTAAAAATGCCAATTACAAAAAAATACGAGAAACATTACCATTCGTTGTAATAATGATGTTTTTCAAGGAATATCTAGAAACGAAATAAAAAATGATTAATATTTAAGTAGGTCTACTGAACACCAATAATGGACTCGATGGAGAATGATATTTTGGGTCGTGGTTGTGGTGGCACGTAGTGAAGTAACGCAGCCAGTAAGTGTGAACACAAGCCGGGGGCCGGCAGCGGTATCGGCTGTTCAAGACTCGCGTCTGCGAAGGCCTTGCGTCTTCGAACACGCTCGCTCCACACAGGATCCGAGCTTCTCATAGCTCCTGTAATGATAGTACAATAAATATATTACCTATCTCAAATTGCGTCCTCAAATATACCTATTATGTTTGTTTGTTTTAAATTTGGCCTTCATTCAAAGACGTGCACAGTAAATTCTGCCAGTGTGTAGAATAGAGACGCGATCCGGGATTGACTTAGGAATGTAATAAAATTTATTATTTACAGCTTGAACTGAAATCACAATGAAGAACTTTGTTACTAGTAATCTATGTTATGACAACAAGTTTGTCATTTTAATCGTTTTCTTATTGGCCAGAATGTGTAGAAACAATAGTTTTGATGTCAACAGAACACGATATTAAAATCATTGATTACAAGACAATTATCAAAGAAAAGTGTAATAAAATAATGTAGAAACAAAAATACATTACGAAAATTTCATAATGATGTGAATTTAAACAAGAAAAATAAATTAAAAGTAGATATTCGTTAGTGTTTGAACTATGCGATTACGTTAAGATTGTAGTGAAAGCGCTTCTTAATATTCTCGTTGAAATTATCTTTTAACTAGGCTATTAGGTTTTGTTCCATCTTTTAATTAATTTAAAATAAAAATTATTTTCATTATTTATCATATAACAACTTTTTATTCGTTATTTAAATGAACAATTCATTTATATACAAAAAAAGAAATTAGGATACAAAAAATCTAATCTATAAGCAATTTCTCAAAAGCTTTTTTAAAATTTTGATAGGTTTCTTATATTAATAATCCGTGAAAATATTTTTTTTTTCACCTTTTTATTGCGGGAAGGATCTGAAATTCTTATTTTAATAGGAAATTTATTCAAGCTTCTCAACCCCACCCTCATTGGTCATAATATATAACAGAAACAACATGCATCATGATCCATCTTTGCTCAAAGGCCAATATAATAGCTAGAAATAAAGTTATGGCGACAAAAAATGCAATTAAATGTACATAAACAACCTGTTTAGTTTGTAGTTGTTTTTAAGCAGATCATAACATTACAAATTTCAAGAGATATAATACATTTCTCTCCAAAAAGAAAGTTTTTATTAAAGATACAACTTATTCGAAAACATCTTAAAATTTTCTTCATGATTTTTAATTTTTCATTACTGTGGATTACATTCTTTTTGACAGTTCACGATAATTGTCAACATGAAAACTTGACATTGTCATAGAAATGACAATGTCGACATAAATAATGCAACAAGTGTATTGAAACAGCTATATAATAACGGTCGTATAGATTTGGCACCCGCTGAGATATCACAGCGACGGGCGGAAAGACATGTTTACAGCTATCACTGTAACGCGACACCCTTACAAAGAGCCGCCTCGGAGTTTTTCTGTAAGACAATCTTCACAATTTTTTTACAGCCCATAAAAATAGTCAAAAGATATTTGGCTTTTTTAATAGACAGTGAAATGTTACTGAGTCTTAAATGACAGCTTTTGTTCTATAATGAAGCGGGGACATTTTGTAGTTCTGTTCATGTTTTTATTGCGACGGGAGTCTATTTTTAATTATTTAAACAGTATCTTTTTACATTAGATTTACCACTTTAACATCACACACCTCACGAAATAATAGTTTTCTCGGTTAGTATATTGCATTTAGTGCCACAAATTTAGGAATTCGGTGTGGTATGACAAAATTTTAGACTAATTAATTTGAAAGCTAAAAGGGGAATGTTTTCAAAATATAATTTAACAGATCAAATGTTCCAAAGTAAATATTTGTTCAGCTAATTCGCATGAAGCATTTCTGTGAGTGAGAAATGAAACAGACGACAGTGCCTACTCGTTTACAAAAATAACAAAGCGTTGAGTGGTACATCACCTACCGGTTATTAGAAGGTCGGGACACATAAACATTGGATTCTCGTTTTCAACTTTAACTTTATATATTTACTTAAATAATCTTAATGCAATAAACAGACCTGTATACCATAATTAGCGATTTATTTATATAAAACGAATGAGAAAATCGGATAACATATCAGTCTCGTCTTGGCATAATCACGACGTTATTTTGTAGGAAAGAGTCAATAATTAAATTAAAATATATACAATATACATACTTTAAATTACTTATTGAATACTTTATAAAAAATTATAAGCTAGTCTATTGTATTGTTTTTTTCTTCATTTTTATGGATTAATAAAATTTTGAATCTTAGTTGAGTCTTCAATGTTTATTTGGATAAAGCCAAGAGTCAAACTAAAGTTGGGACCAGCTGTTAAGCTATTAACAACCGGGAATTTAAATACTGTTCAATTAAGTTCTTATTCAGTTTACTACTTTAAGTTATTTTCAGTTGAGCTTTTATATGTTTAACTTATTCCATTTCGTAATGCTTGCTGAAGACAAATATTTATTATAAAATAATATTGTAATTTAATCTGTGAAAATGAGCAATCACTACTATGACTTAAAATATAGATAATAAAAGATATATTATATTGACTAAAGGAATTCACCTGTTTAAATTCCCATTTTGTATTATTCAATAAATCGTTTTTACAAACTCAAGAGATTTTCTACTTAAATCAAAGAAAACTGCGGAAATATTGTGCAGATATAATTTTTACAATTGAATATAATTCTCCTCACTCTCTTTCGATTTCTCTTTATTATGGAATAATTTTAGGGCTTTACATTTTCTAACCAGCGCTTATATTTTTAAATCATTCTGTTAAGCATAGCAGATCAAGGCGTAACCGCGTAAATATGTTCGCTTACGACCTTTTCTGTTTAAAATTATACCTATCATTTTAAGTAAAGAGTTTACCATTTTAAACATACAAATATCCTAGGCTTGACCCTAAAGTAATAAAGAGTTTTAAAACATTTCAACTACATCTTACAGTTGGAAACAAAGTGATCGGGGACTTTGTTTTTAAATCATAAATCAAAATAAAATTACAAAGATAGGTACTTCTATAAAGACATTCGTTAAACTCTAACGAATGTCTAGATAGAGATTTCAGTACATACCTAATAGGTAGGTACTGAGTGATTTCGACTCGAACTATGTTTAAAATTTTAACAAAATCCTCTTCAAATTATATATAGAATACTTCGCCAACATCTATGTAGGTACTTTTATTAGGTACATAAACTTGAATTTCTATTTCATAAATCGTAATCAGTCCATTAACATTTTAAAGGGCCCGCCTATATACTTGCTCAGAGTATTTAGACACCACTGACATACGGTGAAGGAAAAAATCGTAAGGAAACCTGGACTTATAGTTTCACAATTATAAATTTGAAATCACCAACCCATCTTGAGCAAGCGTGGTGATTAATGCTCAAACCTTCTCCATGTGAGAAAGAGGCCTTTGCTCAGCAGTGGGCTCTGATAGGCTGATGACGAAACAGTCCATTTAAAAGTATTTTTGAAACGTATTAGTACAAACCGTAACTATTATCCGGTAATGCGTAGTGTCTCGATATTTGAACCGTTCTGAGCCTCGCTCGGTAAGCTCGTTTCCTTGCAGCCAGAGCAGCGGCTTCTCCCTCTCTCGCTGTGCCACCCGAACTCTGTTGTCGACGAAGAGCTACCTGTATAATAAAAATACTAATTAATTCTAAATAAAATCAAGAATAGACATATTTAAAGTAGGTAAGTTTATAGTTAATTTTCAACCCTCTTTCATTTTTTTAATATTATAGAGAGAGTTCAGCTCATTGATAGGTATGTTTTAAAATCTTCCCAAATAATTAAATATCCCATGTTTTAATTAGGTACATTGTTTTATATATTATTATTTTTAACCCGTACCTTAATAATACGTTACTTATAATTCAGAGAACTTAAACACAAGAGTAGAGATTTTTTTAATTACACTTTTGTAGTTTTATCCATGTAGTTAATCTAAAGAAGTAGGTATTTTTTGAATAAATATACTACAGGTATAGGTATTATATAGATACATACGTATCGAATAACCCGCTCTATTATTTATTTAAGTACTACTTTTTAATTGCGACGGGAAACTACATACTTGACTATTATTCCATCTTTTGACAATCGGAATGAAGTCGTAAAATGTGAACTCACTATCTCATTATTTACCCTTTTCTTGACTATTAAATAATATTATAAATGTCAAAGTAATGTACCTACTTAAACATAAGCTATGCGAACAAATTTTTAAAAAAGAATTTAAATAAAAGTATGTTTTTTTTACTCAATGCTCAAATACTTGTAAATAATGTTGTCATTTTAAAGTAACTTTCAAATTAAGTTTATTTAAATAAAGGTTTTACTTTACTTTAAAATCAATAGGAAAATAAAAACCTGTTGAAACTAATTATATGAGCGGAAAAAATAGAAGTTATAGTAGTTATTAATTGTTTTATATAAATGAAATTTATTTCACTTAGGTACATATCTTTAGCGTGAACCCCAAAAAATTAAATTTATGGCTACATCGTCTTATAAATTTAACTAAGTACATAATAGGGGAGAGTCGGATATATCGTACCACTTTTCACATTAATTCAAATATTTCGACTATAACACGTCTTATAATAATTAATACATATGTAAAATAAAGTTTCATATTTTAGCTTCCTAAGAAGAAGAGAACAGATCCTTTCGATTATTCTAACATTGTTAAAAATGCTTTTTTATAGAGGCTTGCCATCGGTACGATTTAGCCGACTAGTCGTTTTAATCGTACCACTAAGTCTTTAAATCGTACCATGGGTGTTTAAGTCGTACCACTGAATGAAAGACATTAAAATTCTCAATCAAATTATTTATTTTTAACTGTAAGGTAAGTAATAAAACAACATTATTTATATCTTTTAGGTAATAGAAACATAATTTTTAGCACTTAGCACTTAGCACGCATTAAATTGAATCGAATCAACTTTTGGACCCTTCTTATCGTAGTAAGAACAATTGCACTTTCGACATATATTTTCAAGATAATCATCGCTGTCATCATCATCATCTAGTTCTACAACAAGTGTCTCTCCTGAATCATCGCTACTGGTGATGGAATGAGATCGTTTCCTCTTATAACTTTTGTTTTTGGCCTTGGGTAGTACTTACTGTACGTACTTGCGGTAGTACTATAGGTACTTGCGGTTGGTAGTCGGGTAAATCGTACCAGTACAATTTAACCAACTGCAAGTGGTACGATTAAACCAACTAAGGCATTTCTAAAACAAAAGCAAATATCCGGCATAAACTCAAAACTTAGACACGCAACAAAAACCCCCAATAATCTAGTATACAATTGTGGAATAATAAAAAAAACTGAATAACTATAGCTTACCTTGATTACGAGTTATCTCCTTACGAATGTACGACAATATTTATATTAATTCCTACAAAAAATGTTTTTTTTTAATTACGTGCACGGTTGTTAACTCACGTCGATTTAAACTAGTGGGTGAAGAAGGATGGTGCAGAGCCACGATTTGGCGTTGTCAATGTAAAAAAAAATATTCATTAAATGGGAAATTTAGAGGTGGTACGATTTAAATGCTAGTACGATATAACCAACTCTCCCCTATATTCTTTTTAATGAAACTAATATTTTCGGATATTACGCGTTATTTCTTCGTGTACCCGTGATCACAGTTGCTGCAAAGTAACCGAAATGTCGGGAGTAGGTATGTAATTTTAAAAGTAATAAAATAACGTGAAGTAATTCAAAAATATTAGTTTCATTTAAATTAATAAGTAGTCGCCAAAGTTTTAAATGTAATTAACTGTATTCTAATGGTAGAAATGTATTTTTTGCCTAATTTTTTCACTATCCCTACTAATATTATAAATGCGAAAGTAACTCTGTCCGACTGTCTGTTATGCTTTCACGCCTAAACCACTGAACTGACTTTAATAAAATTTGGTACAGAGATAGACTTGATCTGGAGAAAGAACATAAGATAGTTTTTATCCCAGACTTTTGAAAGGTTCTCTTGGAAACGCGATATAACCGAACTCCACTCGGGCGAAGCTGCGGGCGGAAAGCTAGTTCTCTATAAATTTTTCGTAGTAATTTACCTGAGCAGCCATAACTCTCTGTCTCTCCAGGACGAGAAGACATCCTGGACATCTGCAATCCCTCCAACGACACAATCTCTTGTGGCCCTTCAGACACGAGATGACACCGTGGTTCCTGCAGCGAGCACACTTCGGAGTCCGAAGGGCCTTCCGACCGTTATCATCGCTCTTACTTTCACTTTGCATGTTTTTCATTAAATCAATCACATATTAATTACTCGTTGACAATATTTCAAAGCGTTGCCTACGAAACTTTCAATCGATACATTCTATATTTATCCGGAGATAGAAAAGTACTTTATGCTGTCATAAAGAGCGCGAGATGTTGACGGCGACTAAGTTTTCAGTGGTTGATTACTGAAAAAACATTTTGGAAGCTGCACACCAAGATATACTTCGCTCCGCCCAGAACAAACTGCTATTGGTTGGGAGACGAGGGGCGGCTACTTGGTTATAGCTCCGCAAGTGTTTGTGTTGCGTAAAACGATACTTTCAACCGTAGTTTTTGTTTGATAATCTTAGTATAGATTTCATAAGCTGTTTTGCTAAATTATTGTCACACTCTTGATGATTATATGCATTAGGTCCCGTAATGACTAAGAATTTATGGCTATAAGTAGAACCGATGGCAAAATTAGGAATTTTAGTACCTATATATATATCTATGATTAAATATAAAATTCACTAAAGAAAAAGAAAATGAATATCGTCATTGAAATATCCGTTCTGAAAATAGTTCAAACAAAAAAGGTACTTTTTTAAATTGAAAAATAATTACAAAATCCTAAAATATTTTTAAATGTTTATTTACGCGCAATTTTCATTTTGTTCATGTTATAGAAAACTAAATCTTAAATATATGACGGCGCATCCGTCAAAAATCATACGTCAGGTTGACTTTTAGCTGTCTGAGGTTAGCCTAGTGAAGCGTCATTGTGATGGTAGCGAGGGCGGCCATCTTTATTATGGGGTATCGTGCGAGATGACGCCCGCGCACCGCGCTCGTGACGAATCGCTGTGTATCGAAGTGATAGTGATATCTAGTGTTTCGATTGAGTTGGTGTCGTATTGAATAGACTGTACTTTATCCCTTTCAAAGTATGAGTTCCCATGAAGGCCCTCCTGTTCTTATAACGCCCTCCTACATCAGAAGTGGGATCGAAAGGGCTTTAAAATGAGGAGAGTAGTAATCATCCATCTATGTTAAACTTTGTAAAAAATAATGAGAAACTTGTCGATGAAAATAATGTCAACTTCTCAACTAACTTCGACGACGTAGTTGATCCGGTTCAATCTGGATCGTACGGAAGCAGATATAAGGGTTAGGACGTCTCGTCGTGTCTTGATCGTAAAAGGTACCGGTAATTGAGGCTCGCCGGTGAAGGAGATATCTGTGTGACCATGGGCCGAGCCGAGGGGAGTTGACGACGTCATCTGGTGAGACTGTTCCTTTTCTTTTTAGTAGTGGGTGTACTTGTTCATGTAGTACTAATGTGTGTCTGTATCTGAAAATTTTTCAAATAAATTTCTGTGTACTTTGAGCAATGAAGTAGTTCCCCTGAAAGGCATCTGAACGCGTAGTATACGGTCGAAGCGAACGGGCGACGATATGAGTTTCACGCTTACCCACCACTTCGTAAGATTTTAATATTAGATCGTATTAGCGAATAAAGGTCATTCAACCTTGCGCTTCGGTACTGAATACTCTAGTCATACGTCGTGTACATTAACAGTCAATTATTATTAGTGTTTCTACGTCTATAGACTTATTGTAATACACAAATTTTAAGCCCGGTCATAATTCAAAATGTTTCAGTGTCTCTTTTGTTTCATATTATTAAAGAGAATATTATTTTTGAATCCGTGGTTGTTGGACGGGACCTTGTAGAGTAGGGAATTAAAGGAGAAATAAACAGTGACTACATTATTTTCTCAAAACCTGAAACGACAAAAACAGATAAGTGCTCAACCTCAGACAATCTTAACTTTTCTCGTATCAAAACTTATTTGGAAGGCGACGATAATAAAGCCCTTATCGATGTTTTTAAGAAGTATAACTCATTTTGTTATTAAGGGCACCTCTTAACTCTTTAGACCCTAATTCTTTAGACCCTAACATAGTCTAAGAGAGACCTTACAAATTATAAGAGGTTGTTCGATATAAAAAAAAAAATAAAAATGGATGCCCTCTTTGAAACAATCATTTTACACTTTATCAAGCCCCATTCTAATTGTAAAAAAAACGAATGACAACTCTGACATAATGTATGTTGACTCTAGGGAGATTAACACCAATTCTTATAGTAAGCCTTTTGTTTTAGAAATTTTATACCGAACTATTTCCGCCTAGTACGATCCTTATGTCTACTCACTAAGTTAAAGGGTTTAATTAAACGGTCAGAAGTCCACGGTAATATCCGTAAATGGATAGTTCAAATACTTACCACGGAGTCTATTCTAACTATATTTGATCGCGAGCCTCCTATAGAATTACACACGAATGCCAGCGCCAACGGATACGGTACCATTTTAATTAAATGAAAGAACGGAGTTCCTCACGTTATTTCATATTTCAGTCGCCGGAAAACTGACACGGAATAAAAGTATCATTCTTATGAACTTGAGACCTCGGCAGTCGTTCGAGCGGAAGAATATTTGAAGCAAAAGCTATATGGTCATCATTTTATTGTTTTCACGGGTGGCAATCCTTTCAAAGCTTCTTAGTTAAAAAAAAAAAAAAAAAATTAACACCGAGAGTACATAGATGACCCTGAGCAGGGCACTTCCAAGAGCGACAAAAGCAAGGCTCAAGTAGTTAATAAGTCTGTGCAGTTTGTAGAGGTAAATCAAGGGTGGTTAGCGGTAGAACAAAAACGTGATGCATATGTTCAAGATATTGTTGCTCAGCTCTTAAATAATAAGTTTCCCGATTCAATTAGTCACATCTACGATGTTAGAAACAATATGCTATATCGAAAAAAAATTGAGCGAAACAAAGTTAGTCGTTGGTAACCTATCGTCCATCAGTCCCTTGTATGGACTTAAATCAACCATATCCATACTGAGATAGACACGTTTAGTTTCTTGATGGAGTGCAACGCAGGCAGATATTTTTAGGTGTTCTGGGATTTGGTCCAGTCACCTTTTGGGATTTAGTCCTCTAGTTCGGTTACCGTCCACTTTTTCAATCACTAGCGGACGTTTAAAGCTGTCCGTAGTTCTGTCAGGGAACTGACCAATCAACGCCAGTATGTGCTGCAAATAGATATTAGATAAGCGCCGACCATATTTTGAGGTATGCGTAACATACTTCGCCATCACCACATTCTTAAGGCATCAATTCTTTGCCTGTCAACGACTTTCATAGTCCACGTCTTTGCACTATACAGAATCGGATAGCTAGATAGATAGAAATATAGAGAAGGCAAGCGTTCGTATCAGATGCATTTTTGTTCCATTAATAATTTTCCTATCTCTCCAAATTTTATTCAGTGGGGTTATTGCTATTTTGGCCATGTAAATTCTCCTACGGATTTGCATACATTTTATTGGCATACTATTCACATACATAGATATGACTGGGACATTAAGTGGCAAAAGCGACAGAAAAGAAATACGCGTCAGTAATGATTGATTATGTTATTAAGTATGTCCTTTAAGAGCATACTCTATCCCTCGATGCCAGTTGTACTATTAAAGCGTTGAGAAAAGCTGTTTCTCTTTTCGGTGTTCTCAAGCGAATTGTTATATCGGGGAAGGGGCTTTGTAAGCGCGGACTTTAGAGAATTGAGTAAAACACCTCGTATAGAGAACTTTACTTTATAACAACAGGGGCAAATAAAGCCAACGGTCAAGTAGAAAGGGTCATGCAGATTTTAAAATGTCTGCTAACTATTATAGAAAACGATACCCATAAAACGTGGCGTGACAAACTTCCTGAGGTACAAGGGACGAAACCGCTTAGCATTCAATGGATTCACCGTGCGGGTGCCGGGTCCATCGCGTTGCAGGGAGGGGAGCTTCAGCAGTGCCTGGGACTTGCGACCCAGGTGTGGGTTTAAGGGGCCCCTTAACTAACGCGCGTTGTACGCTCACCTCCACTGTCCAAGTTCCTCTCCCTACCTGGCCAAATTTGGAAGGAACCTGCTAGGGCTGCTTTCGACGTACGTTCCGAGAATGAATTAATGTTGGTTCTGGACGGGCCCAAGTCTTTTAGTAGGTTGTAGAGAGATTTGGCTGTTATGCCTCTCGCTCCCACCTCTACCGCGGACGAACCTATTTCGAGTTAGTTCGTTGGTGAGCTCGTAATACTTAGTGACCTTGATGGCATGGTCTTTGGGGATGTTGGTTTCCCAAGGCACCGTAGGCTCTATCATCACAACGCGCTTTAAAATACGCGAATATAGAAATATGTCTGGTCTGGAGGCTGACGCACAAATATCCTCGGGGATTTTGTGTTGTTTCTCATACGTATCCATCATGATAGTCCAATCCGAAGCCGCTTTAAGGATAGAGTAAGGCTTGACGTTTGATTTTATAGCCCTGGTGCTCTCTCTCACAAAAACCTATTGATCGCTCGTTTGTGGTTATTTCCCTTTGCGCTCTGGCTACCGAAAGACTAACCGCTTCAAGTATGATCTCTAAAACCCTATAGTGACGACGCGAGAATTGACCGCTGTCCAGGAGAACCTTACATCTCACTAGCAAATGCTTGGCAGTTCCAACTGCCTTTCCGCAGATATAGCAGGTGTTTTCGGTACCTTTACCCCATCTTACTAAATTACTCTGATCTGGGAGAGTCATCTAGCACTTAATAACACAAGCCGTAGTGTTACAGGATATACTCCAACAGAACTAATGTTTGGCATTCGCGCGCAATCTTTAGGGAATATCATTAATAGCCCAAAATTCAAACGAGCCGAGATTAGATTTAGACAATATCCGGAATAAAACTTTTATCATAACTAAAATTCTAGACAACGATAGGTACGAACTGAAACATACCGATGAATCTAATTGCACTTTAAAATACTCTCATGAAAACTTGGGCGCAGTACCCAGAGGCTTTGAAGGGTTAGTTGACATATCCACTGAACTAAGTAATGAGGAGGCCGAGACGGCGGATCATGGAGTGGAGAGAATGGAAACGAAGCTATGTCAGATGATGAAAGTGAGTAGCTGAGTAGCTCTGATGGCCTCCAACATTGATAAACCATAAATGAGTTGTGTAAGTTTGAGTTGGTGTGTTTGAGGTGGCGATGGAACTGGCTGATGCGGCCGATGTTTCTAGTAGTGATGGATCAAAGCGTGCAGGGGCTGGCTCGATGGAGTCCACGTCCGGTCGACGCTTGATCAGGTTGTGAAGATGGACGGGCTAGCTCTGTGGAGTCTATGTCCTGGTCATCGTTCACTCACATGAGTATAAGTAGTGGAGATGATGGGGCTAGCTCATTGGAGTCTCGATCATCGTTCATTCGTTTGGCTGAGTTGTTCTGGATGCTCTGCAGATTGTGGTCAGACGAATATTGTCGTCCAGGTCAGAGCCATTTAAGTTGGCTGACTTGTTCTGGTGAGACGAATATTGTCGTCCGAGTCAGAGCCATTTAAGTTGGCTGACTTGTTCTGGTAAGACGAATATTGTCGTCCGAGTCAGAGCCATTTAAGTTGGCTGACTTGTTCTGGTAAGACGAATGAAGTCGTCCGAGTCAGAGCCATTTAAGTTGGCTGACTTGTTCTGGTAAGACGAATGTAGTCGTCCGAGTCAGGAGCCATTTAAGTTGGCTGACTTGTTCTGGTAAGACGAATGTAGTCGTCCGAGTCAGGAGCCATTTAAGTTGGCTGACTTGTTCTGGTAAGACGAATGTAGTCGTCCGAGTCAGGAGCCATTTAAGTTGGCTGACTTGTTCTGGTAAGACGAATGTAGTCGTCCGAGTCAGGAGCCATTTAAGTTGGCTGACTTGTTCTGGTAAGACGAACGTAGTCGTCCGAGTCAGGAGCCATTTAAGTTGGCTGACTTGTTCTGGTAAGACGAACGTAGTCGTCCGAGTCAGGAGCCATTTAAGTTGGCTGACTTGTTCTGGTAAGACGAACGTAGTCGTCCGAGTCAGGAGCCATTTAAGTTGGCTGACTTGTTCTGGTAAGACGAATGTAGTCGTCCGAGTTAGAGCCATTTAAGTTGGCTGACTTGTTCTGGTAAGACGAACGTAGTCGTCCGAGTCAGAGCCCTTTAAGTTGGTTGACTTGTTCTGGATGCTTTGAACATTGTGGCAAGACGAATGTAGTCGTCCGGGTCAGAGCCCTTTAAGTTGGTTGACTTGTTCTGGATGCTTTGAACATTGTGGTGAGATGAATGTTGTCGTCTGGCTTAATTGCTACGAGATGCTCGCCTTAAGTCTTAAGTACCATAGCACATTTTGATGATTGTAACTAGTCGTTTGTCAGGATGCCGAACGGAATAGACACAACTGTAGTTCATTGATCCGAGAACCGCCCGAGGACGGTCGAATGTCAGTCCGGCCGTGACGGCGCATCCGTCAAAAATCATACGTCAGGTTGACTTTTAGCTGTCTGAGGTTAGCCTAGTGAAGCGTCATTGTGATGGTAGCGAGGGCGGCCATCTTTATTATGGGGTATCGTGCGAGATGACGCCCGCGCACCGCGCTCGTGACGAATCGCTGTGTATCGAAGTGATAGTGATATCTAGTGTTTCGATTGAGTTGGTGTCGTATTGAATAGACTGTACTTTATCCCTTTCAAAGTATGAGTTCCCATGAAGGCCCTCCTGTTCTTATAACGCCCTCCTACATATAGAATGTGTTTCTTAGAAAAATATACATATTTTTAATTTCGTTATAATATATATAAATATATATACGTATATATAATATAATATGTATTATAACTGATAAACTTTCAGAGAATCAAAATTAGGTGTTAAAAAATACAATAAAAAAGTGTGATAGTAGGTACCTATACATGACAACACACGAATCAAAACAAAAATGATATTATATATAAAAATATATACCTACCTACATAATTATAATACGTCAATGACACCTACAAACTTTGACATTCTGAATGTGGCTGACAAGGGTCTGAAAAAAAAAAACATTTAGAAGCTACAGCGTTGACAGAACAAAAATCTTCAATCTATTCTGTTACGAAATTAATAATTATAATTTTTGAAAATTTAAAAAAAAATATATTTATTTTAATATAGATATTGCTAATTATTATTTTTGTAACTAATATTTGGATCAAAAAATTATTGTTGAACAAGTAATATTATTATTTTACTATGTAACTGATACGCAATCTCGGAAAAACGATTGCCAATTATCTCTCATGTTACAGTCGCCGTTGTCCAGTGTTTATGATTTATTTTTTCTAATTGCATTCCAATAACTTTATCGAAACCAATATTTGTATAAGAAAATCACTGAGAAAAGCCTAAATTGTAGAATATATAGTTTCTAAATTAGTTTGAAATTGCAAATAATGTCAAGTTACTTAACAGATTTCGTAGAAGGAAATTTAAATATCATAATTGCTGTATTTTACTATTACATTTTAATATACATAGATACGTAACAACTTTTCAGTTCTTTTTTTTTTACTTCATAAAACTGTGTTGAAGCTTGTAAAAATTATTACCTAAATTATGTTTTAACCTCATATATTTATCAATTTAAAAAATATCTTGACACAAATATGTAGTAGTTATTTCGTGTTATTCGTTTTTTTTATCCGATGTGTGATAAAAAATCTTTACTTAAAACCGGTAAACTTTAAAATAAAACATTAACCACTGTATACAATGTATTTACTAAGACACCTTATGCTGTTATAAAGCTGCTTTGTTCGATCACAGATCATATTAATTAATTTCGCGGCAGAATGCATTTTATCAGATAAATGCCTATTCATGACCAATAAGCCAGTTCTCAATTACAGAGCTCAATGTTAAACAAAGTAGGTGTTTGATTTGTAACAAACGTTTCTGTGTACGCAGTATGCGCTTTTGTTTTTCATTATCACTTCATGTGGCAACATTTATATTGTACAATCAATGAGAACGGTCTTATTATTAACGACGGGCGTATTAAATTATTTTACTTTGAGCTGAATATTAAACAATGGAGCTTTTTTGCAGTACGTACAAATGTTGTGTTATAATATGTCAATAGGGTACTCTGCTTAGTAGCCACTGATATTACTTGGTTTTATTATTAAATATCTTTTTGGGAATTTAATTATAACTATTTTTTCCATATTAATTGATGAGTGTAAATAAATATTACAAGTATGTAATGATTTTTATTTTCTGTTTAAAACTTAACTTTTTTTTTTTTTTCTAAACGGCTCTGAAAAATTCACAGATATTTATATTTGAAATGCAAAACGTTTTTTTATTTACAAAACTATTTCGACAACATATACGAAAATTTATTTACTAAGAACCTAGAGAACCTTTTATTATTAATTTTAAGTCACAATTAAAAATTATACTAAGGGTTCCGCCACAAATTTTACAATATCTTATGTAGTATGTTGTAAGCATGTTTTCTACTTGGAACAAAGGTCTGCCAAAATTAAAAATGGTAAAATAAAAAAGGTAATTTGAAATTAAAATAAAAACTCAGTTTAAGTAATTTTATTACCCTCATTACCGTTTTATTATACTTTAAATCACAACATTGAAAGTTAAGTTATACTTATACGATAGAAATATTAGTAAAGTGTAAACAATTAAAATTCATTAAACATCTTGGATAAATAATCAAAAAATAATAAGCGATATATATATTATTATACAAATTTATTTAAATAAGATAATCATCAACAGCTACAAAACTCCTTTTATTAAAACATTCTTCCAGCCATTCATCTGATACCAAAATTCCTTTTGTATTTATTTTGACATCCGCGCCTTTTGACATAACGACGTGCGTCAGTCTAACGTCATTTAGACAACAGATTTTGGCTCCAAAAAAGGACGCCATAGTTTCGTAAAGCGAATTATCAACAACATGAATGAAACAATTCCTTAAAAATGAGAAAGGATTATTGTCGTTAAATAATTGTTTATCTAGACAGAGTTTTTCCTTTAAAGTTGGATACAGCGGGAGCTCCTGTGAAATACGATTAAGAATATATGTAAGACCATTTTTAAATATAGAATTTTTTTTTTATAAAATCACTTAAAACCTTTTTACTATTTTTTTGATAGAATACTTATTAAGATTTAAATAAAGTAACGAACCGAATCCATTTTATGGAGTAGTTTCTTCAAAGTGTTTTCATCTATTTCGTCCTTGTAACTATCGCCGAAGGGATCGTAATGTAGGCTTAGTTTGAGCTTGGTTTCGGGTTTAATTGATAGCATATTTAATAGGTGATAGTTGACACGAGTCATCATTTGCTGATAGGCCTCTGAGCCAAGCTGTACTAATGATGTCTAGTTCTTGTGTCTCTATGAGTCTACGCGCTCTCGGTGTAATAGTTCCCACTACACAGCACCAAGTATCTGAACCTTGGAGAAAATAAAAGTTCATAACAATATTTCGTATATATTCTATGAATATCATTAATTCAAAGTTTGTCGGAATTTTTGGATTCAAATTTTTGTTGCTTTTTGTTACATCAAAATGAAACTTTTAAAAAGTTGGTGTTATATGACAAAAACAAGACGAAAAACTAGTTGGTTGGTTTACATATATTTTTATAAATCTCTTACTGTATTTAAAAACCATACTTTAAATGACAGTAATATTTTCGTATTATTACTTAGTACTTAGTAGATATTATTTTACTATTTTAAAATCTACATACTCCCGACGTTTTGGTTACTTAGCAGCAACCGCAATCACGGGCAGACAAGATGAATGAAACCATACTTTAGTTACTAATTACAATATACATTATTATTATTTTTGGCCACATAAAATATATCGTACCTGGATTCTCAACATGTTTTCCTCCGTGGGACTCTATAATGCGTTTCAATTCAGGTTTCTTACAATCCTCATCATCAGACAACACACATAGTTTCTTCCCTGCCAAAGCTTGTGATATAACTTGCACGTCTCCAGTCGTCTTTGTACGGAATTTTTCCGCTACTTGAACTGTCTTCGGTAGACCGCGCTTACGTATTTTGATATCGTTTTGATCTAATTGCGATTCGTTTATGCGTTTCGTGCTTAGCTTTTTAACTGGGCTCTTACTCTGTAGAAACAAGATATTAGTTTGATTTACTGGAAAAAATATATCGTAATCTTAATATTTAAGAGTATATTGTAATTATATTAACAAACCAAAGTCAGTTGTCTAAGTTCGTGTATTGTACACACGTCATCAACCGGCTTGTCTGATCTGACGTCTTCAACGCGCGGGAATCGCAGCACGTGTGAATCGCCAACGCTTAACAGCTCGGTGGCACGTACCTTCACACACATACATACAAACTTAATATACTTTGTATATATCACACACATATATGTACATAGTCGTACTAACGCACACACTCACATCAACGAACCTACTTGAATTCAAAAAACGAAATGAGTTTTTTACATACACACACACACACACACACACACTAACTTAAGCGTATTATATACACACTCACATCTATGAACTCACATGTATTCAAAAAACGCACACATTCAAATAAAAGACCTCACGTGAATGCAAACATTCAAATGAAAGAACTCGTGTGTATACAAACAGCATACTCATATTGACGAACACAACATTTGACTCGATTTAATTAATTTGCATAAATTCAACAAAAAGCCAGACGCTTGTGTACAGTGAATACAAACCCTAATGTTTCTTTTATAACTTTTATTCTTTAAAATGTTGCATTGGCAAAGATTAAATAGATTTAGGAACGATAAAAATTGACACAGAAAGAAATTAGTGCATTCATTAGGTACACTATAATGGGTGTAATACTTTCTCTTCTATATTTTTTTTTTTACAATTGAATAAAACAAACACACAAAATAATGAGATCTAAGACTCGCCCACATTCATTGAAATAAAACTAATATTATCTTCTTTACTACGCGATTTTGATTATTTTAACTACACACTCCTGACGTTTTGGTTACTTTGCAGCAACAGTGATCATGACCTCATCTCGACCGTGCGTGATCAGGATTTCTGCAAAGTAACCGACTCATCGGGAGTATGTAGTTAAAATAATTAAAATCACATAGTAAATCCGACAATATTAATGTTATTTCAACAAACAAGACATACAATAACAATCAGATCATAAAAAATATGATAGAACAGACCTGCAATACGATAGAATGTTCTGGAAGTATCCAGAAGTCTGGCTTATCTTTGCCGAAGCGTAGACAAGATGGCGGGGGTTTTTTTCTATACAGACACCAGTTCCGTTCAAATAATGAACAAAGACGTTCCTTCTCCTCGTGCTTCAAACCATTAGACACACGACCAATACAGATCCATATAGGATCGCCTTGACAGAAATAATTTTGGTAATTATGCTTTACTTATGACGTCATTACAAGTTTAAAACTTATATATCAATATAATACGTACATATAGCTGTATTTGTTAAGATATATCATTAAAAAAGAAACATAACTGTCAATGTTACGTACATTAAGGAATAATTATTGCTAAAAAAATAAATGAATTATTGTTTTCTAGCAGTATGAAAAGTAATTTACAAATAAATATTTAATAAAAATGTAAGAGCAATACATACTACTTTTAATATAAGAAAATTGTACAGACTATATACGACGTTTTTTTTTTAATTCTTTTGACAAGTGTTTATTGATAATTAAAAAAAAATCCGTTCAAAAATTACAATCATTACCTATAAGTAATTTGAATTCGAATCTTATTATTTTTTTATATGACCGTATAATAAAATATTACCATCGTTGTTATCTCGACACGCGACATAGAAACTCTTCGCACGTCCCTGTCGTTTGTTGGTAGCTTCATCAGCACCTACCACCACCAGGTCAAAGTCATTCATGGTATCATCTGTATACTGGAATATAAATTAAATATATTTTAACTATATAATAATTATAATAAATCGTATAAATAATATTTTTGCTTTTGAAAAAGGTTTAGTATTACTATAAAAGATGTATAGTTGTATCAAAAAAAGCGTTTAGTATTCAGATATAAAGGTTGTTTTTATAAAATAAATGTATTATTTTTAAAAACATATTTTATAAATATTCTTAAGGAAGCTGATCAAAATGTACAGTTATTTTATAAGGTATATATATTCCAATTAGGCAATCAATTTCATTTACATTGAAAGGGGATAAGCTGCTATAAATTAATCTAGAGTGCAAATATTTTTTCACTTTTTTTACTGCTTTATTAGGTAATTTTAAAGTATGTACATATTTAAATAAAGTACTGTATAAATTGAAGAACACACCTCCGGCTTTATTTTGTACCAGCCAGCGTTTCTTTTGTTAGCGATGTAGTATGAATTTATATCTTTAACTACAATACCCTCGTCTTGATTGTCTATGGCATCGTTGACAGCGTCCACTACTTCTGAACTAGAAAAAAAGTATATTAAAATAAACTTTTATTTTAATATAAAACCTCTTTTGTTATAACCTACCTTTCTTTGATAATTTTTCGCTTGCTATGTTCTATAACACCTTGCTTGTCTATGAAGAGATCGTCGAGTATTTTGAGTCGTTCTCGTAAAGGTAAACCGCCCTTATCTGGCGGGCCGATAAGTGGTTTGTCGTTGTAATATAGAATATCAAACACGCAAAAACAAGGGCGGAACGAACTGTTCTCTGTGATTTTCTTTACATCGTATGACATCGCTGGGAAATAAACCATACAAATTCACAATTTTCTTTTATCAACTTCTCTCAAGTCCTGAACATCAAAGTAAGTTATATATAGAAATGTGATTTTTACGAATCAAATGTACTTTCTGAGACTATTTAGACATCACTGATTAATGCTGATTCCCAAAAGAGGGATGATGTCACATTAAAACAATTCCAAAACTTCTACAAAGGCAGACCCTGGCTAAAGCTGGGAAATTGCCAGGTAGAAGAAGAAGAAGAAGAAATGTGATTATTTTTGGATAACTGTAATTTTTTTTGGGAAATTGATTACATAACTATTTTTATACCTATTTTCTTACCTTTACATCCAAAATAATTGTCCGTTTTGTGCCAACCCATCATTTCCCCGTCAAGAATGAAATTCCTTGCCTCTGAAAAAAAGCAATCTTTCAAATACGGCGTCAATATGCCGGAGTCGTAACTTTGCCCATAGTTTTTGGAGTATTTGAAACCTTTACGTGAAAAGTATTCAAATACATTGTTATCCATGTGTAACTGAAAAATGATATCATTTTAGTTATCCCATAAATTATAATCATACAACATTTATATTTTTCTCGATAACAGATAGAAACAAAGAGATTTTATCAATGGGTCATTCTCATCTATTAAAGTTTATTAAATAAAAAAAAATTGATTTGTACCAATATACTTTTTGGATGCCAGAATTCAGAAGAAATTCAAAAGACGCTAATCAGTGAATAGTAAGAACAATCTTCTTCTAAATGGCAATTTCCCAGCTTTAAGCCAGGGTCTGAATTTCATGTTGTAAATGACATTTGGAAATGACTTCAGACGAGATGTGAAGTGATTACGGTTGAAAAGTAACCAAATCGTCGAGAGTATGTATCTTTTATACATATGACTCTGAAAAATCACAGTACATTTCGTGCCTGGGCTAGTTTCGAACCCGCGAATACTCGCATGAGAGCCTGGAAATCATTAGTAAGAACAATCTCTATAGTAATTCTGCTCTTGTAAAATCTCACCTGGAATCTCTCCCCATCAAACTTTTCCTCCATACAATAGGTCTTCGTTTTATCCAAGACGTGTATGTGTGTGATGTCTAACCTCTCAGACAACATCGGTCTTACAGCGTAGAACAAATTAACACCCAGTTCTGATGGCCGAGTGTCACCATCTTCTAACTCTTCGCAAACCTTTTGATATAAAAGAATAAAGATATGTTTAACACATCTAAAAGCTAATATCGATTGATTTCGAGTCTAAAATATGGTTGGCAGAGACTGTTTATTGAATAATTTTAATATTGTTAAGTAAATTTAGGGTACAAATTAAGTTATATTAGCTATATTCAAAAATATGAAATACCTTTAAAATACTGCTGCAGTTCTTGAAGACTTCTGGTGCATCTGGATGGAAAATCCCCAAGATTCTATCTACGCTCATGCTTAATTTCAAATCCTTCAATATTATTCTCAGAAGCCATTTGAATTCGATTGCAGTAAGTTTTTTTAAGGCATAACTAAAAATTTCATCCAATGGAGCTGCAAAAAGAAAATTTATATCAATAATTATATATAATATTTTACTAAATAGAATTCAAAAGCCCAACGATATTGCACATAGGCAAAAGATTAGTAGTTTAAATTTAATGAATAGTTTCTGAACCAAAAAAATTGTAATGACTCACTTTTATGAACATTATCTACAGTTGCTATAGAGTTAAGTATTTCATTGATTTCTCTCACTGTCAATACTGAATTATTCTGACCAACTCTTTTCTTTATAACGTAAAACGCTACACCAGGGAAGTCGCTGTCTAGAACCGAGTTATTTGAAGAACTAAAATGTATTAATTGTCTTGCATCTGTCGACTCTTTATTGAGAGACAATACTTTTACCAATAATGTACTTAGTCTGGTTTCTTTAAGGTTGTAAGGACCACGTTCCCGATCACAAGTAGGCAATAGCAACCTCAGTATGGGAAAAAAGTTGAGTTCTAAAAAAAACTTCTCCATTAGCAGATACACATGTATTGATAGAAATTTCGTTACATTTGTTCACAATTACCTTGGTGCCCTGCGTGCTAGCTAGTTTTAACCTAAATTGGTCAACAAAATTTGAAAGTAGTTTATTTTGTTCTGGTCTGTGTTTCTTCTTCTTCTGCAATTGTTCTAACAATGAACATAGATCGCCGAATAATACATCATCCGCTGGAGTAATTATACCAGTTGTATTCATTTCAAACAAGTCTAAAAGTAATAATAAAAATTAAAATCTAATTAATCCTTGAAAACTAACCATTTACGACATAACTTTTAATGTTTGAGATATGTAACTTAATACCCCTTACATAGTTAATCATGTTTAAAATTGCATTATAAAAGAGGTCAACGCGATACTGTTTTAGCATATCATGAAAGTTCCATTAATACTCTAATAATTATTATAAGAATCATGGTTAGGGTTTTATTTTTAGGTGTTTGATAGTGAAACAAAATTTCAAAGAAAACATTTTATTTAGAAGACTAAATACTTAAACATATATCTCCGAGCTAAATCTGGAGATTGATCTTTATACAATATATACAGATTGTAAGCAGTTTCTCTAGTTAAATCTATAACACCATGTTCCTCACATTGCGCGAGAGGAGGGCACGCCAGGGCTCGCTCATAGTATTCAATAGCCAGATTATTTATGCTCAACATTTGATAGCTCGTCCTATATTGTAATACGCTTCTTGATCGCACTTTCTCAAATGCTTATATGAAAGCATATACGATATGCCTTGTAAAATTAAATTATGATGTCTATCCACTGTTCTCTGAGCTGCCATGGCCAATATAGTCACACCTATAAGTAACGCTGACAAAGGCTCCCTGCACTGCTCGTAATATTCAAGAAAGTATTTCAGAGCAACGAGATATCTTCCAGATACTAAAAAATTATTACCCAAGAAAAGATTTTTAACAATATTAAAATCTTTTTGAAAGAGTCGCGATAAGAATTTTCCCGTGAGTGTTTTCGTCTAAAGAATTAAGGATGAAGCTTAGCAAATTGAAAGATCGCGGTCCGGAATATTTAAGAGAAAAATCTTTAACAAATCGACAAGCATTCTGGAAGTCTCGATTAAGAAGACATGCTTGAAAGCAATAAAATTCCATATCTGGTCGGTAATGGGTTAAACTCTTTGATATCATGCCCATAAATGTTAATCTTTGCAAAACGCTATAATTTTTGTGTTCCTTTGCTATACTCAAAAGTTCTTTGAACATTGAGAACTCTTCGCTAGGTAAAAGGGTAAAAGATTCCTCTTCAAATTGCAAATCATCCTTATGATAAGGACTTTCGCCTCTCATAGATCGAAAATTGTAAATAAGTTCCACCACACCCTTTGTCCTACAAGCGATTCTTAATTCTTCGGGATGTCTAAATTTTGTCAAATCTCGAGAAAGGAGGGCTTCACCTACCTCCAAATACTTTAACATTCTATTATATTTCTTTAAATATTTACAATGATCAAATAGTAGATGAGCGCTGACTACAAATTTATAATCCTGCTGTAGAATGTTCAAGGCATCATCAATTCTTCCTTTGTTTTCTAGAATTGTAAACAGTTTTCGCCTAGCGTCAGCGTGTTGTGGCACATGTTTTAACACTTTATAGTATGATTCAATAGCATCATCATGTCTTCCCAACTTGTTCAGGCAATCTGCATATTTAAGCCACACAGCTCCCAAATCAAAACTAGTATTTTTGATTAGAGGCTCCAATAATTTTATAGCCATCTCATAATGACCAACTGCTGAAAATGCTTCTTCTATGTCCATATAAAGATCTCCAGCCTTTTCAACATCACTGCTCAAAAAATCATTAAGCAGTGACTGGACCAAATTAAGTGCTCCTAAATGTATAAAGCACACTAATAATTTACTTTTCAAATCTATAGCTAAATTATTAGGTATTACACAATTAAGGTAGTGTGTTTGTTCTTCAATATCACCATTAGCATTCTTCACTGTTTGAATTTCAGCTTCAATTTCCACACCTATACTCGAAACAAATACTTCAATACATTTGGTGAACTGCTTTTGAGTAATTAAGAGTTCCAAATACATATTAATATCCTCCAATGTAAATAATGAAAAGCATTTCTTATATGCAATACTCATAACTTCAACTGCTTGTTCAACCTCAGTGCTATTGTGATATAAAGTTGCAGCCATTTTGGCATACTTCATGATTGTTTCGGCATCACTAGGTCCTAGGGATCGTACAATTTTATGATAACATTTCACCTTAGATACTTTCAGTGAATTAACAGGAAAGTCGGGTAGTTTTTCTAATTCTGACAATAACTCTAGTCTTTTCAAATGCGTCTCCAAATTTTGTGGCTCAGATTTTATAGCTTGAGTATAACAGACCATTTCCTGTTTATAATCATTTCTCTGTCTACATAACGCAGCGAGCCTCCACCATTCACTTTTGTCTGTAAAACTCAAATGTGCAGCAAGTAAAGAGAACTGTAATGATTTATTTGGATCATGCTCATATATTTGTGCTAAGGTTTGATATGGTTCGGCGGCTGTGGGTTGTTGTTTGATTATTTCATGGCACATACGTTCAGCCATTTCACTATCACCTCTAGCAAGCCTTATATTTGCTTCACCCATAAGACCAGATAATGCAGGGAAGAGTCCGTCGGAACTTGGATTGTCTTTTAAGACCTCTCTTTGAGACTGTCGGAGACATTTCAGCTTCTTCTTCACATTTTCTAGATTCTTCTATGTCGTCTTCATCTTCATCCTCTTCTCCACTGTACCATTCACTAGAGTATTGGGAGAAAGACATCTCACCACTTAAAAATTTATTAGTAAGATCTGTATCCACATCCATTTTTTCTTCACTATCAGCAAGACTTAATTCCGATATGTCCATCTTTATATTAATATAAAACAATATTTCAAATATTCTTTGGTATGAACAGGTCTTGGAATATAATAATCAATTAGTACTTACTTTTTCCAACTCAATTGATATAAGTAATGTAAAACTACTTTATTTTGTGGTATTTTCAAAATGGGCCGCTTCTTTTATTCTTTAAATTTTTCGACTAAGAAAATCCCAAATAAAGTTTTGACAATTCATACAAAGTTCCTTTTTCTGGTATGAATTAAAGAGCACTCGATTCTCAGTAGTTAAATGGCTTTGTTATAACTTGTTATCAGTCCAAAAAAATACATGCTATAACGTTTTAGGAAAAAGTTTTAGAAAAATGTCACATTTATTTATTTACAATTATAGCAAAATTCCTCGTTAGAATGAGACAAATATATATATTTTGCAATGACAACAAAACTAATGTCATCGATGAGTACATAAAATTTTTTTTTCCAACTAAGGATGCTTATCGATATTAAAAAAAAATTTCATAGTTCTCATCTACGACGTCGTTCTAATTTACAAAATCTATTACAATCATTATTTTTAAACAAAATGAAAAACATGGCAATAGATTTATAATATTTCTGATTTTAAAGTCAATGGCAGATTTCTTATTATCCACAGAGTATAAAAGTTTTGTTGATTTATTTTGATTTGCGAAATACTGACTGAAAAAATTATTAAAAAGGAATTACATCTTCAAAATTTTATTGTACAATATTTCCATTGCTTCAAGACATACTTTTTCGTTGATAATTCAGTAAAAGGATTTTCTATGAGTACTAAAGGCTTTTCTATGAGTTAGTAAACTGTTACAAAATCAATACACAAGTGACATGACAATACGAATGACAAGTAACATTGATTGTTGTGAAATTGTTGTTTTTGTTAAGACATATGTTTTTTATTTACTTAATTAAAGTTAACAAAAACAATAGATAATAATTTTTAAAAAAATATTTTAGTACAGGTACGAGTTCAGACTAAGTAATGAGTTAGTAAATAGTGTTAAAATAAACACATTCATTGCAATTTCAACGTTGATGTGATATTTCATCTTATTAGACACCTATTCTAATTCACTTGACTTCTTAATATGGTTTCGACCTCTAATCTCTTTATAAAAATTCTTTTAATAAAATATTTTACTTTTGCTGCCTTGGAAAACTTGACTCTGAGATAACTACCATAAAAAGTTACTTGAAATTGCTTTGTAATTGAATATATTAGTCATACACTTTATCCTCGACAATAAGATACGTAGTACTTATGAATTAAAGAACATATACATATATATATTTTAGGTTCTAAAAAAATATTTTTTAATAATGTGTGACATTCTGCAATCTGTGAGAGAGCAGATATCTAACATAGAAAATAATAGTACAGAATGTGTTGATATTTACAATGCAGCCAATGCTTGCCTAGAAAATATGCCACTTGAGGTAATATACACTTTAATATTATATAATGAGATCTAAGATTTTCGTGAATCTTATTCATCTAAATGAAACTAATATTTTTCCGGATGTACTACGCAATTTTATTTTTGATAAAAACTACATACTCCCGACGTTTCAGCTACTTTTCAGCAACTGTGATCACAGGCAGATGAGATGTGTATATCGGAAAATATTAGTTTCATTTAAATTAATATAACATTTTTCTTTTGTGTATAATGCCTTAAAGATGAAAAATTGCAGATAATATTAAAAATATGCTCTTATTTGGATGCTGGCTTCATTATAAACACTCTTAGTAAGGTTTGTAGCAGATTTGATGAAATTTTGGCTGATATTGGCCTCTGGAAGCACAGAGTGAGGAGTAAAGTCCATGGATACTTTCCACCGCTATGTGATATAGATGAAAGTTACGAAGATAGTGATTGGATCGAAATGTGTATCGAGATGGAGCATGAGAGAGAGAAATGGTGTAATGTAGACAAGAGTACAAAACATTTTGTTATAAAGGATGTTCATTATGCATCTGTTGATTCAGTGATTTTAGTTAATGTAAGTGATTTACAGATTTATCAATATATCCCTACTAATATTATAAATACGAAAGTAATTTTGTCTGTTACGCTTTCACGCCTAAGCCACTGAACTGATTTTAATAAAATTTGGTCCGTATCTATCTCTGTAGATAGAGTAGACCTTGAGAAAGAACATAGGATAGTTTTTGTCCCAGACTTTTGAAAGGTTCTCTTGGAAAAATATATAAGTCAAGCTAAAAAAATAATTCTAGTTTTTTACTACTTTCTAAACTGTTGGATTTCAAATTAGTATGTAATGAAAATATGTAAACAAAATATTTAATATGTTTCATTAATTCATATATTAATTTATTTTAATATATTTCATTTACATTTACTTCAATAGCTTGTTGTTTATAGAAAGGCAATATATGTATATCAGGAGGAAGAGACAGATGTTTAGCTTTGTGGAATGTAGGTGATATACGGCCAGAGGTAAACAACGAAGAGAGTCTCCTTAAAGACATAAAGCCGACTAAAATAAGACATGATGCTCACACAGGCTGGGTATGGGATCTTGCCACGGATGAGGTTGATAATGCATCTATTGTTTACTCTGCGTCATGGGATAATACAGTCAAAGCATGGGACATTAGTTCTGGCTTTGAATGTATAGAAACTTTTCCGTAACTATTTATTTTTCTTAATTTTTCCAATACTCATTATATAAGTATGTATATTAAATGTTTTCTTTAATATTTTTAGATGTGGAATATCAGCGTTATCATTAGAGGCAGATGGAAAGATAGTTATGGCGGGATTATACTCCAAGAAAATTTTGACATTTGATTTGAGAGTCGGACAGAAACCGGTGCATGTGTACCAAACACATAAAGGTGCGATACTAGCTCTCACAGCCCATAAGGATCAAGTTGCTTCCATAAGTGAAGATAAAACATTAGCTGTATATGACAAAGTTGCTGGTAAAATCGTTAAGAACGATATAAAAATACCATCAGAAAAAGCATACCCTGTTTGCTTGAGTTGGAACACCAATGCCATGTATATTGGGGACTCAAAGGGAGCATTACATTTTTTTAATCCAAAGGATCAATCTTTTGTCAAATCATATGAACTCTGGCCCGAATCCTGTGTAACAGAACCTCCGAATAAGATAGCTGATTGCTACCAAGGTGAATCAACACTAATAGCTTGCTCGGATAAAGGTGAAATAAAATTTATGTACAACTCAAACCCACCAGATGAATACAAGACTATACAAACAAGTACTGTGGATGTTACTCAGGTAATTCCTACTTTCCCTACTAATATTATAAATGCGAAAGTAACTCTGTCTGTCTGTTACGCTATCACGCCTAAACCACTGAATTTAAATGAAATTTGGTACAGAGATAGAGTTGACCTTGAGAAAAAACAGGATAGTTTTTATCCCAGACTTTTGAAAGGTTCTTTTGGAAACGCGATATAACCGAACTCCACGCGGGCGAAGCTGCGAACTAGTATACCAATTACGGAGCGGTACATGAATTCGCTTAATTTTTGCGTATAAATAAATAAAGGTGTACACGTTCCAAGTGTTCGTGTGGACGCGTGCGGCGGCGTGCTGAAAACACTCCGCTCTGTGTGAGTGTGTGTGTACCTAATTTGTAGGGTATTCATACGATGCGTAATTAATTACATAACTTTTGTTAACTTTCCTTAGAAGTTTATTAATATTTATGTTATATTAATTTTTATTTTGTCATATATGTAAATAACGTCCTCAAGTATCGATAGTAATTCACCAGTCACCCTGTATATATATTGTTTACATAGTAAAAAATAGTATATTGAAAAATCGTTTTAATGAGTACTTTATTATTTCAGCTAAGATATCAAAGCGGTATACTAGCTGTGAGTACATGTGACTCGGCCCTCGAATTTTGGATACCCGAAGAACGATTTACATCATCCTTCTTGTAATGTATAGAGTTGACAAAATTATTTAAATTAATATATGAAATAAATTATTTAACAGCGTAACCAATATGAACAAAATTAATTTTTGTACTGCTACTTACTTATATTTTTTTATATACTAGATTAAAACAGTAAATTTTTGGTAATAGGTTTTTTATTGTTCTGAACAAACTAGTAAGTAAATGGTATTTGATCTGAGTATTTCTTTGTCACAAGAACTCTTTGGTTGTTTTATGCTAATTGATTTTTTTGTATTATCTGTTGGATGTTTCGTTAATTTTAATGTTTGTGTGTGTGCGTCTTACTTGATGGCAGTTTCTTTAGACATTTTGTTATTAATAAATTTTGTATAAAACAAAGGCTATTATTATCTGTTACATAATATATAAAAAGTATAATATATAAATATAACAATTACAAGAAGGTTGATATTCCTGCAAAAGGTCCATTAATTAAATTCTTACTTCTAGTACTTTGCATTTATGAACTTTTATCTCGTCTTTAATAAATTTGTAACAAATATATTATAACAAACTAACGATATATTGGATATTTTTATAAATCTCGGCGATACCATAATAAATGTGATTATAAAAATTTAAATGTCTTTTTCTACGACTCAGATTACCCAGTCTACCTACCTACAGCGTTTTTCCCAAAACCGAGGAAATGATAAAAACCTTTCCAATACAAATACATACTTTACATTTATGGCAACATTTAAAACAAGCAAAGAAAATCAGTAAAATATCTCCCCAAATGAATCCCGAGAAACTTTAGAAACCTTTTAAACTGCTGTTTGACTCGATTCTACAATTTTTTTCTTTATTGTTCAGAAATTTGTAATGTAAATGGGAAAAAACATGAATGTTTTGTAAACAAATATAACAAGGTTCAGAATGAAGTAATATGTAACCGAAAGTGGCAGCCTAAGAAGAGGGTGATGACAAAAGTAATTTATCGATTTCTAAAAAACTGGTAAAAGATCTAAAAAGGATTAACAGCAAATAACAGTCGATAGAGCTGTCTTTAGGCGACATTTTATATAATCCAGGATGACATAAGAACGTCTTACTAGTTTAAATGAAACTAATATTTTTTGGATTACGTACACTACGCGAATTTATTTGTGAAAAAAACTACATACTTACTCCCGACATTTCGGCTATTTTACAGCAACAGTGATCACTGCCCGACCCTTGTCTCAGATTTAAGCCAAATTTCACAGTTTGCCGTGGGGTGTAGAAAGAAATTAAAATACTAAACCGAGTATCTTTTTGCTAACAGTAAAAATCATTATATTATGGGAGAAGCTTATTATGTAACGAAAATTCGAGCCAGTTATGCCAAAAAGTACAAATCATGTATTGGTAGCAACTGAATTAATTTAATTCAATAGGTATTAAAGTTAAATGTGCATATATTGTTGTCTGATGAGTTGAGGGCTTTTTTTAATGAATTACGTTTTCATGCAAAATTTTCTCTTTTTTTTTTAATTTTTTTTTTGTTATAGGTGGCAAACGAACAGACGGCCCACTTGATGGAAGGTGGTTACCGTCGCCCATTGACATCCGCAACAAATATGTTGAAGATGCGTTGCCAACCTTTTCTTTTTAGGGATAGGGAAGGATGGGAATAAGGAAATACAAAAGGTTAAAAGGAACGGGCAACCGGCTCTCTCACTCATCGGACGAAACGCAGTCATTACTGACTACTTCACGCCGATCTTCTGTGAAGCCAGCCCATGTTCGAGCTGTAGTAACTTAACCACAGCTAGGCTCTACCACCTAATAAATATATCTCGCTCGCTCTCTTCGAGTTAGCTTACTTGCTCAAGGAATATTGTTAGATCGAAAATAAAATCAAGTATCCTTTAAAAAGAAAATTTCCATATTGTTGTTATTCTGGCCACTGGAAGCACAGTTAAGTTAAAACAAAGAAAAAAGTGTCAATTTATAATAGTTCAATGAATCCTGTGTAAAATAAAAGAAAACAGTGATTATTCGGATCGATACTTAGGACGAAGATGGTATACAAACTTTTAAACATTCAAAAGTATTTTTAGAGCATCAAGCACTATATCATTAACAGCACGAAGACATCTCTTTAAATTATTCCATCAGTCAAATGAATTCATTGAATTGAGTATCTAGCGAATGAGCCATTCGAAATTTAAATATTGATAGATTACTATTAGGAGCTACTCTATATTATCAAATTCAAATAGCCAATGTAAAAAAAAATACAAAGCATCCCTTATCCTACAATCGAGGGGGCAATATTGAGAGACTGTTTATCCTATTAAATTATGATGGACATGTCATAAAACCAATCATAATTCAAATTAAAGTAAGAACAACTATTATAAAAAATCAGTTTGGTGTCGATGAGGATCCAGATTTTCTTATAGTTGATAAAATATAGGTACACGAAGTGCTCAAAACCATATTTTCATTAACACCGCAAAGACAGAGCCGTTTACGGGGAGTTCACCCATTACCAACACAAAAAGAAACAAAAGAAATTTGTAATTAATAAATAATTAATTGGTTACTACAGATTCATAAGCTGTATCTTTTTAATCGTTGTTATTATGTTTGCTTAAAAATTTGAATGGAGCACATTTTACAAACCTTTTCTTTAGAATTTGAAGAGTTAAACTCAAAATGTCATAACTTAAACGAATTTGCCTTAACCTGACAGGGGTATTATATTATATTTTAGACATGTCTACCAATTTTCTCGATAATGAAAATACTCTAATATATCAGAATAATTGCACAAAGGTGAAGAGCCTAGCATTGAGTTAAGCTCGAACATTGGCTCGACCGGGGAAGTACCACCCTCTCACAGAAGATCGGCGTGAAGTAGCCTTTACTGTGATTTCGTCGATAGGAGAGAGCCGGTTGCCCTTTCCCTATTCCTAAATTTCCCTTCATTTCCTTATCGCCAAAAAACAAGGTAACGCTCCGCAACAAAATGTTGTGGATCCTCCATAGGCGAAGTAACCACTTTCCATCAAGTGGGCCGTCTCTCGTTTGCCACCTTTAACATAAAAAAAAAAAATCTGAAAAGCATTGAAAAAATATTTTTTAGTACTATGCATTTATTCTGTGATCACGATAGGAAGGAATAAATGATTTATCGGGTACCACAATTGTCAGAAGTCGCATATGGCAATTTTTTTATTGCAGTTAAGTAACATCCTGTTTAAAACTCCACATAAGTTTTTAGCTAGGAGAATCTAGATAAAATCACATTTCTGAAAGAGAAAAATATAAAAAGAAAAAAAAATAATAATTCCAATATTGAATTCAAAGTAAAAGGGAGACCCTGGCTAAAGCTGGGAATTTTCCAGGAAGAAAAAGAAGATTGAATTCAAGTAAATAAAATCAATCAAATTCGAAAAATTTCACTTTCCATGTGGATGGTAAGTATACTATATGAATAATATTTCATGTAATTAGACGAATAATTATTTTTTTTATATAATCTAAGAAATATATTCCAGTAACAAAATATATAATTACACTTTAATGTAAAAATCATCAAATTCATTTTATGACGTTCATCACTCTAGGATTGAATTGATAAAAACCCCTTCTATTTTCAAAGAAATTAATGGAAAATTTTGCTAGGTAAAAAGACTGTCATCGAAAATAATATAATACTCAATTATTTACATTACATATTTAATTTTTTATTTTTTTTATATCAATCTGTCAAAACCGTAAAAAATATTCATTTTTAAACGAAACCGAAGGCTTGAAGGACTCCCTCCAAGGCCTATTAAATAAAAAAAGTAAATACTATTAAAAATGGCTGAAATGTTGTTCAACTGTCAAAATCAGTGAGATTTCTTTTATTTTTACAATGACCTGTAATTCGTGAGTTGTGATTTGTTATGAATAATGTTTGAATGATTATTTAGATGTCATACAATAAAATTTCACTATGAACGGGTTAAGTTTCAGTGAACTCTGTTGCCTGTTTTGTTGTCCGCCATGCCCAGGAAAAATCGCTGCTAAGCTTGCATTCTTACCTCCCGAACCCACGTATGCATTCACACCTGACGAGACTGGATCAAAATTTTCGTTGACCCTCACCGAACGGGCAGAATGGCAATATTCAGAACGCGAAAAAGAGAATATCGAAGGTTTCTACTCTCGAACATCAAGAGGCAACAGAATAGCTTGCCTCTTTGTTCGATGCAGCCCCAACGCAAGGTTCACTATACTTTTCTCGCATGGGAACGCTGTAGATCTGGGACAAATGAGTAGTTTCTATTTAGGCTTAGGTACTAGAATAAATTGCAACATATTCAGTTATGACTATTCTGGATATGGAGTCAGTGGTGGGAAGCCATCAGAAAAGAATCTGTATGCGGACATAGACGCGGCGTGGCAGGCGTTACGGACTCGGTATGGAATAAGCCCGGAGAACATCATACTATATGGGCAGAGTATTGGCACAGTTCCCACAGTGGACCTCGCTGCCCGTTACGAAGTTGGAGCCGTTGTGCTACATTCACCATTGATGTCAGGCATGCGAGTCGCTTTTCCCCAATACAAAGAGGACTTGGTTTTTTGATGCCTTCCCAAGGTTAGCTATGAAATTTTATTATTTTACATTCAATATTATAATTAAAAAAACGCTCATTATTTGAGTCACTAATGAATAGTCAATTAATAATATATTTAAATTAATCAAATCCATTTGTGAACAAAGGCATCAATGTATATTTTGTTATTTATTTGAATGTTATGAGTAATGTTGCAAAAGTATTTATGAGTAGTGTTTACTATTTTTGCTTTAGCAATTAATTGTAAAGTAAAGAAATAATAGAAACCTGTTTTATTATCATACAAATATAGAGGAATACATATTATGACATTATGAGTCATTACTTTTGCTTTGTACTTCAAATTATTTTACTTTAGGTGCTGTACAATGAAACACTCCATTCTACATTTAAAAAAAAACTCATTGTTTTTAAATATAGATTATTATATAATAATCTTAATATTATAACATAATACTCAACTTTTATTACTATATGTGATTCTACAATATATATACTATCACTTGTTTCGGTTATATCGAAACAAAAAACTATCCTATGTTCTTTCTCAAGGTCAACTCTATCTCTGTAAATTTCATTAAAATCATGTGGTTTTGAAAGCGTAGCAAAACAACAGACAGACAGACAGAGTTACTTCGCATTTATATCTTGTTAAGAAATAAAAGCTCTATATATGTCTTTCATTTATATCACGATCAATCAAATCACATTGATTTATTATATATGACAACAAAGAATGTATATGTTTTTAATACATTACATTTGTACATTAATTGGACCCTTTCATATTTGTATGGAATATCTGATAACAGCATAATTAACCATATTGTGATAATTATATAAAATTTTCCTTTACATCAATGTTACAAGACCATTTCTATAAACTCTTATCTCGTTATACCACAATCAAAACATTTAATAAAGCAATTTCAATTGATAATATTTTATATATGGTCAAAGTTTTCAAGTCTGGGAACTATATAATGTTTGAAATCCCTATAAATTTTACCAATAATTAATATATTACTATATCACCTGAATTCTCTTTATGTCGATATATTTATTATCATTCCAAGGTTAATAACAATTCTTATCTATCTTAATTATTGCTGAGATTTTATTTTTCATACACATTAAGAAAAAAACAATGAATGTTATATAAGCATAATAATTTGTAATAAAGATCAAGTTAGTTACTTTGTTATATATGTAAACTATCAGTTGATTTGGAAATTTATACACAGGTTTCATTTTATGTTGGTATATTAAAGGTGTCGAATTATATATGAAAATTTAATATTATTTTGTAGTATCGACAAAATCCCCAAGGTGACATCACCAGTCCTCGTGATCCACGGTACCGAGGATGAGGTGATAGACTTCTCCCACGGCCTCGCCATATACGAGCGCTGCCCACGTGCCGTTGAACCGCTTTGGGTTGAGGTGAGATCATTAATCTATACTAATATTATAAAGCTGCAGAGTTTGTTTGTTTGTTTGAACGCGCTAATCTCCGAAACTACTGGTTCGAATGGAATATGTAATTCTTTTTGTGTTGGATAGTCCAGTTATCGAAGAAGGCTGTAGGCTATATAACATCACGCTACGACCAATAGGAGCAAAGATATAGGGGTAAATGTTTAAAAAACGGGAGAAATTATTTCATCTTTAAAGCCTTACGTTGCGTGCGCCGTGAAAACGGTTCAAGATGCATAAAAAACATATATTAAAGAATAATAGCTCTTTTAATGATCTAAATTCTAAAAAAAAGTCCGCGACAGCGACGAAGATGCGGGCAAAAGCCAGTTGGTAGATATTACAGTAAATCCAATACCTATATAAAAAATTCCATGTCACAATTTTAGTAATTGTACACCCCTGAAACGGCTTAACCATTAATTGTTAGCAAATTTTATATGTGTGTTTAGTAGGTCTGAGAATCAGCTACTATCTTTTTTTTCATACACCTAAGTGATAAGGGTTGATCACCTTTATTTATTTTTTTATAATGTGACATTAAACATACATACAACGCTACATTTTTACTTTTTTATCACCAAGCCCTATTTTTTTATGTGGCAAAACAATCTTTGCTGAGTCAGCTAGTACATATAAAAGTAATATATATGTACATACATATACATATTTATTGCTTAAATAGACTCTTCACTAAAATAATAAAATATATATAGGAAGATTTCTAATTTGTATAATATAATTATATTACAGGGTGCTGGCCATAATGACGTGGAGCTATTCAATCAGTACCTAGAGAGACTGAAGCGTTTTGTTTCGGTGGAGTTGCTCAACTGACAAAGACTGCCGGCCTCAGGCCAGACGAATCAAGGTAAACATATATACACCAAACAATTTATATATGTATATTAAATTATACTATAATAATTCATAAGGAATACTTAAAATTTTAAAGTTACTATATCTAAGTCAATGAAACAAGATAAATTTTATCAATAAAACTACATATATTAATTTAAATTTATGCTAGATATTTTATTTATGGTAAGTTTTATATCCATATGATATTAGACTATGGATTTTACTTAGGGTACAAAACAATCTAAATATAATATGAAATGTTAGAGGGCATAAATTATATGTATTATTCTTTCCTTTTGCATCTAGATATTTATATATTTATTTTAGATATTAGTGTTTGGTGAATGCAGAAAAATCTTGGACAGATGCCATTGAGTTACAAAAAACTTAATCTTTTTTAATGATCACAAAATTGTCACATTTTACATCCCTTAAAAGGAGAAACATTTCTGGCAAAAAGATTTTTGATTTTTATTTGCATTAATTGACAGCTTGTAAAAGAATCAAGGAAACCAACGTGGATAAATTATTTAAACTTATATTCACTTGGTATTTTGTGACTAATTTTAGCAGTTGTGATAAAAATCTCAATTATAGAGGCAATCAGCAAAAATAAGGTGTATACATGTTACACTACAAATTTTTTTATGTCATTGTAATTCAATAGGTCATGATTTAAATTTAAAGTTAAAATATATTTATCATTCCTTGGTTGTGATAAATAACAGCAGTGCAATAGATTGCACTTGATTGGTCCTATATCAAAAATTGGTTGGGCTTCACCTTTTTCTGACTTCCTGAAAAATATCTTTTTATTTAGATTTACCACTTTTTATATAAATCTGATGGTCACAAAGCAAACCTTCCGCCAAACGATTTTGGTGCATTGACCTTCAACTATTCTTGAAGTAATTATTGAAATTAACATTTCATATATGTATATAATTTTTATTTTCCCGGAGATTTTATATGTACAACTGAGATGAAATGACATTTAGTATAATGTAATTTCTGCATGTAGCCTACAGGCCCATGTCCGAAAAATGGATGGGTCATATGAACCACCAGGTGACATATACATGACATAGGATGATAAAGTTGGTAATTTTTTTGATTTTCTGACAATTTTCAGGGTAAATTTGGTCATTTGATTCTGTACGGCATCTGTTTTAATCTGTTTCAATACAGCTACTAATCCATTACTCCGCAACGCCGTACAAAAATATATGACCCAAAAGGTACTCACTCTACCTGCGCTTTTGAATTCTCACCAGCACTCAGTTGAACAGCTTACAAGTGACGGCATAGAGCTGAGTCTTATTTTTTATGCTCTTATCTCGTCCTATATACCTCGCCTGGTGGTTCATATGACGCAAAATTTTTATGGACATGGATCTGTAGTCTAATGGTCACGGTAGATGAACCCCTGCATCACGATAATTGTTATCTTATATATATATTTGAATATATTCTCATTTATATTTAAAATTATTATTGTATGATTGTTTATTAATATTTTTTTGTCCTTCGAATTTGTTCCTCTTTATTATTGTAAGATTAAAGAAAATTTAAACTTTACAGGAGATGAACACAATATCGTATCAACAGTGAGCTCCGGGACATCGAGTTCGGCGACCGAGAGACTCCTCTAGCTAGCGGGGGCCGGGCCCAGTCGGGCCGGCCCCGAAAAACATGTAACTAAGATAGACGCGCCCGCCGCTAGCGAAGACGGCCCGCGCAGTCCTCGGCCGACTGTCCCCACGTCCGCCGCTCACAACATTAGCATTAGCGTCACCGACGCCGACTCCCCGTGCGTCACCCGCCGCCGCAACCACCTGCGGTCACTCAGCGACGTGACCCCCGCCGCCCGCTCGCCCGTAGCCCGCGCGCGTTCGCACTCGGAGCGACCGCGGGCCTCACCCGGGCCCTCCCCGACTCCCTCCGCCGCCCCCTCCACCGTCCCCTCCCCCCGCCGCCTGCCCGTCCCTCCAGTCCGCACCCCTCACTCGCCCCACTCCCCACGACCCACACACACGTCGCCCACCTTGCGGCCCCGCGCCGTGCGCAGCGAGCGCTCGTCGCCGGACGCCTCGCTCCACATGCTGTCGGACGAGCCGCGGTCACGGCCTGAACTGGACCCGTGGCGCAAAATGAGCGACGTGGACCTCGGGCGGGCGGGGAGGACGGGACGCCAGGGACGGACGGTGGCGCGCCGGTCACTGGACGCTCCAAATGCGCCGGCTACGTCCCGGCCTCTCGACCCCTGGGTGAGGAAGGCTCGGCGGGCTGCCTCTCGGGACGAAGTGTGTGAGACGAGAGCTCGCCGCGGCCGGCTGGAGCGGTCGGCGGTGGTGCAGTGCGAGTCCTGCGGCGGCGGGGGCGGCGCGTGTGAGTGTTGGCGCGGCCGTGAGACGTGCACGTGCTCGCCGTGGACCTCCCCGGCGCGCGTGCCTCAGCTCAGCTCCGCTCAGCGCGCCCTGTCCCACGAGGAGGGCCGTCCCCGTCGCCTGTACAAGTCTTCGTTCCAGAAGGCCATTTCCATTTCGTCGTCGGAGTGCGAGAGTCGCGTGCAGGACCCTCTGCTGGAGACCACGTGCTGAGTTCTCTCGGAGCTCGAGTATTATTAGTGCGAATTTTTTTATATCCCCCCTAGAGGTAAGGTTTCCAAATTGTCGTTGTATTATATATCTATACTACAGTGTTATGGTATGTTATGGTATGGTTATAGTGATGTATGTTTTTTATGATATTGTAATTATCTTTAAAAGAGAGAGGTTGTGCGCAAAACATACGAGTGCCGAATGTATCGACGATTGCATTTTAATTGTAAATCATAATTATATTATAGATTATAAATTATAATACATAGTAGGAGTAATTACTTAAAATGTCGGTATTGAATGTCATAACGCTATCTATCTTGCTAGTTCCTATGTTACAAACAAACTGAAACCGAAATATGATATCTGTTTTAAAAATTATTTTTTATTTAATTCTATGTAGTTCATATTTAACGATATTTATCTATGTATATTATAATAGAAAAAAAGATCAAAATTAAAATGTGTTTACAACATGATGTTACAATGTATAAGAAAATCCCAATTTATAAAAATTATATATTAAAGATAAATTAATGTACAACTTTGAGAAATGTTTCTGGTATATATCTAACATAGACAATTAATAAATATTCATTTTAATCATAATCTTTCTAATGACACTTTAATTTTTAATATAAAAGAAACACATAGATAAGTTTAAGAAAAGACTTATTGTGGAATGTCTTGTTCTCATATATATATTTATACTTAACTTTTTTTATTGAATATTATATTTGGTATTTGATTTAATTATGCAATTGTTACTTTAAGCCTTTTGGATGAGTGATGTATGTAAATGAATTGATATAGTATGTTTTATGTAACTATCGTGTTTCATGTTGATATTCTCTTAATTTATATAAAAGAATAACCTTAAAAAGATATGAATTATATTATTTTTTTTCGCAATTTAATGTACAACAGGGAAATTTAACAGTCTTTATTTACATAGTACCTCATTATTAGTAATAATTTTGCAGTAAAACTTTTTATTTTTATTCTGCCAGCTTAGTCAATTGGTCTTCCAATTTTAAATATAATAATTACATAATGTCTTAATATCTCAAGAATATTATTTGAACGAATTATTGCTTTATCTTTACTTATTAAAAGAAATGTTTTAATCGAGTTCAGAATTTATAGAACAAGTCATACTGAAATGAATTCCTATAGATTTTTTTATGTTTTATTTATTTCAAATATTTCCAAAAGTTCTAATGATTATAACAAAATACAGATAAAGATTATTTTAGTAAAAAGAAGGCTTTTCTATGAGTTTTGTGCCATCTATTGGTTTCCTTGATTCACCATTGTGTTCTTTACACTGATTACAAAGAATTAATTTAATTTTTATGTAGACTGTTTAATGAAAAAGAAAATTATATGCAATTTAAATCTCTTTTTTTTATTCATTTATTGTTTTATACTCATTTTAATATTATTTTTGTCATATATTATTTATAAATACATATCACAAAACTTCATTGAATATTGTGTAATAAATGTCATGTTATTATTGAATATTGTGTATAGTCAGCGAGGCTAACCATAAATATGTAATGTTAAATGTATAAGTTGTGGCGATTTGTGGTATTGTTAGCTTTCATAACATTTGATATATATTTCATTATACTTAGTTGAAGTTTGCATCTTCACACTAATACACAGTTAACAATTTTTCATTCATTCATCTTGGTTATTGAATGAGTGACTAGAAATTTTTGTACAAGGTGTGCTGATGCAAATTTGAACTAGCCATTCAGTACTCATGATAATATTGAAGTATGTGTAATGTAATTTTACTGAAAAAGAGTAAATTTACTATGTAATCATACAAATAATTTTCTTTTCCAAAAACCCTGTGTATGTATAAAATTTGAATCTGTTTAAATTAAATGTGACTCTTCTGTAATATGCCTAGTAATTTAATGTATAATGAAGAACAATAAAAATGAATTTATAAAAAAAAATATTACAACTTCTTTAAAAATGAGGGATGCAAAAGGTTCTCAAAAAAGATTTTAGTAGAATTAAGCAAAAAAAAAATAGTTAGAAGGAATTCTTTATTAAATAATTATAAATAGCCCAACTTATGTCTAAAATTAAAAAATAATCTGACAAAAAAACCCACTATCAAATATCATTTCTATAATCTAAGAAGTTCAAAAAAAGACCATGCCCATTCTAGTGCCATTCCTACCCATTTTCCACCCAATTTCAGGTACTTATAAAAAATGTGTTATCATCAACTAGACTATAAATAAATTTTCGGACTGTAAACATTGTAATAGCTTTGAATATTTATTGTGAATGTGTTAAAGATAAAATAATGATGTTAAGGTGCTTTTTTCACAAAATTAATGTATTCCATTGTTGTTGACAATGTGTAATATAATGTTTATACTTATATGGTTTCAATAAATTTAAGTGCACATATCCGATGACATAGTATTTATTGCTTATGATACTAAAGCCTTATTGGGATAATTATTTTTGCTCCTTTATGTAATTTGATACCATCTCAGCTACTAGTTGTGATGATTTTAATACAAAACTATGTGCAACATTGGCAGCTTCAACCATTCTGAGATGTGGATGTTGTTTTTTTATATCCGCCATATAATCAAGAGGTGCCCAACCATCATTACAGGAATAAATAACATTACATTTTTTTGTAATCTTTTGTATGGCTTCATTGTTAAGTGATCTTACATTGTCCATCTCATCGTATGCTAGGAAAAATATTTTCTCTAATATTCTTGGGTCAATAACTTTTTTTATTCTTTCATTATAGGATAAGGGTAACAAATGCAGCATAAGATATATGTTTAATAAGAAATTTATAAAAAAATTTGGAAGTAGACTTAATATCTGACAAAGGAATAGTATAGCATAGTTCATGTGCCTAACAAAACCATTTAAAAATTTTCCACTTTTTGTTTCTGCCATATATTGTAGAGTTGGAAATAATAGATTAACGGTAGAAACTCTATTTAAAATGACATCATTATTATGTAATAATTCTACTATCATCCAAGAACCAATGGAATGACCGATAAAATGAAATTTACTTTTTTTATCAACGTAGTTCTCTATCAAGTCTAACTTGTGCTTCAATTGTCCTTGTAAATTGTATAAGTCTTTGTTTTTCTCTGAAATAGCTTCATTATCAACGGAAAACTCGTGACCGGCTTGACCTACAAGAAAATGTATATAAAATTGCTAAAAACATTTCAGAAGAATAATTATATTTAAGTTTCACTGCTCAAGTACTCACCTACAACAATGACAGGTAAATTTAAAGTTTTATGCAGCTCTTCAGCAAATTCAATGTAAAAATCTGATATACCTGGATTTCCAGTTACACAAATAATGACTTCTTTCCCATTCGCTTCAAATGGATTCCCCCATGTTAGAATGGGTGTATTTACATTATTAAGAGTTTTATTTAAACGCATCATTTTGAATTTTTATTATAGCACGAGATACAAATCGTAATTCACTATCTATATTAATTATTATCTACAGAACATGTCTGTGTACTACAGACGTTTTAACTTTAATAAAATGTTAACTTCAGGTTTATAAGCAAAACAAAAAAAAACGATTACCGATGTTTTTAATGACCACTTTTTACGTTTATTATGAAGTAATATTTGCTATAGAGATATAATTACGATTTCATACAATACATTTTAATCATTCTTTAAATCCATGACATGGACCAAAAAATCACGATGTAATTTGTATTTTATATGTACCAGGTACCTGCCACCAGGTATTGTAAAGTTTACACAATTTCACGGTTCATCTGTCAAAGTCACAGACTGGAAAAAACAAAAAAAAAAAGTTCTATTTACACATAATTTATTAAAGAAAAGGCTGTCATGATTATATCAAACTTTGTTTAGGACTTCCCGAACACCTGTATTTGATGTTTTACAGCATCAGAATGGTTATAGTTATAACTATAGAAAATTGTTTATTAAATAAAAGTATGACTAAGCATTTTAATACAAAGTTTTGCAAAAAATAAGAAAAAAGTACTTTAAAAAACTCAAAATGAGTTCATTTTACGGGAAAACAGGTATAGGTTCTTTGAGATAAAATGGCATAACAATTTAAAGTACTTTTTGAAAGGTTTTTTTTTGCAATATCGCAAACTACCATTTACCAAAATCTTTTCTGTAATCTCAAACTAACTTAAAAATATAAATACATACTTAAATACAGTTATTTATAATATAAATTTTAGTGGATTAATTTGTTTCTTTTTGTGACGATTGTCAGATAAGTAATTAATAAACCTTTTTTTCTAATTATTCTGTTACAACTTCTGTTTCCTAGCAATGTAAGATGGTTAAACAGATTGTAAGAAAAATATATTATTAATAAAATATATGTCTCTAAATACTCTACAAAGTATTTTGAATTATTACGTTATTTTAATGTTAGTTACGCATTAGTATTTTTATTATGCATAATTATACTTAATTGCCAAAAAAAGTCGTTTTTTACGTAATTCCTATGCAAGCACTCATAATACCAGTTATTTTTTGCCGAGATGTGGTTTCACAGAAAATCAGATGTAGTTAGTACAAAATATAGTTTATAAGATTCAGTTTTTTTTTCTTTTTAACACTAGTCCACGCCCTGAACCCATACATTCAGTAACTGATGTAAAGTGTAAACCCATTGTAGTTGATATGTATAATTTAGTACTAGAGGAGCTACAGATCACTTGTATATAAAGTAATAGGTACTTTGTTTGAAAAATATATTTTAATGTATTGAATCTAGAAGAAGGATTACATTTTCAAACATGAGTATTATTAGGCCAGTCTTATGAAGTATAGATTGAGAAAAAATTGTTTGGAAACAAATATTTATATTTTTATAGGAATTTGTTTCTTCATTTCAAACAATAAACACAATTCAGAGTTATATGATGTTAATTTCCTATTCTTAATAATATAATATCCCATTAATACGTTTATAACTTGTAAAGTTGTATAACTCACTGTAACTAACTTAATTGATTTATAAAAAAAGTGGTTTAAGTTTTTTACTGCAAGTGGATAAATATTTTATAAGGTATCCTTGTAATTGCTAAGCAAAGATTTATACATAATAATGATGATTATACTTAATATTGTAGGCAAATCTGTTAAAAACTTTAAAAAGCAATAATAAAACTGAAGGATATTTAAATAATTTATTTAGTAACAATTTTTTTATGAGAAATGCAATTTTTTTTATATTTCATAGTATATAAACATACTCAAAATATTAAGATTTCATATTCACTTAATATCATTCGTCCGATTTTTTACAAATGAAATATTCTATATTTAAATTTCAATCAGAGCTGTAATTATTCACAAGACAACTTTTAAGAAATGTATAATCTGACTGCAAATCTTTTAATATACTAAAATTGATAAACCAAATCAGAGTTGAATCTCCATAGCCTTCAATAGATTTTATGCAATATAAGTCATGTTTACTTAAAACACCTTTAATTACAATAGGTCTGTCTCTAAAACTTTGTTTGTCTGGTCTTATAATAACATGCGATTGTGGTCTGCTTGGAACTGATTTTGTCATAATTTTTTTGTTACTTGCTTTGCTGATCCACTTAAATTGTATCATATCAAAACGGTGATCATTTTCATAGGCTGGGACGGTCGGTTCTTCATCGTAATCGCCTGAGTAACAAAATAAATATTAGGTATGTTATGTTTTGATTAAAACTGTAGATAAATTTTTATTTATCACAGTTGGGACTCACTAGGAAGCTCGTCATCGCTATCTAATAACTTCTCTATCTTGGCAGCTTTTGAATGCTTCATATTGATGTTTATTATAAATGACTAATTATATTAAAAGTCAATATATTGCTAAACTGCTTGAACACTCATTGAAAATAACTGGTTTCGTAGTTTTATTTAGATATTTCTTAAATATTATTTATTTCAGAAGTATTATTAGTCAGGAATATTAGTAACTACAGTATTGTTTGTCGTCCGATATCGCTTAAAAACAAGTTACAAGTTGACATTTGACAAGACAAATGTATTAGGGATTGTCCCTACCATAGAGAGCTGACAGCAAAGATGACTTTACTTCTACACCATTCATTTATTTGTGAGTGGAAACGGGGTTATGGTCAGTATGTATATATTAAGTGTAGGTGCATCTTACTATATTTTAAAGATAGTTTTAGAAAATAATTTTTTATTATATATTTCTGTCTGGCATATTCAGTAATATCTTTTTACAATTTTTAATTGTGGCTGTTCAGGCTTAATTTTGTTTTTAATTTTTTACTTTTCAATGTAACAAAACATTTGAGTAAGTTTTATTTTTGTTTTCATAAACAGAAATATAGAAACAAAATTGAACAATGTCAATTCATACAGAATCTTGCGACAAATATTTATGTATTACATGTATTGAGCAAAAGTTTTAAAGATAAATGATTTTTTTTTCGTTTTAATGCATACTAATGATAGCTTGGTTTTCTAAAATTTTTCTTTAAATTTATATCGCGTTGAAAAAAGTAATTTTAATATATATAGTGCAATATAAGCCATAGCCGTCACGTTGTGCCAATATCGTTAACTTAGATCTGCGGTAAATCGGTACAAGTAAATACATAACATAAAATATTCAAGGATAGCCTGATTTTTGTATCTGGTACAAAATATGTTTATTAGTTTTAGCAACACAAAAAACCGAACGAAATATAAGCTACTAAAGTTTTGTTATTTATTTGTCTTTTTGAATTTATAATTAGATACATGAAGAATTAAGCAAAAATAGTAATTTTTGTGCTAACGCTGTTTTATTTTTGGGTTACACCTATACCAAAATCAACTGTGGATTATAAAGATTATAAGAAATAAAACCAAATTTAAATTCAATCATATTCTGGTTTTTGATTATACCTAATAACTTCCAGTGCATTGTGTTCATTTAATGCAAGTGTTTTTAATCTTCTTTTGACACATGGTTTATTTAATCCATACTGTATTAATTCTTCTAGCGGTACATTTAAATATCCTTTATAGGAACGAGCTAATTTACGACATACATTGTGTAAGAAATGATGAGTGAATCCGTCGGGTACATGTTTTAACAATTCTTTCCATCGTATATCTGTCCACACTTTATATGGGTATTGTTTTATTCTGAAATAATTAAAAAAATTGTATTAGAAAACATTAAATAAATTAAATGAATAGTGTGTTATATATACATACTTTTTAAATAAATGTCTTCTCAGAGCCTGTACTTCGATATCATATTTAACAAAGAGTTGAGAATGTAATGTCACCATCCAAAAATACTGTAAATATGTATATAGTTGTCCCATATCCTTTTCAAGTTTAAGCCATACTGATTTTTCTATGCTTCGGTATTTCAAATTCTCCAATGGTTCTCCAGTATATTCGAGTAATAAATTAATAAATTTTGATGCTAATGATAGTGTCCATTTTAATTTTTTCTTTGGTGGTTTACCTGAAAGAATGATAATTAAATCTATATATATATAAAAGAAAGTTGTGTTAGTTATGCTATTTATAACTGAAGAACAGCTGTATGGGTTGAGCTGAAATTGCTTGTGAGATAGTTTAGAAGAAGAGAAAGGAATTAGGATACTTTTCATCCAATTGAAAAAGAAAAAAAAAATAAGTTGGTTAAATCCAAAATCTTCTTATTTACTGTCTTTTAGGAGGAACAGAATTCGCCCGGCCAGCTATACATTTCTTATTCTGAAACTAACGCAGATAAAAACTAATTAATTATTAAGGATTACAAATTTCATACCCTGATATAGTTGCAGCATTCTCTTATATATCCCTCTGGGTTCTCTACCGAGCATGGTAGATAGGTAAGGCACGCTATTTTTAGGGTTGTGGAGAAGGCAGATGTTCATAACCTTCTCTTCATATTTAGAGTAGTTTCCCTTAACTTTACTTCCGTACCTCACAACCACATGTTTGTACACCTGATACAGATTCCTTTCGAGACCTTGAGCCAAGAATGCTATCACAAACCGTCTCACATATTCCGATGGGGCATTCGGTCGTTTAGATTTTGTTTTATTTCTCCATCTAGCTATGCATACCGGTTTATTGGGAACATTGAACATCTGGAACAGTAGAAGAAAACAATTGCATTAAATAAATATTATCCCCTACTCAGTGCCGGCGTTAGGGGGGGGGGGGGACGATGAGGCGACGGCCCAGGGCGCCAAATTTGGGGGAGCGATTAGTCGAGGTAAAATAAATGAAAAAATAAAAAAGAAATAGGAGCTACATAACTTTCTACGTCATTAGCTCTGGGTCACGCTAAAGGAAAGATGGAAGATGGAATATAGAATTCTCAATACACGTTCAATGTTCACATTGGTACAGAAAATAATTAATACTCGATTTTGATTTCTTCAAGTGGGCGCCAAAATATTCTTGCCCAGGGTGTCAGTCCCTCTAATGCTGGCACTGCCCCTACTTTAAAGAATGCAATGTATTTTAAGCTATACCTTACGAAATTTACGCCAGTTTCGATGTATTTCATCACTTTCATCTTTGCATATTGAATCAGTTCTGAATTGTGGTAGGGAATCATCAGTTATTTTCAATGGTCTCGTTAAACATCTTGATTTCTGATACCACGGTTGTTCCCAAGTTACAATCATTTCATTTTGTTTACTTAAAAGTATCTATAAAAAATATTTTTAATAAATATCAGATGTCAGAAATACATAAAAAATAAAATAGTATTTTATTTTGGTAGTGGTATATAAGATAATAAAATATTGGTACCTCCATAAATTGTCTATTATTTTACTATTAATTATAAGTATATAAATATTGAATTAATAAAATATTGGTACCTCCATAAATTCATCATCTTCAGCCTGAATATTTTCTAATAATATTAAAACTTTATCCATTGAAGTTGGATCTTCAACATTGACATCCTTAAACTCTTCTTCAAGATCCATTTTTAGAATATATTGTATTCATAAATAAATTTGAATGATTTTTTTAACCACTTATTTCAATTACATTCTAAATTAAAGATACTACAGCTGCGTGCAAAAGTATTAGGCACCCCTATTGTTAGTCACTATCTCATTATATTGCGGTCAAGTGTGTGTTTTATGGTTTAGCTATTGTATTAGCGGCAATTTTTAAACAAATTAAGATAAAAGAAAATATTTATGACATCCAGGTGTGCTCCTAAGCGGTGTTTCTTCGAATTTGCTTTTTTTGCGTTTCGGGTTATAGTGTGTTATCAGTGCTTGCAGTGAACATACACGTCTTCTACGCAACTATTCCTATCACAATTCTAAAGACTAACATTTAACGTGTTAATCATGCCGAAAAAATCTGAACTTAGTGCTGAACAGCGTCTAAGAATTAAGATTTTACATGAACAAGGCATGTCTCAGGTTAAAATAGCCCGAAAAGTGAAGTGCTCGCGATGTGCAGTTCAATATGCTATCAATCGCTTCAAAGAGACTGGCACCCATGAAAATAGACCAAGAACAGGCAGAAGAAAAGTTACTACTGAACGGGAAGATCGATTGTTGATTAGGCAGTCTCTACAAAACAGGAAAAAAACTGCTTTAGAGCTCGCTGCAGCAATATCTGAGGCAAAAGGCAGCTCAATGAGTGTTTATACTGTGAGAAGAAGACTTCTTAAAGCTGGATTAAAAGGATGTAAAGCAAGGAAGAAGCCGTGGCTGTCAGAACACAATAAGAAAAATCGGTTGGAGTGGGCACTCAAATAGAGATTGGTCAGTGGAAGATTGGTCCAACATACTGTGGTCAGACGAATCTAACTTTGAGGTATTGTTATTTATTTTATGTACAATATTAAAACACATAAATGTTTTTAAAATAACGTACTGCAAGAAAAATAATAACTTTGAAAATAAGTGGGTTTTTTTCGTTTGGCATAGGTGTTTGGAACACCCGGTGTGACTTATGTTAGGCGAAGGGTTGGCGAAGAATACAACCCAGAATGTGTGGTTGCCACTGTTAAGCATGGTGGAGGCTCAATAATGATCTGGGGCTGCATGGCTGCCGACGGAGCGGGCGAAATGGTGTTGTGTGAGGGACGAATGAATAGTGTTAAATACACTGAAGTTCTGGAAACAGCACTAGCAACGTCGATAACGCAAATTTTCGGTGATACAAACACCGATGGCCTGAAATTTCAGCAAGAAAACGCCACTTGCCACAAGTCCGCGCATACCATGAAGTGGTTTGCTGAAAATCATATTGATCTTTTGGACTGGCCACCACAATCACCAGACCTCAACCCGATTGAGCATATTTGGTCCATTTTAAAGAAAAATATCCACAGGCACTCGATTAGCAATAAACAAGCTCTATTGGCCGCGTTACTGCAGGAATGGAAAAATATATCAAGAGAAGAATGTTTCAGGCTGGTAGAGTCAATGCCAAAAAGAGTGGCTGCGGTTATTAAATCAAAAGGTGGACCTACAAAATATTAATTATTTTCTTACAATAAACCATTGTAATCATAAATGCAGTTTTATTTACACTCGCTATGCTAAAACACCCTAAAACTTGTCTTACTGTAGGGTGCCTAATACTTTTGCCCGTGGCTGTAGTTCCTGCATTTGCTTTAAGGCTCGTACAATATAATCCATCTATATTTTATTAATAAAGAGATTGATAATTTTAAATTTTCACCATAATACACCTAAAACAATGGAAATCTTTTGTTAGATCATATAAATATTTAAAAAATATATATTCATTTATTTTTGTTCAGGTAGAAGTTAAGAACATGGAAGTCATTCTCTTATAGATAACAAAAATTCTTTTTGCTGATCTCATATATAGGGAAAGAATCAACTCTAAGAAATATAATAAAGAGGAGTAGAAGTTCACAAAATAATTTTCCACATTGTCAAGGAATTCACTACTGATTTACAGAAAAAATAATTACATATAAAAAATGTTTGCATGGTTGCAAACTTCTTTTATTAGAAATATATATTTAAAAAAATATGTTATACAGAAAATAAATGACTACAACACATACGACAATAGTTTCATTCAATCGTTGGTTATATATGTTTCTTTTTTAAATGTGCGACAATATTGCAAGATATTATGAAATTGGAGGCAAATGAAAACGAAGGTAATAACGATGTCTGTACGATGAGAATAAAAGAAAATTAAAAAGCTTTCAGATTATAATAGAGTTATGAAAGTCACAATTAAAATATAATTCAGAGAAAGATATTATACAAGACCAGAGAAGGGTTTGAATAGAAATATATTATTGTTTAGGTTGCACTGGGATTTTATTTCAAATTTACTTGGTTAATAACTTAAATCAAATAGAGACGAAACATAACGATACTTACTGAAAACCGATACAATAATACTTAAGGAGAAGTTATATAGGAATGTAAATATTTCTGTCCATTTCAAACTACTAAAGAGCGCGGATATGTCATTCACATGTGTTTAAAAATGATGGATGTAATTTATAAAAGTGGTCAATATTGGTTCAAATTCTAGCTATTTCAGTCTCTAGACTAATCAAACATAAGTATTTTCATCAATTAAATACTCTCGTCCTATTAGTTTATATTTAGAAAAAGATACCTATATTTTTTATATATTTATATATATCTAAACTAAAATTGTTTTATTTTTTAGGAAAAATAATCGTTAAATATTTTTGTAATAATTTATGACAACATAACTAATTTCTTGGAAAAATCTTATATCTGCTTCATAATTCATACATGTAATATAACATTAAGTCTAAAAACTAAATTTTATAATTATGGAATCAAGAAGAAAATTCTAAAATCTTAGTATCTGATCCTATACAAACCATTAATTTCGATATAATTTTTGGGTATCTACCTGTCTTTATGTCACTGTCAATTCTTAGTTAATAAAGATATTGAAATAATCTTGTTATGCTTTTATTATATACTCGTCCATAGAATATAGTTAATATTTTTTAAATATTTTCTTACAAACAAAGTAAGATGTTTTTACAATAAGTGGAAATAATAATCACAGGACTGAAATTGTAAGGATTTTACTATGTACATAACCTCGGTGAAGTTATTTACATTTTACTAAAGAGGTATTTATGTTGGACACTTTTCCAATTCTTTAATTCTAGTAAATAAAAAATTAATAAACAGCTTATACATTATTTCGTATGTCTATAAGATTTTCATTAACAATAATAAAAGGTTTGATATGTTTTCAGACAAATTAGTATCATTGTTTTAAATGGAATAACATATAAAGAAACATGTTTGTTTCACATGATAAGAATCCTAGTAAAAAGAAATTCCAGAAACCAAATATCCTTAGAAGGAAAGCAATAGTTAATAAGACATCACTAGTGAAAAATAAAAAAGCAACTGACTATGAACCATCATCTGTAAAGTCATTATTGAATACACCATTTGATCTAGACCCAAAGGATAAGGAAATAGAATTAGAAAATGTAACAAGATATCAAAATAATTGTACAGTTGGTGATTCAGTGAGATTGAAAACTGATAACTCAGCTCATTTAAACAATACAGGAGAAACATCTATAGAAAATGATGTAACATTAAATGTTAATGATGAAGTACACACAACACAATCTGTAAATGTGGAATCATTTCTGTTAAGTGATGTTGTGAAACAGGTAACATTTTGCTTGTTATTCAATAAATGGATAATAAATTGTTAATTTTATTAATTAACAACATTTTGTTACAGAATATTCCTTTATTTAACACAAATATATCTCAGAATAAGGATGGGATCCAGCAACAAAAATGGTGTTTAGATTACAATCAGGAATCACAGAAAATTGTTATTGAACATTGTAAGTGTTTTCATAGATTGGTGTAATATTTTTCTTTCTAAGAATGAGACAATCACTATTGCTTGGTAATTAAAATAACTTTCAATAAAAGACAAAACATATTAATTATTTAAATGAAACTAATATTTTTTGGATTACTATGCATATTTTATTATTTTAAAAACTACATACTCCCAATGTTTCAGTTATTTTGCAGCAACTGTGATCATAGGCAGACAAGATGTGAATTTTTAATACCTAAAACTTGTTGAACATCTTACAATAAATCAACTATTTGGCAAACCTATTTCAACAAGACAAAATGTTTAAAATGTCATAATTATGTTACTGATATTTAAGCACACTTCAACTAAATGTTTTAATAAAAATAAAAAATTCTATAGAAATAAAAAATTAAATAATAAAACATGTTAAAACATAAATACCAATTAACTTGGGCTAGTAAAATCTCGTAACTTGATTTCTTTAATAGTCTTTTATATATTTCAAAATATCATGATTGAGTTACTAACTTTTAGTTTTTTCATAAACCCTATAAAAACACTTCGCAATTTGCATTCTAAGAAACAATTTAAAGATAATGAAATCTGCCCATTGTCATAGTTGCTGCAAAGTAACTATAACATTGGATATATGTAGTTGAAAATAATTATTATAAATGATAGTAAATCCGAAAAATATTAGATATATTTCAACATTTTAAAGACATCACTGAATACTTCCTAGGAAGAGATTTATATATTTTTGTAATGTGTTGAAATTAATAGTTAAATTAAAACTATATATAAAATGTTTTATTGGATATTCTAATATGGTTATAATACAATTATACTTTCAGTTGATAGTTCTCAAATGAGTGGTCTCTACCAAGAACAGAAATCAGATGTTATGAGTATGATGGTGCCATTATCAGCTGTGACCAGTATACAAGAACCGCAAGTAGTTTATAATACAACAACTGCTCCTACAAATGTACAACAGATCTCTATAGAGGAGTTGACTCAAGCACCTATTAGATTTAAGGTATAATAGTATAATATATACTTTCATTACTTAATTAAGAATACCTGCATTAATGTTTTCTCTTGTAAATGTTAAGACTTGTAATATGTCTCAGTGGTTTGATTACATGTACGTATATATATTTATATGTGTAATATATAGAGTTTTTTTCCAGTGTGATGTACAAGATTGTAGTAAAGAGTTTCTGAGCGAACAGAAATTAAATAAACATAAGAACACACACAACAAAGATGGCGCCAAAGTTCCGAGACAGATAACCGTAGGTTGTCCTGTTAAGAAGATACAAGATGGCGGCGCTGAAGAAGCTTGTGGCAGAATATTCCATGTTAGAGAGGATCTCATTAAGCATTTAAATGAAGAGCATACTATTGAAGAAGCTGTACACAGGTGAAAAATATAATATATATTTTTTTTAACATATACAACCTCATTCCTGTTTATAAATATTTCTATGGTTAAGTACTAATGACGTCTAAATATGTTCAAATAGTCATTAAAAATTTATTGGTATTCTAAAAAGTATGAGAATTGTTATAAACAATCAATCCAATTGTTATTATTGTAGAGTTTTATTAGTTTTATTATTTACGAAATATCTTAAATTCATTTACAGTCTTGAACATCGATAGTTTATCAAAGTAATAGTCATAGATTAAAAAAAAATTAAATATATATTTTTTTATCGATTACAATCTAGTATGCAACAAGTTGAATAAAAATATAAAGATTCAACCTCTTTGATGACACAGATTTTTTTTTAATTCATAACATAGCACTGGTTCTAATATAAACATCCAATGTTGGCAGATGTCCGAGGGCCGGATAATATCGAGTTTCTACGTTACATAAAGACAACCTCCTTGATCACACAGATTTTTTTTAAAATTCCTAACTAAGCACCGGTTCTAATATAAACATCCAATGTTATCAGATGTCCGGAGTGCGGTCGTCGTTTCTTCTGGGCGTCAGGTCTTCGTGCTCATGTTCGCGCCCACTCAGTCCGCGCCGGTCGCTCTGTGCTTGCTTGTCCTTGGCCGGGCTGCACGAGAGTGTTCAGACAACCCTGTAGATTGAGGGAACACGCGCGAGCACATACTGGAGACAAGCCATATCCTTGTGACTACCCGGTTAATAGTTATATCTTATTATAATTCATGAAAAAGGTTTAATATACTAGCTGCGCCCCGCGGATTTCCGGGAAAAGTAGCCTATGTGTCATTCCTGGACGTCAGCTTCCTGTATACAAAATCTTATCAAAATCGCTTCAGGCGTTTGAGCGTGAAGAAATAACATACACACACACTCAGAAACTTTCCCAATTATAATAGTAGGATTTTTGGTCTCATAACAGGGTCACGAGCTATGTAAATAGAATTAATATTAAATAATATTTTTATTCAGAACTGCGGCTGGTCGTTCCGTACAGCGAGTAAATTAGTCCGTCACGCTCGTAGACACACGGGCGAGCGTCGCCACGTGTGTGGTGCGTGCGGGAGAGCGTTCCTTAGAAGGGAACACTTGAGGGACCACGCGGCTAGACATCACGCGCCGCACGCACGACGGACACACGCCTGCCCGCACGCTGGTATCAATATATATACGGATATACACACACACATACATACATACACATGACGTTACACCTACGTACATGACGTCTCACCCACATACATGAAATCATGTTTAAGATCTGCACCCACAATATGATGCTGATATCGATACATTCACATAGACATAAATAATAGACTTATATGTATTGCTTTCAACCATTTATACATTGCCTTTAAATAATATGTCACTCTAACACATAATAAACTCATTCATACATTTTCTTATTAATTATATGTATTAATTTTTTTCCTTTTAATTCCAGACTGCCAGCAAAGCTTTACAAACATGAGCTCACTGTATATACACATGAAGAAAGTTCACAAGAAAGATGACAGTGAAACAACACAAGTTGTCCAGACTGTTGAAAACGAGGAAACACAGAACGTAGAGACGGAAAATCTGTTTATGGTAATAAATATTGTACATATATAATATAATGTCAAGTAAATTAACGTGAAAATGAATGAACAAATACACAAAATTTTTCATTGAGTACTGGTTACTAGAATATGTAGTCAGACATTAATAAAATATTTTATTTTATCTTAAAACACTAAAGGAACCAATTTTAAAAGCATTACAGATAGTAATACTTATAAAGTTAGCAATTAAAATTATAGTTCTAAGCTAATGAAATAAAACTGCTTATTATGGACCCGTAACCAGAACTTACATTCGGCTAAATCATTGAGTTTTATTGAAATTTATATGAATAATATTTATACAGGGTGACTGGTGAGTTACTATCAATATTTAAGGACGTGGTAGTTGACGATCATATATGACAAAATAAAAATTAATATAACATAAATATTAATAAACTTCTAAGTAAAGTTAACCAAAAGTTATGTAATTAATTAAGGATCGCGTGGATACCCTATTTGCGTTATCGACACAAAACAGTTATGTACGTAGGTATATGTAGTTATCGCGCGGTAGTTTACCTACATCCAAACGCCGCGCGCCGCCGCGTGTTAGACCTTAGATAAACAAAAATGATCCAATTCCCTTCATACTTTAATCCTGGCTTAGGACAGGCAAAAATACCAAGATATTTCTTTCGTTTAAGCAACCAATTTATTGACTAGGTAAATGGTGTGACCTTGACACGAAAAATAATATGAACTGTTTACCTATCTTGGTATTTCCGGCGTATTTAAAAATGGAATCATTCTTATTTACAACAATTGTCAATCATTAAACTACCTATTTACCTACATAACTACACTAACCTTAACAAATGTTCAAAGCGAGCTCCTTCTCGTGTGATACACAGTTCGGCACGTTTACACATATTGTCTTTCACACGATTTAATACGAATGGGTCACTTTTAATAGTTTCGAAAGCACTATTGATTTTTAATTTCAACTCCTCTCTGTTGACATACATTGTAGCATACACAAGACGTTTCCTTGGGCATGTGTTGGAACACGGAACTGTCCGAAGTCTCGTAATCTTTGATTAGCGTTTAAGATGACGCTGGCCGTAGGTACTCGACGATTGGGGAACATCTCCCGGTACAAATTGATTGCGCCCCGCAAGCTTTCATTTGCACGCGCATACGCATAAACCATGTCCAAGTATTCTGCATTTGTGTATTGAAAAGCCATATTTAATTACTAATAAGTAATAACGGGTCACACGCACACACGACAGATTATTATTAGGTATACGCGTAAGATCGATCGCTAGGCGCGCGCGCGCGGGAAGACGAACGTACGGACCTTACGGCGGCGCTCGCGCGACTAATAGCCGACTAATGGCCCGCTAGCCACGGGGCGGGGGTTGGGGAGTAGCGACACACTGGCGCCGGCAAGGATGAGTACGTATCCAAACTTTATTTATTTATACGGAAATTTGGTCAAAAATTAAGTACCTATTTTTTTTACATAATTCGAATGAGAATCATGTACCGAGTATGCTCCTTAAATATTGATGGTAACTCACCAGTCACCCTGTATACCACTAAAATGATATAGCCAGAGAACGTGACGTTCCTGGAGCAAAATACAGACGAAAATCATGAAAGTAAATTTATGTTCTTCAATCAAACGAAAAACTTCTTTTAGTTGATAAAAATTTAAAATTAATTCTATCCCTACTAATATTATAAATGCGAAAGTAACTCTGTCTGTCTGTCTGTCTGTCTGTCTGTCTGTCTGCTACGCTTTCACGCCTAAACCACTGAACTGATTTTAATGAAATTCGGTACAGAGATAGAGTTGACCTTGAGAAAGAACATAGGATAGTTTTTATCCCAGACTTTTGAAAGGTTCTCTTGGAAACGCGATATAACCGAACTCCACGCGGCGAAGCTGCGGGCGGAAAGCTAGTTATATAATAAAATGGTACTACAAAAAACTGTTCGTATTTAAAGCATTTTAATTTTATGTCTAGTATCTTTATTCTCATCCTAAACATAATTAGATAAAAGTTTTCATGTTACAGGCACGAGTTGTTTTATGGTTGACTTGTAAACTAATATAATCGATGTATTTCAGGTAAGTCTGTTGGAGCCGAGTGAAACAAACATTACGGAGGAACAAGTGTCTACGGAGGAAGGACATTCAGCTCGTACACACTGCACCTGGCCTCTACCACCACGCACTGAATACAATGATGCTTATGTATTAGAAGATGTTCAGGTATTGATATTGTGATAGATTCTACTTATAATTGCTAACAAAATTGCATAATTTTTAAACAACATTCATATCAACAAATATTAGTACCAGTATCATTTATTATTAACTAGTTTCCCACCTACTCCCGCGTTGAGTTCGGTTATATCGCGTTTCCAAGAGAACCTCTCAAAAGTCTGGGATAAAAACTATCCTGTCCTTTCTCAAGGTCAACTCTATGTCTGTATCAAATTGCATTAAAATCAGTTCAGTGGTTGAGACGTGAAAGCGTAACAGACAGACAGAGTTACTTTCGCATTTATAATATTAGTAGGGATATCAGTTAGGATTAGAACTGAGAGTGTACAACAAGGATTTTCTATTATAAGTGCCCAGCAAAATGGATATTTTCTCGACAATATATCAGACATCAGTAAAGGATATTAGAATTGAAAGTTTAGTTATTTGTAAAATAAATTATTATATATTAAATGGAAGATTTATCACTAACATAAGTAGCGGGATTCGAATTTGTAAGCTTCAAAATAGCTCATTTCAGTTTTTGGTTGGAATATTCCAGAAGATAGTTTCAAGTCCTATTCAATTTGATGAAATTTTCATGCTTTGTTTTCTATTGAAATTTTTAATTTTATCAATGTAATATTGTAATAAATGTAGTGTTCTTATAATTTGTAAAGTTACATGATAATATGATACATATTTTTATTAATTTTTAAGGTGGAACAATCAGAAGCTTCAGAGAGTAACATCTACACAGTGAGAAGTGATCTCTTCCTACATGGAAATCTACTACACAATGAAGACAGCGAGTAAGTATTAATTTGTATAAGATAAATAGTATAACAAATGAGTTTTTGGGTAATAATACATGTTTATGAAATTATTTTAATATGTACACTCAGTCAATAATTTTTTTCTTATTGTATGGACCATAAAACACAAAAATGTAATAAAGGTGATATTTTGGATTCTGATTTCTCTATTCTCACCATAAATGGAATTTATCAAATTAAATACAGACAATTTCTAGTTGTGTATTTTTAGCTCTTCAAATATGATAGTAATAACTTTATTGTATGTAATAATTTTATTAAAACTTTGACTACACAATCTCTTTTACTATGGATTCTGTATAATGGTAGAGTTTCCGGTTAGTTACCGATTGTACCGGTCTTTATGTTTTGGCGTCACTTGTATGCTGTTTTAGCAGGAACTTATCTAATAAAAATAACTACCTATTTATGTTTAAATCATGCTTGTTTGTATGTTGAAGATTAGAATAAGTTTAAAATAAAGTGTCAATGAGATTGAATTTTCATTACACTAAATATACAACAAAGGTGTCTTGTATGACATTATATGTTGGAATAAATATTTTATATTTAATATGCTATTATAATTATTTCCAGACAGATGTCTACATGCGTGCACGTGTCAGAGTGTCAAGGCGAGGGTGACGGCGGGCAAAGAGCCGCCGACGGACTTTCATTGGACGCTGATCTACTGTTAGATGCACCATCCGTACATCTTGATCAGGTCAGTGGCGGAATATATTTAGGATACTAACAAAATCATAAAAAAATGAGTTTTCTTATGAAGCCAGTACTTTTAAGTAACTAATCAGAACTTAACTAGAACAAACTAATTACTATCTAAAACAAAAACACCTTAAATAAGTTAAATTCAATTTACTAAGACATAAATCGCGTCGAAAAATATTTTCCCGCGCAAAAGTGAACAAACCAAATGTCATCGCTTTAACATCACTTCGGGAGCGTTCCGAAATTTAAAGGTTTGGTACAAATTAAATGTGTTATTTTAATAAAATGGCTTACAGGCTCAATTTAATTATCCTTAACAGTAATAAATTTAAATTAGGACTTATCATAAATTATATTTAATATATTGGGACAACTCACAGACTATGTTAGTATGATAATAATAAACATACTATAAAGTAACTATTATTGAGGAGTAATAGATTACAGTCAACAGATGGCGTTAGTATTGATTTTAAATTACATGTCACTATAGAATAATATTATTATACAAGTAAATAGGTATAGAAGCATATGTAAGGGAAGATAAATGTTTTCTGCTCTATATATATTCATTATACCAGGCAATAGTTTGAAATTTTCTTTAAGTAGATCATATTCATAATATATAGGATAATGTATGTAATGCAAAAGTAGTATGGGGCCGTCCATAAATTACGTCATCGATTTTTTCAGATTTTAGACCCCCCTCCTACAATCATCCTATCGTTATTTCTTAATGACCCCCCCCCCCTTCTCCCAAAATCGACGTCATTACCAGTTTTACAAAATTAGAACATTGTAGATTTGAGAAAAATAGGATATTATATGATTAAAACACTTGCTTATAGAATCACCTTTTATTATTTTGACTTTGGCAATAATCATTGATATAATATAATATTAAAGGAAAAAAATAGGGAATAATAATATTTAATATCTCTCTGGATAGCTTCCACGGGGTTTTCATCCATTCTTTTAAACTTTAACTACGCAACGGATTTTGATGCGGTTTTTTTTAATAGATAGAGTGATTCTTAAGGAAGGTTTATATGTATAATACATGTAAGTACCACGGGCAAAGCCGGGGCGGGCAGCTAGTATTATATGTAACATTATTGTTAGAGTATTTTATCTGTAGTTATTACTGTATTTGCGTACATCTATGTTGCATTATGTATGTTTATTATGAGTTATTTTAGTATTGTACGCGCCTTAGCCGCCTCTCATATTTGCAGTCTCACTTACTAGGTATGCTGGAAGAAATTTCTTTTTAGAAATAATCTTTTTGTTCGTGAACAATAGACTATAAATAAATAAATAAGAATGACGTCAATTTCGAAACACCCCCCCCCCCCTATCTATCATTTAGTGTCATCCGAAGACCAACCCCCCCCTCCCTAATTTAGAATTACGTAATATATGGACAGCCCCTATATAACGGACATTAAGAATATTTAAAATATATATTAAAGGTATCTTTATATTTACAACCAAGTTATACTTTGTTATATTCTCATTTAATATTCATTCATCTCATTATAAATTTTAACTCTTCTTATAAGGGTGTTTCAGACATATCATGACTGTACAGGGAGATGCTACTGATCAATATATTTTTTTATGTATTCTACTTTCTTAGTAAATATTTTTGCATAAATTTAAGAGACAATTTTCCATAAGAAAGAATAAATTATCCACATTAATAATATAAGACTAAAAACATTATATTTAACTCTTTCAGGAGGAGTTGTACACTGACGCGGTTGACGAATCTTCTTTTCGAGTATTTTTCCTCAGCGGTGAAGAGTTGGTTTAATATTATATTAAATATAATTTATATCGCTCTGAGTGATAATATCTTGTTTGAGACCAACTACTTATAACATCTTATGTAGCGTAACGTTTATGCTTTAGGTTATTTTCAAAGTTTCCATGTTGTATGTATTGCTATGTTTTAGGATATTTGATAAATTTCTATATATGTATGTCAAAAAAATTTATATGTTGTTCTAGTAGAGATTGAAAATCACATTTCAAAATTATTATCATAGATGAGTTTATTATTCTTATGATACTCAATTATATTCTAATATTTAGATAAATTGTATCTCGGTTCTGCTGAAAGCGACCTCTTGCGGCTTTAACTGGCACTGTTTTGTTCCAGTAAAGTTAGTCTATGCTAGTATTTAGTTTATTATTAATATAATGCCAAATTGTTTGCGCAAAATGATCTTAATATTATATAAAATTTACAATTAGATCTAAGTGGTTAGTTTTTAGTCTAACAATTGTTATTTTGGGCTTTATTTTTCTTAATGTCTCGTATTAATAAGTTTTGCCTTCTCAAGCTGTATAGCTGTTAAAAACGGTTGTTAGTGACCTATTAATCCTGCAATATATTTGTTTTAGAATAAACAAACAACGGTACAAATGTCTGTGCATATACAAAATTTATGAATTAACGAATTTATGGTGCAATAACATTATTAGCTTTTGGTTATTTATTTAACGGTAAAATTTTTACAGTTCTTGCGCTTTAATTATTTATAATTAATAAGATATGAAACATCACATGAAGTCTATGTATATGATTTTTTTAATTAATGTATTTAGGCTAAAAGTCATTAATAATAATTAAATCACAATAATAATTAATTATTAATGTAGGTTTTCATAAGCGCAAATTATTTGTTATACAAAAACCGGCACACTTAATTTCTATATTAATTTAGTTTCGTCAAATTTTATTATCATATTTGGATTAAAATAGTATTCATTAAATAAATAAACAATAAATGCTTCACTAACTTAATACGATCGTTGCCTTTATAAATTAATATAATTAAAATAAAACTCCATCACTTACTCTTAACTGTACTTATTGCTTGATAGCGTTATTTATTATGTATATTATAAGAGAACTACACTTCTTGTTTGAGGAAGCCAAGAGTATATGATCTCGAGATGCCTTCTAAATTATATAATATATTGTTCTAATATATGTGATAACGATTTTGATATTTGTACAATATGTTGATATAAGTTATATTCTAGACGTAAATAGGCTCAGAACGAATTTGGATCGTTTTCTTTTTTGACGTGTCAAACCCATTTGCGCGGGAAAGCCGCCATCTTTTTTAAACATAGCATTTTTTACGTCAAATTTCATGAAATTATTCTGTCCTTTGATCGCGAATTCTTATATAAAATTAAGATATAATAGTGTTTATGAGAGCATGTTTCATATTCCGGGTGCGCCACAGTCAATATAGTCATTAAACGTCCGGAGTCCGATATGCCTGTATATTGTACGTGTAGTTACTTGGTTAGTTTTTAATTATATTGTAAATAAGAAAATATATTTTTGGATACACTGTGGTGAGATGCATATTTTTTGAGACTGTTATCCAAAATCATTTTTTTTTTTTTAAAAAATATTATCTAAAGTTATGTTGAGCTCTTTATTTGATGTTTAGGAAAATTTTATTCAGACCATCATCGTAGTTCATTATTACAAATATTTGATTGAAAAAATATAATTGATTTTTTAATACGATGATGAGTATTTGCAACGGTTATAAAAAAATGACGTCAAATAAGGAGCTGCAAAATGAAATTCTAAATTATATTTATTGATAAGTTTTATTTAAGTTGTTGCTATATATTATTATTTTTTTTTTATTTTATGTAATTTGTATAACGTTATACGACACCCGCACGGTATGAGTACAGCGCTAAGTCAATATTAAAATTAATCACATATCATATTTAGTTTTGTTATTAATTATATTACAATTGGTTGCTTTGTGTTTATTAAAATTTTGCTATATTATAGGAATAAATGTTTTGTATAACCACGAGTTTTATTTAATAAATATAAGGGGAGAAAAGAAAAATATTTTTGAACACTTCAGGTATATTTATACATACAACTGATTCTATATATTGATAATAATACTTCAAAACATTTTTTTTTTCATAATACCTTCAATATTCCATTTCCTTTCGAAAATTGGACGAAGTAAATGTTCACATCAGTCTTATTATATAATTCTATGGAATGAATTTAATAATTCCATAGACATATTTAAATGAAATTTAAAGTCTATGAGGCAGATATTTTATGGTGTTGCTTTGATCGAGGAATATGCTTAACCTTTAGTGAAATAGCCAATAATAGCCCAATCCTGGTGACGTTTGAAATTTTTATTTGATCTTATATTAAAGCACTAAAGAACGAATAAATCAGTATAAATTAATGGTTTTGGAACTCTATTGTTTGTCTGCGTGAGTAGTAATTTTTGACATACTAGGTAAAATTTTAGATTTTTTTAGTTTCAAATATCGAACAAAGCAACACAGCTAATATAACTCTGCTTTTGTTAAATTAACATTTTTATATGGTGCACTTAAGTCACTTAAGACATAGTGTATATAGTTATAGTAGAGAAAAAAATGCCAACGTTAATTGATAGACGCTTCCTATGTTTTCCAGCAAAACAAAAATTGTTTGGTCAAAAAAATTAAAGCCATCAAGGTAAATACATCATTTAGATTAGTTTTACAAATCATAGCCAAAAATAATTCAAACGAAACATAACGAGTCTGCCATCAATATTTTTTGAATTCAATTAAAGCCTCTTAAATCTTGTTCAGATAAAGATGTTATCTTTTTTTTTTATTATGGGAAAAGGGGGCAACCGAGGAGACGGCCTACTGGATGGTAGGTAGTTACCGTCGCCCATTGACATCTGCAAAGTAGATTTGCAGATGTGTTGCCGCCCTTGATTGGGGAAAAGGGGGAGAAAACGGTGGGGGAGGGAGGAAAAGGAAAGGGTGGGAAAAGGGAAAGGGCAACCGGCTCTCTCACTCACCGGACGAAACGCAGCCATTAAAGGCTACTGCACGCCGATTTTCTGTGAGAGGGTGGTACTTCCCCGGTCGAGCCAGCCCGTGTTCGAGCTGTAGTAACTTGACCACAGCTAGGCTCTACCACTCTTAAAATCTTTAATCATGATGATTAAGAGAAAAAAATTACGTAAATATGTACCTTTTAAAATAATGGTCAAAAATGCTCCTTATAAATCATTTTGGTAACACGATTAATACATTACATTAACGAAAATATAAAAACTCATGTAACAAGCCTCTAGTCTAAAAATAATCACATCGCTTGAACTATATCAAAAGCTATTTAAGTATTTGATTGGTCTAAATTAAACTACATCAATCATCAGACTATTCCTATTGGCACGTGTTGGTCCGGTGGTGTGAACGGAAGGTTCAGACTCGTGGTTCGTACGAGGGCTGTTGAAATCTTATCTCTGCATAGAGTTAGTACCCACAACGACGTGTAAACGATGATAAGGCTGGCCGCAGATGCAGCGACGATCACGCCGGCTCGGAGTGGCTGCCTCCAGTCTAACACGGCGTATATGAACGGGTTCCCGAAACTGAAATTATATGGCATACGTTTTATTTCGATTTTAAATAATATTTCATTTGACATGCATACGGTATGTTATTAATATTTGGTAAATAAATTTTATAGGGATGTGACTTGTGTATTAGAATTGTAAACTTACACACCCATATACACAAGCACACACACATCTAATATATAAAATTCTCGTGTCACAGTTTTCGTGCCCATACTCCTCCGAAACAACCTGACCGATTTTGATGAAATTTTTTGTGCTTATTCGGTAGCTATGAGAATCGGCCAACATCTATTTTTCATCCCCCTAAATGTTAGGGGTAGTCCACCCCTAAATTTTTTATTTTTATTTTTTAGACAAAATTTTTAATTACTATTTTTTTATGATACAACGTACAAAAATACATACAATCCTAAATTTTCACCTTTCTACGATCAACCCTTATTTTTTAATAGCTATTTTAGTAATTTAATCATTTTTCATCTCCGGTCGATAACTGATCAATCGTCATTTAATAAGTTATCCCCGCCAGATATCTACAGGTGTCACTTCTGACCCAGTAAACAGCACGGAGTAGGGATGAGAACGAAGCCGGTCTTCTGTTTCTCTCACACAATTAGACTTCTCTCACTCCCTACACAGTTGTCGGCCATCGTTATTGTTTGTGCATCAAGTGTAGTAGTAACGTTGACAATTATTATTTTGCTAGCTCAGGGTAACTCTCATATTAACTATTAATCATTCCTAATCACTTCAAAACACGGAGATTTATGGCTTTAATAGGTAAACTCCAAAAATATAAATAAAAAAACGTAACAGATATTTCTTGATTATAGGGCGAAACGAAGTTCGCCGGGTCTTCTAGTATACATATAAATGTGTATATGTGTGTTATTATGTTATGAATAAAATTGTTTGGATTCATACATTTTTAGTTTTAATATAAAGCACGTATGATTTTAATGAAATTTAGAATTGTTTTGACTTGACAAAATGATTATTGTAAAATATAATAAACACCTTTTATATCATTATTATTATTGTTGTTGTATGTTGTTAATATTTAAGTGAAATTTATATCTTATGTTAATAAAATTATGTTTTAAAAGAGTTCATGTGTAATAGTATACTTGGATTTAATATAATAATTAAATTAATGGCAATATTATAAAGAAAAATAGATAATGTACAGACCTGTCGGTCCCGCCCGCTGCGTAATATATTCCAGTAAACGCCGCGTACCACAAACCCAGGCCTAAGGGTTGGTAAATATGCAAGAGCATCAATGGAGTCCTAGATAGAACCACTTCAGCGAACACCACGCATGAGTTGAGGCCGTGTGTGGCCACGTCTAGCCAGAATACTTCTGCGCTCTCTTCTGTCTGGTCGTCTAAAATAAATATAATATTCTATAATAATTACTTATTATAGTTATAGCATTAATATTTAGACTTTCTGTTTATGAACTTCAAGTAAATGCAAATAGTAACTAAAGGATATATAATGAGATCTAAGACTTTTGCGAGGTTATACATTTAAATGAAATTAATATTTTTCGTATATATGTACTACGCGTGCTTTATTTTTTGTAGAAAATGACGTACTCCCGCCGTTTCGGTTACTTTTCAGAAACCGTGATCACAGGTAGACGAGATATGAATTTAGGTATATTTTATATAGATATTATATGAGGATGAATGTTGATCGCAATAATTTTTTAGATATTATGTTATGTAAAATTTACTATAGATAGTTGCAGTACGATCAAAATATGATTGTAGTGAAAATAAATGTTTTTTCTTAATTATTTCGCGACCTTCATCACGTTTTATCATTTTTTGTAATGACCATAAAAAATTAATAGAATTTTAATTTAACGAATAGATTATAAAGCATTGAGTTTTCTACAAATTTTACTAGAAAGAAATACATGGGTCAACATTATTATCTTATTAAGTATTTGTCTAATTGAGAAAAATAAATAAATAGATATATTTTATTCTTTAAACAACTCAATAATGTATTTAAAACCTCAGGCCTAACAAATATTGCACCTTGACATTCCAGGTCGTAACGTTTTGTTTAAGTTTTTAAAAATATTGAAATTTTATACATATTTTTGATTATACTATAAAGACTAAGGTTCTAGTGAATAATCTCTTATTGTCAGACTTTGTAGAATACCTCGTGTTTTGGTTGAAGATTACGTATTATTATTAATTTTAATAATGAGCTGTGATACTAGTTTTTGAGAAAACAAATATTATACTTATGTTAATAAGTATTATATAAATATAATAGCATCACTTATGTAATAGTTGCTTAAATTACAAAATACCGATTTCATTATACAGTTGGTATCATGACTAAATGATTGCCTTTCATTATGTCATTAAAGAGTTGCCATCACTAAACAGACTTAAAATAATATGAAAAAATACAACAAAGGTTTTTTTTTATATTGCAACAATTCTTCTTGCATTGTATATAATCCTCGTTCCACGATATACTCACGTCATCACATAATTGCATATAAATTACTAAAAACGTTAACATTGAACCTATTTATAGTAATCGAAGGACGTTTATAATAGCAACATTAAATATGAGGTTATTTTTTGTTGATACAAAAGTATGTAATGAATTGCACGCAGTAGACGAGATTGATGTAGTTTGCTTACAATTTTATTTAAACTTAATATATGTTGTATATTTATTTATATATATAACATATTATGAGATCTTAGACTTTCTCGAGTATTCATTTAAATGAAACGAGTATTTTTTGGATTATAGGTAATACCCATATTTTATTATATATAAAATTACATACTCCCATATGATGTGCTCATTTTGACTGCCCGTAATCACAATTGCTGAAAAGTAACCGAAACGTCGGGAGTATATAGTTTTCAAAATAATAAAATATGCGTAGTATCTGAAAAACATTAGTTTCATTTATATTATATTACCTGGATTGTAAAGAAGTATCCAATAGAGCCCTGTGATCATGATAGCAATGGTGATGCAGATGTTGTAGAGAAACCAGTACATGCTTATGTACCACGGTAGATCACTACCATCTGGAAGCGATAAAAGATGATACACAAGATGTTAAATAAAAACAAAATTTGTTAAGAAAATACTAATAAAAAAACAAAAATAAACTGTCGTTTCGTTGTGAGATCGACGTTGTAGTATTAATAATATGTATAGTAGATACTAGCTTTCCGCCCACAGCTTCGCCCGCGTGGAGTTCGGTTATATCGCGTTTCCAAGAGAACCTTTCAAAAGTCTAGGATAAAACTATCCTATGTTCTTTCTCAAGGTCAACTCTATCTCTGTACCAAATTTTATTAAAATCAGTTCAGTAGTATAGGCGTGAAAGCGTAACAGACAGACAGACAGACAGAGTTACTTTTTCATTTATAATATTAGTAGGGATATATTAAGAATTAATTAACAGATATTATAAGTCAGAACAAATTCTTATATATTTGAAATTCATATAAGCATTAAGGTCGTGTCAAAGGTATCGGTTACGTCGAGTTAGGTAGAAACGTGTAAATATTATTCGTGAATGGCATTGCGGAGTTATGTCATGTCATTAAACATGTGGGGCAATCTGCGAGTTGGCAATAGAGCGTTTGAAGCATACAAAGAAAGTAGAACCAGCTTGAGGCTTTAACATGACACGAAAATGACGATCAAGCGCGCCAAAATCATTGACTTTTCATATTATGACGAAGTATTGCCATAGTAATAAGTTCTTTATAATTTCTTCGATATTTACGTAAACATGACGTTAGTATTTGCATAATCTGAAGGCTGACTGCATGGATAGCGGATATAAAAGACTGTTTACTGTACATAGAACCGCTGTTAGGGGCCGTCGTAAACAAAAGTCCTAGCTACCATTGAGTGTAATGTAAACATGTCTTCGATTAATGTTTTCGTTTCCATTCACTTGTATAGTGTGAAAGCTTGACGTGCGGGAATATCAACGCGGTTACGTTACATTGAAGGACGAATATTATGACATTCAGTACCGGTTCTATTATGACGTATTTTCCTTAAAGCACCTTCTAATCATTGAAATAGATTTGTGCTTTCGAATACGAGTGTATTGTTTTCAAATAGAAATAAATAACAGTATAAAAATAACGTCTTTTATGTTAAATGTAGTGCAAGGTCTTGTTTTTGCAGTCAGTGTCGTTTGTAAACAATTAGGTCGTTTGAGTTACATCAAAAATGTTTTCCGTTTCAACGTTAATTGTTATATTATAAAGCCTTTTTTTTAACAACGTTAATCGATCACTAGAAGTTTAATACAGTAATTTATTTATATATAGAATTCTATACGTTTACGGAAAGATACTTTTTATATAGCTACGCTTGACATTAGTTAGAACACACGTTTAAAAGATTAAATTTATTTTTAACAAAGTGTAAGGTAAACCCTTAGTAAATTCCGTAAAAAAATGGTTTTTAGATAGATTTAACATAAATTTTACGTTTAAAGTGTCTTAACAATGTTTTAAAGAAACGTTAGTATTTCGTGTTTGTTTCTACATAGTGTTTTGTAAAACACGTTGTAAAAACCCCGGATTAAATCCGGTTTTTTTTATTTTCCTTGTGGTTAAATATTTAAATTCATCTCTTATGTAGAGTTAATTATTGAATTATCATAATGCGATGTCTTAAGTAATACAAGGAAATGTATTTTATGTAAACAGAAGGATTACACTAATAATTCAAAATTTACCGCTATCAGATAACTCAGAATATAATAAAAGTCGTATCAATTTTCTATGATTATCCACTATTAATATTTATACTTCAAAATATAAATGTCATTGTTTTGAAGAGAAAAATAAATAGATTTGCAATGACGAATGGATTTTTAACATTAAATTATTATAGATAATTTAGAGTTAGTCTTCTTTTGACTAAACCGTTATCATCTCAATTCTAATATCCTAGTTTTTCTTTGATAAATCAGTTGATTCTGTCAGTCAGCATCATAAATTTTATCGGTAAAATTTTTATCATTTACCTTTTATTTGTCACGTGTAGATTTTACATTTACATTACATGTGTTCATTGTTTTGAATTTCTGGATTAACAGCTTAAATAATAAATATGTGATAAAGATACCTCATATAATTTTATCAAAACCATAAAATAATAATCCGTTTAGTCTGTAACCGATAATTTGAGTTAAAATTCAGTAACCGTTTAAAGTTAATTGTAAATTAACGTATTTTGTATAATTTATAAACTTTTATCTTTTAGCTTTATATATTTTTTGAATATCGCAAATGTCAATATTATAATTAAAAGCTTACCTTTTAATTTATGGCAGACCCCCAGAATAGAGATTAAAAGTCCGCTTAAAGTCATCGAAGTAACTAGTAGGAGACCCCAATTAGTGAGGTATATGAGCCAGTAGGGGCTCGCACCAGAGGTGAGTGACCATATGAAGATCCCAGTAGCCAAACAAGCCAGGAGAAGCCTCACAATCAACATCGGTACCACCGAATCTCCCGGTTGCCATGACGACAAGTAAAAATCACTCAATCTCTCATGATTCCCTACCCAGAAGTCAGATATCGAAATGTTCTTCCTAAAAAATTTCACCATATTGTCACTTTTTAACTAGAACATTTGCATTTCACTTGTACATATGTATCTGATGGCACTGTTTGATAACAGTTTCGTAAGAAGCGCCGCGATCGAATGAGATGGACGCGAATTTTTTTATCAATGTATTATTATCGATTCACACATTTCACAAACATGTCACAGCGGCTAGGTAAATGAATGGAGCTGTATGTAATTGTTATGATAATAGCTAGTCCATGTTTTGGTTGAGACGATCGAACGTGAAGTGTTATCGATAAGACGTCAGTTGAGGCTAGCGGGTTGGTGGGCGACTGGCATCGCGGCCGCTGAACGCCGACCGTTTGCTTAAACTGACTCGCTTTATGTAACTTTTGCAAAACCGAACTGGTTTTTGTACCAATGTCAAGAAACATTAAACCTTTGTGAAATTATCATTAACCTTCCGGTTGATACAGATTGACTGCGTGACGAAAACCCAATTATGTACAATTAGGTTATCTAATTATATGCATTATTTAACGCGTATTAAATGTCTGTATTCTATAATCTAATACTGAATTGTGTTACTGTAAAATATATACAATTGCGTACTTGCATCTTATCTTTAAATTTTACCGTCTTATAGTTTCGTTGTTGAAAGTAAAAACACTTTACGGAATGTAACTTTACACTTATTACTTATAATTTCATAAGATAACAAAAATATTGGTCTCATTAACAATAAAATAATTTAAAAATATTGTTTGTAAATATTATTTTATATAAATTTTATTGTGGTAATATATTTTTATGTGAATATCACTCAAACGACTTACGACAATTCGGTGAGGTACATGGTTTAATGCAGATTGTTATCGTATATAATTAATTAATTATTCCCTCAACATATTATGTTATTATTAACAACAGGTATTATATTTTTCTTCGCAATCAAAGAAAACATCACTATTGACATAATGTGATATGATACTTATCAGTTATCTGTCTTATTTGAATTGTTTGGTTCGGAAATCTAACGTATTATGGAATGGTTAAAGAATTAAAATAATATCCATTATATAATTAAATTTTATTAATTAATTCATATACAGGGTGACTGGTGAATTACTATCAATATTTAAGGAGCATACTCGGTACATGATTCTCATTCGAATTATGTAAAAAAAAATAGGTACTTAATTTTTGACAAAATTTCCGTATAAATAAATAAAGTGTTGACACGTTCCAAGTGTTCCAAGTGTGGACGCGTACGGCGGCGTGCTGATACAAAACCACGCCCCCGCTGCGTATGTGTGAGTGTGTGTGTATACCTAATCTGTAGGGAGTTCACACGATGCGTAATTAATTACATAACTTTTGGTTAACTTTACTTAGAAGTTTATTAATATTTATGTTATATTAATTTTTATTTTGTCATATATGATCGTCAACTACCACGTCCTCAAATATCGATAGTAATCCACCAGTCACCCTGTATATGTATATAAATTTTATTGTTAATATATCTACAAATTATTTATTATTCAGACGCTACTCTGCCAAGGTGGGTTCCTTAAAGCCTCAAGTTCAGCCGGATCAGTTGGTTCAGAGGGTCGAGTGCATCGTTTAGATATGGCGTTCCTAATCGCTGCTAGGACGATTGTAACTAAATGTAAAAATATTAATACGATTCCAGTTATCACAACAACGATAGTCGCCGCCGCCGGCTCCCCCCAGTGCACCACGGGATATATCCAAGGATTCCCCAAACTGAAAAAAATATTAATTTTAATTAACAATATATCACAACACTGCATATGCTGTCGCTTAATTATAGTAGCATTAAAATTTATAGCGAAAATAAATTACCGTGGTCTTTCGTTTGTTAAATATATTAGTATTTAATATCTGCTATTGTTTAAGCGTTACTATTTAGATTTATGATAAGTCTTAAATTAAAATGATTTTAATGAATTTACTATTACGAATAGCAATACCATATTATAACCGCTAGATTTGATTACAAAATATAGCAAATAACTGTATTTTTGCGGTCAAAATGCTTGTTAGATCGTTAATACGTACAACGAACACGAAATTAAGGGTTATTTTACATAAACACGTCAGTTACGCAATTTTATTTTGCACAATAGGATGTGTAAATAAGTAGTCTTTTATAAATACGTAAAACATTATTAGATTAGGTAATAGCTATTATTTCATTTACCAAAGAGTGTTAAATACTACAGATAATTTAACATCTTCGTATACTTACTTAGTAGTTAGTTGTACCTAACGTAAATTAAACAAAGATAGTTTCAATACTTATCATTAGTAGGTCGTTTGATAAACGATACTTTAAAACATTTAACGAAAGAAGAATACATTTTATTATAGGAATCGAGACCTTTTATTGAGTTAAAATTGTAGTTTGATGAAAAACTATAAGTTTTCATTGTAGTTTGTTGCTTTATAACTTATATATCTTACTAGCTTTTCAAAAGTCTGGGATAAAAACTATCCTATGTTCTTTCTCAAGTTCAACTCTATCTCTGTACCAAATTTCATTAAAATCAGTTCAGTAGTATAGGCGTGAAAGCGTAACAGACAGACAGGCTGAGTTACTTTTGCATTTATAGTATTAGTAGGGATACTCACGGATCTTTCCCGCCAGCCACATAGTATATGAGGTTGAAGAATACATAAACCAGAGCGAATAGGAATGGATGTGTGCAGTGTACGACCCGGGTGGGGTGAGCAGAACTGATCAGTTGAAGGAACATTATTAAGGAGTTGATGCCGTGGATTGCGATGTCTAGCCCTTTGCCCATTTCCTCTTGGAAGTTAGCTGTATAGTAACAAAACATGTATTATGTAAATAAAAAGCTTAAAATTTATTACTGATCTAAATAATTGAGTATCGCTTAACCTGCAAAAAATAAAGAGCAACGAGCCAGACCATAAATTTTGTATTTTTTGGGTCGTTTTCTAACATCAACAAATAATTAAAATAATGATTATAACGAAATTATCATACCGCTGTAAAGTAAGGTCCAGTAAAATAATGTGATTAGAAAAGCAACTGGCACCGAGATGTTGTGTAGCACCCAAAAAGCTTTGACGTACCACGGCAAGCTTAAATCAGCGCCTGTGAAAAAAATATAGCAATTAGTTATACGAATGTATAACAAATATATTTAATCAGGAACATTAAACAATAACATAGCGGCTTATACAAAAAAAAATACTTACCAATCGGACCCGAAATGTATGTTTTAGCGGAGACAGCAACTCCGAAACCAGTAGAGAGCACCATCAACGACAAGCCCCAGTGAGTCAGATATATGAACCAATAACCTATGTGAAATTCACTCAATCCATAGAATGTCATAGACGTGATTACAATCGCGAGTGAAGTAAGAAGCAGTAATATCCTCCATATTAGAAGCGGTACCGGAGACTTTGTTCTCTGCCAAACACTGATGTAAAAATCCGATGGATCACTGTGTTCGAGGGTAAACATGAACAAATTAAATTCATTTTTAAAATACTCTTTGATAGCACTCATTTTTAAAGCTAGCACCAACACCTGAATATGTTATCACTGTATATCATGTTTGTCGATACTGGCCCGTATGATTCAAGTCGGTTATCACACCCCAAAATTTAATCTACTTTCTGTTTCTAAATCATGTGTCACCGTAGATTTCTCAATAGATACGATATAAGTAATCCATACCGTTGTAAATTTTGTCATAATTATAAATAAACTTTCTTAGAATTTTACCCAAAATATTTCTTTAAGAAGTACTTAAGTAAAAATCTTGTATTATTAATAATTATTAATCTTTAATGAATATTCCGCGTATATATAGTCTACTAACTTAGCATTCTGTTATCTCATACATTGCCTTTTTTTAAAAATTTTCTTCATATATTTACGAACTTTCCTTTGTTTATTAGAGAATATCTCAGATAAATTTTTGTTCTCATATTTTAAGACAGCGAAATTTTAACTTAAAATATTATTATCAGAGGCCATCTTGGTATACAATATTTACAACAGTGATTAAAATCTACAATCAATTAATTATTTTCGTTATTAGTTTTAAAGAAGGTTTAATATAGTTTTTTAAAATTCTTTCAAAATTAAACCGATAATGATAAGGTTATATAAAGGAACGAAATTAAGAAAAAATAATATAAATATTATATTTAACTTAAAAAAATGTATATACAATAATTACAATCAGCATTAACTAACTTTAGTTAGTGAGCAGAACTGAATATCATAAATGACATCATCTTTAGGATACTTTTAACAAAGTACGTAAAGAGTATAATTGTAATTTTAAACCTAGTATTGGGACAAGCTGAACTTGCGGGTGTTTCGTCCACATGACCTGGCAATCGCGTCTCTGGCTTCAGTCAATAGAGTGACGATAATGTGCAGAATGATGATAAGGATCGCGCTGAAGACTACCGTTATCGCAGACACTCCAGGGTTTCTCCAGTCCAAGACAGGATATATGAAGGGGTTACCCATCCTATGTTACAAGAAAATATGTTAGCTTTAAAGACGTTGTATGCCAAATAAAACACCTAAGTTAGTTGTAGTTCTATAAAGCATTTGGTTTCTTCTAGCTTTTAATTGTCGTCTTTTCAATGAAGAAAACTGTTGTTGAATATGATGAAATTCCGTTAAATAATCTCTCATCTTTAAGTACTTGTTTGATAAATAAATAAATCATTATCTATAGTATAGTAGACTAAAGACTTATTTATTTCTATTGAGATGTAACGTGCTAACTTTTTTATATCTAAGTGAAATATAAATAATACTCCGGTGCCTAGTCTAAGTCGGCATCGTCACTACATACGGAATTTGTGTGAATGAAAGTAAAAGTAGAGTTAGCCAAAAACTTTTAGAATTACGTGCTATAAAATAAGCAAAACTTGTAAAAGTCCAGATGGAAATATTATGAATATTGTGGAAAAAAAATTATTGATTAATAAGAATTTTGAAAAAACCTATACAAATTCTTATTCACTTGACATTGCGTTTTCAACATTTGATATTGTACAAAAGGGTGAAGTGTGGAAGGTGCGGGGTGGAGTAAAAGCAGTATAAACCGGTTCAAAACTAGAAAAGAACGTGGCATTCAAAAATTTGACATCACACCTACACTATCTGTATACACTCACACAAATGCAAAGCTCAGCTTAAATCAAACGCACAATAACTTAGTTTATTCCATAAGAAAGGAAATCGTTTCGTATGTATACAGTAATCAGTTCCAACTATAGACGTGATTGTTAATAAAAAAAATCTATCCTCATACAAATTCGGCATAGGTTATATAAAGTATAAGGAATTTCCTTGTTGATTTGTGCCCTTGGCATACATTTGTTTTCGTTATCAAACCCGACATCAGATATGAAGGTCCACGTATTGATGGTTTTAATTACATTGGAATATATATTATTATTTAAAAGAGAATTAGTTTCATATATATGTAAGCTGTTTTTCTTAATTTCGACTTAAAATTGTGAGCTATAGTTCAATAGTCTATTGTGTTTTTATGCGTTTATTTAGTATGTGAGGAACTTGTTCTTACATCCTTCCATTCCAAAGTGGGTCGAGAAATCTTTAAATGTTTTGTTCAGACAAAACTATGTTAAAGTAATTCTATATTGTATATTATCTATTGTTTGTTAGTAAATACTCACGGGTCAGTGCCACCGGCGTAGTAATAAATGATGTTAAATATAACGTAAATGACTGCTAGTACGATGGAGAAGTAGAAATGGAGCAGGTTTGAGGGATGACTAGCGGTGAAGAGGAGTATCAGCATGAGAACGCTGTTCACTGCGTGGATTAAGATGTCCAGAGCGAAAGACACCGCGAACTCTTGATCTGGTGGAAATAAAGGCATCTTAAGTACACTCTGTACCCACTAGTTGAACGACTGGTGGACAAAACCATATTATAACGACTAGTGAACAAAACATCCACTAAGTGAATCGGCTAACCAGTCTATATATTATTGCTAATTTGTAGTAAATTCGGTATTCTGGTGAAGTAAACTTTGACTTTGTTACGAAGTTGACTGTTGACTGCTGAATTTTATACTGATATTGATTATGAATATTCGATTTAAATATTACTTATTTCTTAGTTATACAAAACTAAATAAAATGAACATAAAAATAGGATTAACCCGTGACCTTGGTTTTTTCTAATTTGTATGGTATTTTTTAACTTACTATCATTGGTTAGAAAAATCCAATAGAAAACTGTGATGAATATTGCAATCGGTATCGATGTGGAGTAGGACACCCAGTATGCCTTTATATACCACGGCAATCCGAAATCAGAATCTGCAAAGAAAAAAATTAGACTAAATATATTATAGTACTGGTTTAAAAAAAAAATTATACTTCCAACATAGCAATAATAATTATCTAGATTATTGAGTAATGAATCATCGAAATTTATCTACTAATCATGAAATTAGGATATCTGTGAGGTAAAACCAAAAATTAAAATGGTCAGTGTCATGGCTTTTATTACATATTAATTTAAAATAAGATTTACTTTTAATTTTAAACATATAATATATCTATTATTTTATTTTATTTTTTTATCGAATACATATTTCATTCATTTCTATTTATGTATTTGTATATCCTTTTGAGATATTAGGTAAAGTAAATATTTTAAAAAATATTTAATTTAATTCTCACCAATAGGTCCACCGTAGTATGCTTTCGCTGAAACTGCAAATCCAAAGCCGCTGGCAACCGTTATGAGTACTAGACCCCAATGTGTTAAGTATATCGGCCAAAACCTTGCCGATATACCTTGAGCTGTTAAAATAAAGGACGCCAGAACTATTCCTAAGCATGCAAGGAACAGAATTCCCCTTATTATTAACAAAGGTAAAGCTGATCGGTTGTTCTGGAAGCAGCTCTCGTAGAAGTCGTACGAGGATTCATGTTCCAATTTAAATTTTCTGATTTGGAACTGTCCTTTGAAGTAGTTCTTTACTGCACCCATTTTTCTGACCGGTTTTAATCCCAGACGTGCTTTGTAGACGGTGTGAACACCTGGAGTGTACAAAATATCTTTTGTTATCACCGATAAGATTTTGCGATCAATAGCGTCAGTTTTAGACAAACTAATCGTATATGTCGATATTGTTTCTTGTTCATATATTAGTTATTAATCCTTACGATAAGTGTTTTTAATTCATTTTTTTTGGATTTAAAAAGAATAACCCGAGTGCCGGTGTATTTGGGAGGAAATTAACATAAATGTGAAAAGTGTAGGTATGTTGTCTAGGAATGTAGAATATTTTTACGATAATCCTATCATCATAATAATAAAAAGTGATAATACTAACGTATAATGTGTTCGTACATAAAAGGTTTACAATAAGACAATGTTACGTTATTGTTAAGAGTTAGATAAGGTTTTGTTCGGGTCGAAGTAATTTTTTTATACAATAATTTTCAATACTTCATCATTTAGACAGTTGTAGATTTGCTTAGAACACTAGCTTAATAAATCAGCTTGTCTCATTATTTTTATACTACATATGTATGTATCGTCAGTTTTCAGAAGTTTACCTCAAAATTGTATCGTAATAATACCAATTGTAAGGTCGATTTTAGGTTTTAATTATTATATAACTAAGTATACCTTTACTCACGTGCGATTTATGAATGAAGAACATTGAAATTGCTTAAAGAACATTATTAATTTTTAATTGCATAAATTGAAAAAAGAAATATGTTTTTTTGTATTTTCTTTAATTTATGATCAAATATTTTTTACTCTTATTAAGTAATTTGACATAAAAAGGCCACTGCAAAAAAATTTACGACTGCGAAAAAATCATAATTTAATTAAACTATTTATAGAAAGCATAATATTGTTTTGTTGTTTTATTTGAAATACAATAAAGCAAACTTTTGACTGTAATGGAGTAAAAAGAAATATAATCTTTGTTCTAATGTACAATTTTTATTTATGTCATATTAAACAGTTAAATAATAACACCTTATTTATTTTTCAATTATATTTACATTGACATAAAAACATGACACTTAACTAAGTACTATTATATTAAAAGTGAGATTGGTGACATAAAACTAATACTTTTTGAACTTAATAATGTATATAATTCGTTTGAAAAAAAAATCTGTGTAAAGGAAAGAGTACATTTAGTTAAAAATATTCGATTGAGGTCACTAAATTCATTCATAATAAACGTAATTTCTATAACACACTTAAATTTCTACGTGTATTAAATTATTCTAGTATGAGTTTTGATGAGATGAATAACATAAATCTTTAATTATCACTAAAAGTATAGATGAAAACACAAAAAAACGATATCACAGCAGGATTTAAACATTTCGAGAAACAACAATTATGTTAATCTATAGGTTGCACTTCACTAGGCGTTTATCCAAATATTTGTACGTAGTCCAAATAGCGCAAACACGACATCCACACTTGGCATGCCAACAACACGTCTTTACGCGTTTGCTTATTTGTGCAAATATGTCAAATGAAGAAATAAATCCTCCACACATGGTCCTATTTGGTCGAACGCAACAAATAAACGCCAAGTTAGGTGCCACCTTATAACATTATATACTGATATTTGTCTTATATTATCTAGTTTATTGTTCAGTCAGGCTTCGAAACCGTCGTTGTATTCTCCGCTTTTGTCTTTATCAAATTTTCGTATGATGAAGTCTCGGATGGATGCTACCACTACAGCGAGGATGTGCATCAGCCCCAGGAACAGAGCCGTCAGCGTCACCACCACTAGCGTCTGAACTGGCTTTGACCAGTCTATCACTGGATATATGAAAGCATTGCCCCATCTGAAATAATTAACATTATCAGAAAAGAAAATTATATCCACAAAGTACCACAGATTAAAAATATATTTGCTATTTTTTTTAATCTATATACTGCATGACGTAAGGACATTTTATAGGTTAATGTTACATTGAATATAAAATGATTTTTTTTTTTTGTTTATGTTTTTTATCTCTGGATACGAGTCCTTTTGAGCCTATATAAAATGAATAAGTTTAAAGATTATTATTTTTTACATATTTGTGTTATTTTTTTTGTGTTAAATCCAAATTGTTTATAAGTCAAACAAATATCAATTTTTTTTCATTATAAAATAGTTTACAATTGCTATTTGTTGGAATGTTTGTGTACGTGTTGTAATTATCAGTCATTGAATTATAAACAGTCAATGACTTGTTGCATTAGTATGCGGCGGCGATCTCTGCCGGTCGAACGCTTCATATTAACCGTCGCCTTGACTTAAAGATGACGATCTTCATATATAATAGTTTTACTTCATATAATAATTAAATTATACATACAAACACTTTAATACTTCATATTTTAGAAGCTTAAAAATATTACAAGTATTGACGTTAGTAGATTTAGATTTAGTATGTAAAGTAGATTTTAAAAAACAGTTTTATTGAATTTGAGCTCATTTTCGTGATACTTCATATATTTTGTAATTAAAACAAAAAATACGCAACAAGCCGAATCGACTAAGGTTATTATTGTTTTCTTCCGTATTCTGATTTTATAATAGATAAAGATAGTGATCTATTTTATTTGTATAAACATAATATAAGTATATATACTATGTAGCTTTCCGCCCGCAGCTTCGCCCGCGTGGAGTTCGGTTATATCGCGTTTCCAAGAGAACCTTTCAAAAGTCTGGGATAAAAACTATCCTATTTTCTTTTTCAAAGTCAACTCTATCCCTGTACCAAATTTCATTAATATCAGTTCAGTGGTTTAGGCGTGAAAGCGTAACAGACAGACAGACAGACAGACAGACAGACAGAGTTACTTTCGCATTTATAATATTAGTAGGGATGTACAAGGCCTAATGTTATGATGATGTGTGTGGCTTAAAAATGACAGGATGGTTTGCTTTTGACATAAAGCAATTTCCCTTTCATTGTTCTTTGATTTGGTACAACAGAATATTATATGTTCATTACAGTAATCGTACCTTTTAAATTCGAAGATAAGGTAAACAATAATTTATTTTAAGTAGTTGAAGTATTGTATAACCGGTATTTTTGTGTTATAAATATATATTTTCTGAATATGTTTTGTTTATGACGTATTTAGCTTGAACTTATTCGCATGACGTAATGGCAAAGCGTCTATTAGTGTCGGTATACACTTATGAAGGAGCAAATAATGTACTTAATTATTATGGTTAATAAATAAAGCATCACTTTTGGTGTATAGGGATGTTCAATACATCGAAAATATTTATTCAGCCAGGTACAAGTTAAAATTAAAACCTTTCTCTTGCATATATCGCAATATGACTCTCTAAGGTCCCAAAAAAGAGTAAAATAATTCTCTATTTACGTCATTGGTGGTCTAGTGGTTAAAAGGCCCGCCTCTCATGCAAGAAAGCGCGGGTTCGATCCTGGCAAGTACCAATGTGATTTTTCCGAGCCCTATGTATGTTCTAAGAGTATTTAGACATTACATATGTAAGGCATTCCCAAAAAGAGAGAGTTGATGTCAGGCAGGCGGCCAGTCGTAAAAACAATTAACCAAAATTATTCACAACATGTAAGGCAGACCCTGGCTAAAAGCTGGGAAATTGCCAGGTAGAAGAAAAAAGAGTAAAATAATTATATTATTAAATTAAAAATTTGTTACGTAACCTAATTATTTTTTCAAACTATAATTTTGAGTTATGGCAACCCTCAAATTGTAGTTGTTATGGTAATATCGGTATTTAAAAAACATATTAATACATTGGACGTTCATTTTGTGTCTATTTTGCAACACTGAATGTAGTTATCGTGTTTATTGACGTTAAGGTCATGTATGAAATATGAACATATCAAAGCGGCCAATAAATATTAACGTGAACTGTGTTTGTAGAAAAATATTAAAGATTTTAAAAAAATAACATGTATTGAATGCGTAATTACATCTAAATTGTAATCTTTTACAATTATCCTTTAACATTGAGACTAATAACTTCGAAGAAACAGCATACAATTGTTATTTACTTGTTCTATTTATTACAAAAACATACTTATTATATTTTTTTATAATGACAGGAAATTGTTCGCCAAACTAAAGTAAATCCGGAATATCACTATCTCTACATTATTTATGAAAGCTATTTTTGTAAAATTAGATTTTACTAGAAGTAATAAGAATAATTTTTCTTTTGAATTTTAATATAGGGGTCTTAAAAGGTAAATAATGTTGTCATCTTCCACTAGAATTCCCACGTGGCTACATCTATACTTGTTCTTATTTTCATAACTTATTAAATCTATTAACATATCGTAAATGTTTCTGCATTTCAGATCCAAGGGATTATTAATCCAATTTTATGGATAGCAATCCCTATTTTAATGTACTATAAATAATCAGTTAATTTTCGATTTTAGCTATTAATACATTTATGTTCATGAACATGTTGTACTATGTATTTTAATAATTTATATAAAGATGTCACTAATAAGTTAAGAAGATGATTTATTGACATAATATTGAGATTTACAAAAATTATATATTGATGTCATTTTGACGTGAACGTAAGAATTAAATATTTGTTTTATTTTTGCGTTCATAACACGGAATTGCTATGATGTTCTTATATAAAAAAAATAGGAATATTTTATATTTAAAACATCCGAGAAACCAAGGTTATCAGGAAAATCCCCAAATTAGTTTACCGAAATGACGCTCAGTAGTTTTTTTATGTTGTTTTTATAAAGAAATCGTCTCAAAATAATAGTATTTATTTTAGCCTTATATTAAGTTATACAAGGCAAGCTAAATGAGGATCATATAAATACTACACAGAGGAACATCTATCACTAACTTGAACTATACAAACAAGTTTGAACAAGGTTTAAACTCAAAATAAATACAATAGTTTGTGAATGTACTTAACATACTGTTTGGTTATGATAAGATGTCCTTGTGGGAAGGAAGGATGTGGGTAAATTAAGTTAAGAACTTATTCGGATGTTATGTTACATTATTCACAAAGATTGATAAAATATTTTCTATGTATGGTCTTTCCACAAGGACGTTTGTATTTAGAAAAAGAGGAAAAAATATATATAGTTGTATTCATTTTTATATATTTTATCTCATTTGTTCTTAGATCGTATAAAATCGATTGAATCGGTTCTAAATAGGACTTTACTTATGAGGGCCCACTGCTTTGTTTACTACAAAATTCGTATTCTAGGTGTCGAAAACAACAGCAATATGTTGACTGGTTACTGCTTAAGTACTATTTTTATTACTATTTAATTTCCTCTGTAACTAATAATAATTAATTAATGATTAATTAGAATATCTATGAGTACTTATTATAGAATAATATTATACCAAAAACCGAAGTCAAGAACATCAACCTTTCCCTTTATATTGAATGTATGTATGCACCTGAATTGTTACGAAATATTAATGATCACCTTAACAGTGGATATTAATGACATATACATATTTTGAATATATACATATATATATGCTAAACTTTTAGTAATGCGGTAGTTGATATTTGCTTATATATTTTACTTTGTTTCAAACCAGTTGTGCAACTACTCTATAACACTGAGTTAATTACAGGACGAGATTTAATATGATTATTGATTGAAACGGTTCGTAATTTTTAATAAAACGAACCCTAAATGAAAGATTAAGTAGATGAGATGAATATTTTAAGTGAGGTATTTCACAATAAAATAAACCATTGCGGTTCTAAAACCTTATGTTATGTGGTTGTATGGTGTTTAAGATTTTTTACGTACAATATATGATGCAATGTAAGTGGTAGCCTAGTGGTTAAAAGACACTCCTCTCATTTATGAGAGCGCGGGTTCGATCCTGGCAAGTACCAATGTGATTTTTCCGAGTCATATGTACTTTCTAAGAGTATTTAGACATCACTGATTAATGCATTCCCAGAGAGGGTTGATGTCAGGCAGGAGGCTTATCATAAAAACAATTAGCCAAAACTATTCACAACATGTAAGGCAGACCCTGGCTAAAGCTGGGAAATTGCCAGGTAGAAGAAGAAGAAGATATGATGCAATGTAAAAAACTCACGGGTCAAGCCCACCGGCGGCGTAGTAAATCATGGTGAACAATAAGTACACCCCGGAGAAGTAGAGCGGCTGCATGATGTTCACTAAACGACTGGGTTGAATTGACATCACTAGTTCCACGAACATCAGACCAGAGTTGACTCCGTGTAGCATCACGTCCAGGATAGGATTTGGAGCGTAGTTCATCTTTCTTCCAGCTATAATAAAAGAGTCGTTTTGACTAACTAGAAGTTGATATAAAAATGCTTGTTATTTTTTTTATGAGAACGTTATTTAGATCAATAAAAGGACTAGTCTCGTCTGCCCGTGATCACTGTTGCTGAAAAGTAACAGAAACGTCGAGAGTATGTAGTGTTTACAATAATATAATACGCGTAGTATATCCGAAGATAATAAGTTTCATTTTAATGAATACTCGCGAAAATCTTAGATCTCAATAAAAGGACTAGTGTCTACTTAAGATGCTGTCTGGAATTGTGTGATAATTATTATTGATGACCCATAATATAATCATACATACGTGCTCTCAGTATGGCCCAGTAGAAGAGCGTAATGAGGAAAGCAAGCGGCACTGTGATGTTGTACAGGACCCAGTACATCTTCACGTACCATGGCAGACCTCGGGAAGGATCTGAAAGAAAATTGCTCTTTAAAATAAAATATCAAAAATTATTAGCTAATTATATGATTAGAACAATGTATTGAGTCGAATTATTTTGCTTAAAATTTTGTAAATGTTGTTTGTATCAAATATTTAGTTATTGAGAATTGTGATAACAATTTATAAGCCAGTGGTGGCCTAGTGGTTAACAGGCCCTCCTCTCATGCTCGAGGGCGCGGGTTCAATCCTGGCCCGGGCAAGTACCAAAGTGATTTTTCCGAATCATATGTACTTTCTAAGACTATTTAGACATCACTGATTAATGCTCGTTCCCAAAGAGGGTTGATGTCAGGCAGGCGGCCGGTCGTAAAAGCAGTTAGCCAAATCTATTCACAACATGTAAGGCAGACCCTGGCTAAAAGCTGGGAAATTGCCAGGTAGAAGAAGAAGAATTGTGATAACAATTATTTACTGTGCTATGAAGCAAAATATAACATTTCTTTTTGGCTTGGTAGATTTACTTGAATAGGGAACATACGTACACATATAAACATATACAAATGCACACGCATTTGACCATAAGAAAACTATATTTAAATAATAGTGACAAGGTAGTTCATTTGACTGTCTATATGTATATAAAAAACTCTAAAACCACAAAAGTTATTGAAAAGATATACAAATAAACTTCAAAAGAAATTCTGATTAAGGGTTATCAATACAGTTTAATTGCTTATCAGTTAAAAGATTTTCTTTTGATTCGATAGCCAAGAGTATGAATCTGGATACGGGTGATATAACTTGTTCTTAAAGAATTGTTTTCTTATGACAAAGGGCAAGTTCAGCAAAAGATTTAAAATTCGAGTATTTAATAATAATATTTTAAGCTATTTATTATTTTAGACAATTTATTTTAAAGTTCACCTATTAATTTAAATGAAATTATATACTAACGTAATCTCTCCATATAAAATAATAATAAACATGCAATACAAACAATTTTTTGAACAGTATGCTTAGTCCTGGTTTGTCACACTACATACGAAGTGTTATCGATATTATCCTTGTATAACATACGTTAGTACTATAATCTATGAAGAATTATAAATGGAAAACTATTAAAGCCATGTAAAGTGAAGATGCAAACTAAGGGCATACAGTTATCAGGCATCAACTAAACAGTACGTAATTTGCGAAAAGCGATAAAACTCCTTGCTCAGTTACAATATGAAAACTAGCATTAAAACTGCAAGTCGCAAATAATAGAAGGAAATGTTTAAATGCAAATTTAAGCTTTAAACTATAACAATAGGTTAGTTGTTTGGGAAATATTATATAGTTTAACATTTACATCTTGAAATATCCGTACGCGTTTCATAATGCCCTCAAAATATATTATGATAATTATATTCATACATAATTCTCAAGTGAAGATTACATTAACTAACTTAAAAACATTACCCTGCATCCCGGCAATGTTTAAAGCAATACTCGGCGACAATAAGAAGAGGTAAATATATTTATATATGTATATATATGTCAAAAGAGGTTCGACTATACATATTGTAAATAGTTTTGGCAAATTTAATGGCCTAGTGGTTAAAGGCCCGCCTCTCATGCATGAGGGCGCGGGTTCGAACCAGGCAATTACCAATGTGATTTTTCCGAATCATACGTAAAGTACGTATGATTCGGAAAGATCTAATCTAAGAGTATTTTGATACCACTGCCAGACGATGAAGGAAAACATCGTGAGAAAAACTGGCCTTATAATTTCACAATTATAAGTTTGAAATCACCAATCCATCTTGAGCAACCGTGGTGATTAATTTACTCCCAAAAAGAGGGTTGATGTCAGGCAGGAGGCCGGTCGTAAAAAAAAATGAACCAAAACTATTTACAACAGGTTCGACTATGTTGCAGTATGTAGTAACTACATAATAATCTGTGATAAAGACTTTCCTCTAACAAACTATATATATATATATATATATATTTTTAATTATAATATAGGAAGTATATAAACCTACGACTCTTTTTAAGCTTCATTCGCGCTACGACATATTAAATACTGGTATTGGTTCAAATATTGGTTGACAAATAATTACGTATTAAAATGAACTTGACAGTTAAACATAAGGTAGCGAAAAAATGAGTCGATGAGATTTTTTAATATACTCAGTTTAAAATTAAATTACTTTTAAATTCGTCTTTTTTTTCTTAAAGACTTGACTCCTAACTCTAGAGACAGACCGCTATTTTAACTTATCAAGACTAAAATATCACGAAATGTTATACAGAATTCTTAGAATTATTAGTTATTTTGGTAAGTTATAAAAGTTTTAACTAAACTTATATGTTAATTCAATATAAAACAAAACAATTTATTCATATCGGTAGATTATTATGTAACAGATTAAATTTAAATATAAATTGTTTAATATAAGAATGTTATAAAAAAAAATTAGCGAAAAGGTTTTATATTTCTTTTATTTTTTATTGTCTTTTGATGTTTAACAAATTTTTAAACTAATACTAGCAAAAGTGTATTTTAAGACGTTTTTCTGGTTATATTAATAAAGCACTGTATCTCGCTGTAATTATATATTTAATTCATTTTTGTCGTAATGTCTTTCTATAACTGTCCGCGTTTAAGACATTCTTTTAATTAAATGTTCTAATTTAATTTTAAACTTTTAAATTTGACGGTCAACCACTCACGGCCGGTGGGTCGATCACTACATGTTATGTTAATTGGATTTTAATGACATAAATACTTTTTAGTGATGTAATACAGACCTTCACATAGTTACCATTTTAGCATACATATATTCTAAATCTGCGAATCTTTAACAAGTTTATGACATAAAGGAATTGATTTAATTGATTTGTGATGTCACTAATAATAGTACAAAGCGTAAAGTCTTATTTTTGGCTATATATATGTATAATATACAGGGTGACTGGTGAATTACTATCGATATTTGAGGACGTGATATTTGACGATCATATATGACAAAATAAAAATTAATATAACATAAATATTAATAAACTTCTAAGTAAAGTTAACCAAAAGTAATGTAGTTAATTACGCATCGTGTGAACACCCTACAGATTAGGTATACACTGACACTCACACATACGCGTGTCGTGACGTAGTGTTGTATCAGCACGCCGCCGCACGCTTCCACACTTGAACACTTGGAACGTGTCAACACTTTATTTATTTATACGGAAATTTTGTCAAAAATTAAGTGCCTATTTTTTTTACATAATTCGAATGAGAATCATGTACCGAGTATGCTCCTTAAATATTGATAGTAATTCACCAGTCACCCTGTATATGCTTTTGCTCGCGACTTTGTCCGCGTTAGTTCCATAATTTGAAATGTATAGCTGACCAGGCGAACTGTTTCTATTTAGTGACAGTAAGTAAACAGATTCTGGATTTTTATTGGATTTTTTTTTGATCCAACGTATTTGAAAGTATCCTATATCCAAATCCTGATTCCAGCTTACCTTCGCTCAAATTTCCATCAAAATTCGTACAGCCGTTCTTGAGTTATAAAAAGTGTAACTAACACGACTTTCTTTTATAGATATAATATGTATTTATTTATTCTTTTTTTTTAAATTAATTATTATGAATTTTTATTAATTAATTCATCTTAATTTATTATTATAATTATGTATCTCTTATGGTTACATGTCAGGAAAATGTTATATTCTGTTCGACCTTACTAAGAAAAGGTTGAGCCTTGATTTTTGGACATAACCGAGGACAATCGAGACTTATATTTTCTTATCATATGACGTTATAAACAAAAATTATGTTAATTATATAGTTTGTTATACAAGTTTTTTGCTCCTGTTGTAGTATTTTATACCAATGAGTATTTATTTCGAAATTATTGTAACTTTCTATGGAATGCAAACATTATTTATACAGTATTTTTTCTAATATATTAAATTCTGATACGATTCATTTCTGCCGATGCAGCCGGGACTATAGTCTTTGCCAAAGCATTAATTTAATTAGCAGAATGGGGGCACAGCTATTTGCGTGTTGCTAAAATGTTGCTGCCAAACCCATGTGAAATGCTTATACTGTGTATTCTTAAATTTTTTTTAGTAAATATATCATTTGACAATCTGTCATATTTTTTTTAATTATTAAAATAGGTCTTATATTTTTTTAAACTCAGAATGACTCTTCGTTTGTTATATTTCTTTTGTGTCAAAATAAAAAAGGGCAAGAAACAACACTGACAACGTGCTCGGAATATTTTTCCAAACAGGGAACAGGTTTAATTCTTATTATGTGATGTGAATAAAGATCGCTGTATAATCTTGACATAATATTTACCTGCTAGATGACCGCGCATCGTTTTTACAGCTACTAAGATACCGAATACGGACTCAATCAGAATCATTACTAGACCCCAATGCGTCATATATAATAGGAACTTCTCTCTTGGTCCCCAGAAGCATATAGTCGACCAGCAGATTATAGCTAGCGCCCATATACATATAGGTACACGCCATATCAAAGGTGACAGCCTTCTGTTCCAAGATCTTCCGAATGATTCCGCGGTAACATTTCCTTCCTTTAGAGTCGCTGTACAGCAAGTGTAGCAGTTCGCAGGCGCTTCTTGCTTCCATATCATTAATTTCGACATTTTTTTTTGTATTATTTCAGTCTTCTTTTATCACTTTATAAATTATTTTTATAGTGCTTTACGTCTTGTTAGCTTCTGTAACAAAAATGATTGTTTTTAAAATTTATTTCATGCTTAAATAAATTAATATCTTTCTTAATGTATTTCAAATATTTTATTGTTTTAAAAGCATAAAAATATTATACTGTGTGAATTCCTGATATTTGATAGCTAATTAATAAATATATTTTCGATTATATTTGAATATAACATTGAATATAAAAGATAAATGTAAATATTATTTAAATATGGCAACATTTTTTTTCTGATTATTTTAATATGTTAACACTTATACGACATTGAAAGAGTGAATGAGAATCAGCCTTCACCTTAGTAATTTGTTTAATATTGTTTGTGTTATTATCAATATATAAAAATCATTATAATCATATATTTCGCATGTACAAATTACATTATAGATTAAAGATTATTGTTCTTCTACCTCTTCTCTTCTAATAGTTTTTGCTAATTATTTTTACGACCCGTCGCCTGCCTGACATAAACCCTCTTTGGGAATGCATTAACCAGTGATGTCTAAATACTCTTAGAAAGTACAAATGACTCGGAAAAATCACATTGGTACTTCCCAGGATCGAACCCGCGCCCTCGTGCATGAGAGGCGGGCCTTTTAACCACTAGGCCACCACTTAATAGATTAAAGATTATTTATTGCTATAAATTTCTTTAAAATGCCATTAAGTCAAGGTGAGTTATTATGGCGAATGTTTTGTTAGACGAATCTTTATTGAATTGAACCTTAACCTAAATATTAAAGATTATCAAAAAGTATGATTGAATTAATTTGATTTATGGTATTAAAATATACAGAAATGAAAGTTGTATTAAATTTATGGACAACAATAGGCAATTACTCGACATCTTTTTAACAACGAATGTTACGAGTGCAATAGATTCTAACCTTTTTAGTCTAATCGTCAGAAGAATTTGTACTTAATCTCTTATCACCGAAACGAGATGCGAATAATGTTTATACAAATAGAATTTTCCGAGTTTTCTTCTGATAATTTGAAGTTGTAAAAGTTTTTTTAAATAAGTCTATTATAACAAAACAATCTAAGAGGGTTATAAAAACATATGCCAGTCTTATTTTAAATAATTAATCAATAGTCGTGATTTTGGGAACTTTTTAATCGATACCTTTTTTATCAATGGAAATAAATATCTATATAATTCTTTGCGTGAATTCCTTTAGTTATGAAATTCTTCAATTCCTGTCATTAAACCTTCTTAACCTCCGGTATACGAAAGCGAAAATAAATAAAAAGGAAACATTTAAACGAAGTAGTGAAATATAAAAACTCTTTGGTAGCTTAACATCAAGATGTTTGAATTTGGAACAAAAGTTAATTCACCTTGAATGAACTATGAACATTTGAGTTAGCACTTCAAACACGTGACCGTGAGCTTCGTGATATGACACTGTTAGGTTTTCGTAATTGACATTCAACAGATAATATTTATTTGTTTCGATTATTTAACAAAGTCATAGTAACAAGTGGGTTAAGATCATAAATATGGTGAATTAATTTGAACGTCTCACGCTATCCTGTCCTCTCAGTACTTATTTATGCTTAAAATAAACTTATTATAGCCCATGACAATGCCCACCGGTTACGTAACAGTAATTTATTTCGTTAGTAGCATCTTTATTATTATCCTTATTATGTGAAATATTGTTTATTGCCCAGGTTCAAAGTTTTGTAACATAATTGATACAAATTACTCAGACTTTTTTTAAATTAAGTAAGTGTCAAAATATTTTAAACATCTGTATTTGATTGTGTAGTAAAATTTTCTTTCTCATATGTAAATCTATAAATAAGGAAGACTAAACATCTAAGGTTGTCTTGTACGTGATATAACTTCAGGAACTTATAACGAATTTTATTTAAAATAAAAGTGTCTTCCCCTTAATTTTAACTTCCCCTTAATTAGGATGTTTTGTTTAAGTTTCGCATTAACAACAGGAACAGAGATTAGACAAGATTTATTATTTTATCATTTCACTTACATTGCGTGATGAGTATTGAATTGTTTGTTTAACCTCGCACCAATAGAAATCGAAGGAAACGAACATTTGTAATGCGACTTCAAAGGATATTATATGCAATTGTTGTACTTAGTAAGGTAGTAATGAATTCTGAAACTATAATTGTATGATGTTTTATTCTTAGTGTAGGAATAAATTAATTCGAGGAAATTATACTAAGTAGTGAACGTACTTTTAAGTTTGTATACGGCGTCTTAAATTTAAAATAATAGTATTTTTGATTATTCAGACCAATTTTATTAGGTTATTCATTGAAAATTACTAATGTAATAAAAAACATAGTATTTCATTCATAACCTTTACGTACGTAAAAAGTATATAAGTCGATTGTCATATTGGAAATTTTTTATTTATTCGATTTGAGTTATTATTTCAGTTTTTATATTAAAAAAATAATAAATAAGGATATATAATATAACATAAATATTATTTAGTGAAATAATGTTAGTTTATTTCTAAAATTTAAAATGAAAATATTGTTAGTAAAAACTATACAGTTCTAGTTTTTTGAAATTGTCTGAATATTCAATTTAAATGGATTCTCTACAAGTATTCATTATTGATCCATTACTATTGTTTTTATTTACTTTTAAGTTATTATTTACTTATTTGTACTTTATATGTATTTTTTATGTATTATCACTTCTAATTTCCGTACATTACACATTCTTAAGATTTTTTTTTGTTTAGTCTTAATAAATATTTCTTAAGTGCGATTAACGTGGTTATAATTATATCTATTATATATGTATTATTTTATTAATGCTCAAACCTTCTCTATGTGAGAAAGAGGCCTTTGCTCAGCAGTGGGCGTTGATAGGCTGGTGACGAATATTTTTCGTTTCCAGAAAGGAATTAAATATTAAATACAAAAACGATCTCAAAATACTTATACAGGTATAAATTCATGCGAAGTTCAATGTATGCAAAAGTGTAATAAAAGTTTTGATAGATAAAATCTCTCTTATATATAAAAAATATATATTTAATGACATGTTTATGTTAGTGTCAATTTATGTATTTTTATTATTATACTAGTTAAGGCTTCATTTGCACTGGAATTGTGGAATATTTTGTCAATGTCAACCTTTTTACATATTAAACTCCTTGTTTATAATTCTTCTTAAATGTCAAAAGATATTGTCAATATGTTTTTGTGGTGAATAGATTTTTACAATTGGAAAGAAAATATTTGTTATAATTAAGTATAATTTGATTTTAAAACAATAAATCGTATAAATATATACATTGATATATTTCATAGAAGTCACTTTGAATAAAATCTTGAAGCAATTTTACATATATTATGTGTAATTATTTTTATTCTATTGTATTTTAAACTTCGTATATTTAATCGTCTGTATAAAGAATAGGTTGGAAAACGGCCAGATAGGAAAACTTATGGTCTCGCGATCAATTGCTGGCAACTGTTCATATAAATGGAAAAAAAAATATAATAAATATTTAATTGTTTTAAAATTGTAGGAAACTAGAGGCTCTAAACAAGTTTGAACTTTATGTCGTTTATTTTAGGAGGATTTCAGCTTAAACAATAATGAAAGCAGACAGCATATAATATGTAGACCGAGCATAGAAAAAAATATTATTTTCTATATAATTTATATATTAAAACTTAGAAGTCAATACTGTACCAGAGAAATGACACATTTATTTAAATACACTCTGCAGTCCTTCGTAAATAACGTCGCTACTTCTGATATATTTTTTGTATTGACATTTTTATGACAAATATGCCACTGCACCCAAAATAAAATGATTAAACGCCGTAAATTAAACAACTATGAGACTTGTTACTGAAGCTTGGAGCGAAACTGGCTGATGCTTGCGACTTTACGTGCTAATAAGATATATTAATTTATTTTTAATATAGAATATTACTAATTGTTTTTTTTTTTTGTTTTTGTTATATATTGAAACATATTCGACTGCAAGACGGTTTTAAATTATACAAAAAGTTAAGACTGACAAAACATTTTTTTATGATACCAATATTAAACCTATTCATTAGTTTTTGCCTGTCAGTTCCGGCAACACACTACACACAGGCATTAAAAATATTTTTTAAATATGAAAATGTTATCAATATTATAAATTTTCATAACAATTTTACCTTACCATTACATTACTACACTGTCATTAACGAGAACAACACGGAAATTTTTTCGCGTATTATTATTCTTACGTCTTTTTTTTTTAATGAAGTGCAAAAACGCGCGCGCCGTGCGCACTTACTGCGCGCGACTGACTCTGTCAAGAGCTTGATCCACCTGATGAAGCGAGATCAGGGTTACACAGAAACAGAATTCAATTAATGGACCATTTAAAGGTAACGAAAAATTCAATTCTCTATATTGATCTGTCAAAAATTAATTATTCCATTTTTTTTTATAAACAAAACTCCTTGGTACGAATGACGTTAGAATTAACAATAATATTTGTTACAAAAAAAAAATTATTAAAACCTTTTTAATAAGTAAAAATGTATCTATCAATAAAGTCATAACAATTTCGTCTTTATACCACATGCTCTGTTTTCAAATAATGCGCTGCGTAATATGCGTATGCGCACTCGCCGTAATTTCAAGGTCTCTGTGAAGAAAATTTAGCTTCACGCACTAACAATAATGCGGATGGCATTTCGAGCCTCTCCCATAGCTATTGAGCAATACAACCATTGTTATAATAAAAATATTTGAGGGTTACCGAAGTAATTAGAACACGAAATTACATAAGTGTGTTTCATTCATTATTGAATTCCCAATTTTTATAAGCTTTATTAAAATAATATATTGGTGTTATATTGAGAAAGGTATACTTTATATAAACGGCACTACCTTATAGCTCATTATGTCTTATGTTAAAGATCTAT